TGTTTCTAGCACCATATTTTATTTTATAATCACATATAATCTTATACTCTCAGCTCTTTTCCGAATCGCCCCCATTTGTCAGTTGTATGTTCACTCACACCTTGTCAGCACTTATTTTCTTTAACCTATTAAAATGCTCTTTCTTAACATATACCTTAATAAAGGAAAATTAGACTGAGTAATCATACCTTAAACATTCCTTCATGAATATTGGCTACTCTGCCTCTGGTGTTTTCTTTTACTTGCTCCCTCTTTCAGCCCCCTTGAGATATGGAACTGGTGACTTCATCCTGCACCATCCTTAAAGTCTTGGATATCCCAGAGGGACATAAGGTTGCGATTTCTAAAAGCTCATACCTTCAATGGACCTATCCTTGACCATCAGTCGCACATTCGCAACGCAACTTTCATGAAGCGCGCCAACTGTGGTACTGATTCAAACCATCTACATTCATATCTTATAAATTATCAACCCAGCTATATAATTTATTACACTGTATATTGTATCATTTGTATCAATTTGATCTTGCCTGTAAACTTGCATGCCTCATGTAACAAACTGTTATTTGAGAATAATTTATTATTATTATTACTTTGATAATAGACGTAATCTGAAAACGGTGAATTCGTCGTGTAATTGCTCATTCTGTAAGACCTTACGCGGAAGTCGCATCGCCATCTTCACTGACTCCTCGTATTACGGCATTAACAGTGATACTTAGTTTTTTGAGCAGCACATTTGGACTGGGTATAAAATAATATATTTAGTACGAATGGTGGTACTTTACATATAATGACGACGTCTGTAAGTTTGGGTCATGCCATCCGATTGAATAAATGTCTCCACGTCCATTATGGGCGAAATTCTTTAAGCGTTACACGTAAAATATACATATTTTCAGTCATTCTATGCTTGGTTTTGAAGACTATGTGGTCGAGAAACTATGGTATTACGAATGTCCATCGGAATATACTGTCATAGCGAAAAGAAATATATGCAGCTCAATATTTTACTATAACTTTTCGTAACCAAAGTAGTACTTATAAAGCAAACGCTTGGTTGTTTCCAATTTTCACAAACACCAGTTAGGATTATCGGTATATCTCCCCACTACGAAGACGAAAATAAAAATTGGGTTAAAGTTAATTGATACATCAGTACTACTGGTACAGGAAGAGCAACATTTAATGCAGAAAAATCAGTTCACAAGTAGGGTGTATAGTTAAGTTGAAAGTACTACTAAAAAGAACTTCTTACAATAAACAGTTCCTGTCACGTGTCACAACTTTCTCTATTCCGATCCACATTTTTTATCGTAAAGAATACTACACAAAGCCAAGCATTAGAGAAACTACAGTCTTACCTGCTTGTTGATGTTCATTAGGCAAAAAGTGGATTCCTTGATTCTGTAAATACTGTCTGCCTTTTCTGGTTAGTGATATTGTTTTTATTATGGAAGGAGTGAGTGTTATCTATATTCCACCGACTTCATTATCCACGAATATGATGAACTTTACTGTTTATATTCAGTGATTGATCGAGGTTACCACAAAGAGTTAGTTTTCTTATGTATGCCGGTAGCATATGACAGCAAAGACACCGGCATGTAACAATTTATCGACTATCCACGTTACGTATGCTCGCAATCCTTTTTTTTTCTGAGCAAGCAGAACAGGACAACTCAAGCCGAAATCATCCTTTATAGTTAATGGCAATAACGAATATCTACAAAGTAGAATTGATGAAAAGACAGTCTACTTTCGGCGTGAATGTATTGAGTACGGATAGTATGAGAATAGAAGGAATATTATACCCTACTTTTTGGAATTTCTTCAGCACACTGTCGAATTCACTCTAGCTTCTGAAACGCCTTTTCAATAACATACGTTGAAGCGCCTTCCCTATGTCGACTAAAATATATTTTGAACACGAAGCACAACAAACAGCACTGGGTATGAAAAACAGGGAGATTGTGTGTTCTAGGCAGTACTGTCATGACCACTAAAATGACTGAACCCACCAGTGCATAACGTTAATTAACCTAACTGCCTTACAGCGTTTCACAAGCCGTTTATTGAGGGGTTATAGTTAAATTAGTATACGTAGGAGATGAAAATGTGTTAATGTACGCGTTTTAGGCTCTCGTGAGCTCATACGAGATATTAAAAAAAAACAAAGTTATCTGCCGGTACGCATTATCTTCAAAATTACCAACAATATCTAGCTTTCTGAACACAATGTACCGAGTATATAAGACACTATGATAATCTCAGTATAATACGTCATGTATATGGAATAATCACAAAAACCTACTACATGTGTAAAACTGTTACCAATTTCAGAGTTCACACTGTTGACGTAAAGCATAGAAATACTCATGAATTCTATTCAATAATTATCGACATTTTAAATGGTTCGGAAACAATTCGTTTATAGCATTTTAATCTTGTCTGTAAAGCGCGATCCTTTATGTAACTTTTTTATTTGAAAATAGATTGCCATTAACATTTTTATTGTTAGAGAAAGATGTACAGCCGATAAACTTGAAAATCAGCTTCATTATCATGAAATACAAGACTGAAGGCAAAATGAATGTTGCTAGTCAGAAACTCTTGAATATTACTTCAATCATTTCACAGATCATGAAAAGCGTTGTAAAACTGTATCTCTGATTGAATGCAAACTAAAAATCTTAACACTAAATCATAACACAGTTGATTTACTTGTAGGCTGTGTATAAATTGCGCACTATAGCTTTTCGATCACATTACCCAATATAAGTGACGCAGAATAGCTGGAGGTTTTCATTTCCATATTTCTGAATCATTCGGCAAAGTATCTCACGATATTTTATATCTTAAACAAAATCCCGCTGAAATTCGCTATCTTACAAACAGTCAGGCTTAATGATTCCAAAGGTAGTAGGCACCAGATTACCAAATATGTTCAAATGATGTAGGATGACTTGTTGGGTTGTGCATGGGACCGTTCAATTCGAAATATATCAACATTCGTAACTGCTTTAACTTAACGAAAACTTCTCCGTACGTTTATTACATGAAAGTAATGTACTCATGCCACAGGGATGGAATATATGGCACTTATAATTTTATTAAGCGGAAATTCCATGTGTCGGGTATACGGTTTAGAAAGGACTAACTTCGGTTAAATGTTGACAAATGTATCTGGTTTAATATCGGACACTTTAATGACATAGGTAAACTACTGTCAATCAGATACATGTCAACTTATGGGTTGTACGATTGATAATATCCTCGGGTATAAGTTCGGCCCTTCGTAAGTTAAAGTCATTGTCTCCTCCCACTCGTTTGTATTTAGTATTCGTCGTATAAGTGTCAAGTTGAAAATCGAATGAGTAAAGCGTCACTTCACAACAAAATCTATGAGTATCTTGTGTTTAGAGAAACGTTGCTGGGTGTGATAGATTAGCGCTGGAAACTTTTCGAGTGAAGAGAGTTAGGCTTGATTTTCTGTTTTGCTACAAACTCATTCACCGATTACAAAACGTTTTAAAATCCAGTGTTAGGCTTCGTCAAAGTGCGCAAACTAAGAAACCAAACTGGACTAATTAAAACACAGTGTCGTAGATCAAAATTTTGCCTACATAAGTTTACGGTCAGTAAAATTGAGCTGGCAGTTGAATTACATGAAGCCGACACTGTAAATATATTGTTCATGAGTTGAACAGACTATCAGATGACTTCAAGAAACTAAATAAGACAACAGTGTACTCGGATTCTAATGCTGGATGCTATCCTCAGTTATACTGACCTCCAGAGTCTACCTGAAGTTTCTAAATATCTAGATATGAAACAGTACTCTGTTTGTACCCCATCAAGAATGTTAATCTTGAGCTGTTGTATCTCTTATCTTGAGAAACTACGTAAACACCATTATCAACTATACGTAACACAAATCCGAACACGCGGCATCAGTGTTTGTCAATTTTCAACAACTATATAGTTTTTGAAACACTTGATGAAATGCCCCTTCGACTATTGTAGGTTGTTTAATTTTATGTGGCTAAATTAAAGTTATGTGTTGCTTTGGTGCTTCCTACCTATGGTTAATGGTAGTACTAGTGCGTCATTTAGTTTTAATACAACCACTGTAAACTCCGATGTCTTTTTGACCAAATGCTCTTAATTTGTGGAGAATTCGGACATGGCTTCCGTGATTTTCATTTACTAAGCGAAGCTATGTTTCCTTAAATGCAGATGATGCATAATCATTACACCTACCTGTGAAGTAAAGGATATAACATTGAACGTCTGAAATTCACAAGTGTTTTATTTTAGAATTCACATTCGATGTCAAGAGATATCGCGAATTGCCAGACTTACTAAAAAATAATGTAGGTGAATGTACGCTGGTTGTGAGTTTGTGCTCCGAGTAGTTTCGTTTTTTAATATGGTACTAAACCATCCATGTATTCCAAGATTTATGGTTGGTAATCCGTTGAATAGACTATGAGATGAATAGAAGTAACGCGTAGCTTCTCGAAAATGATAAACATAGGTATTGAGCAGTGTAGTCGAATGTGTTAAGGATCATTTTCACAAAAACGTCCACAATGTAAGCTTTAGGACCACTAGCAGTAAGTCCACAACTAAATATTACTAAAATGGCCGTTCGCAATCTGATACCCATTTTGTTTCAACTTTTGTTTCTCAGCTTTTTACAAGACCAGAATCCTTCAGTAAACCTCAATAAACTTCTTGCGAAAACATATGGTGTTCTATATTTGTGGAAGCAGACATAAAAAACTCCAAAATTTGATTTATACTGGACTATGAAAATTGATAGATCAAACATTAGCTAATATCATTTTTACGCAAATATGAAGTGAAACGACAGTCATATAAGTCGCTTGTAACTACTCTTTAGATTATGAAACATCCGCTTACACAATAGGCCGTCCAAAAGTTACGAATTATTTACTTTTGTTAAGTACAAGTAATTATTATTTAGTTAGTTTGTCTGACCTTCAACAACAGGCAAATAGACCAATCAAAATCACACCATATTGCGGACGAAAACAAAGTCTTCACAACAAACAATGGGAGAGTTTAAGAAAGTAGGCTACTTTTGCTTAATTTTATTTTTCAGGGCGACATTGTGACGTTTGTAGATCAGGGTTCTCAGTCATTCGGAGAAATATTGTCAGTGAGAAATGATGATTGCGACGTGAAAATACTAATTGATAAAGAGGTAGTTTACCGTATAATGCATTGAATTATCTTTTAAGGAGAGAGTTATGCGAGTTCCGCGTTCCAGGATGCAAAAAAGTGCCAAGATCATTGCTGAGGATATGGATAATATGGTGAACCTGCCGTAGGTTGCTTGTTTGAATTTTTGGAAAATATTTGTAGAAATATGTCGGCGATTTCTATGTTAGAAACCCTTAAACTGCGTTACTCGCGATCAAAAATTTACGTAATCTGTTATTTTCTTAGTTTGCTTTTTAGACATATATTGGAAATATAGTTGTTTCTGTAAATCCATATAAGGATCTATTAATTGATGGACCAGAAGTAATGGTGAAGTATTTTAATCGAATGCTTACAAGTGTTCCAGCGTAAGATTAGATTTATAATCTGAGCCTTTAGGCATTTATACGGACTTGCAGAAACGTTATATCAGACTGCCTTAAGAAATGAATGCGATCAAATTGTTGTCATAAGGTTTGTTATTAGTTCATTTCTTCTGTTAGTTTTTCTCACAAAGTGCATAATTTATAGCCGCCGTTAAATGTGGCTCTGATGTATTTATATATACCCTGTAATAATATTTACCACCATAAGGAACATGAAGCCTCAGGAAATAGTTACCCGTTTTCTGTCGTCATAATCTATAATTGACTCTAGCTGGGAAGAATATCTGTGTATTTTCTTCATCCGTTCTGTGTGCACAGTTTTGGCGTCAGTTCAAGACAAATTAAGAGCTGCTTGGCCTATATTAGTCCGATGCAGCTTTCTCAGAGCGTTGACCCAAGTTTCGTCGTGTTTTGAGTAAAGGGTAGTTGGTGATTTGACTACAAATTGACATATAGCAAATAAGTGAACATGAATTAATAAAAATGTCTGAACTGTCCTTGTAAACTATTTGCTCTGTAAGATAATGAATTTGAAGTGACGTTGTTTGCAAATTAATACTACTTTTTTTGAGGATCGTGATTATGTTACACTTAACATTTCTGCATAACAAGAATGATGAGTTTGGGTCAGCAAATCTATTTGAGGTTCACAGGTGGGATAGGTTTTTCAAATCATTTCTGACATTTCACTGTCGTTCCCTTAAACGGTTTGTTTGCATGTATTCACAACTCCAGTTTTGGCCGAACGAACATTATGCACAATGCTAGAATTGTGTTGACACGTGTCTGAAGACTACGTACTGACTAAAGGGTTCTAAAAATTTCTACAGGTGTTGAATATGAGTGTGTGGTGTCTTTCTTAAGAGTGGCTTATAACAAAATTGATTATGATAGAAGACTAGGAAAGTCGAATCCAGGATCTGTTGTTCTCGCGCCTCTGAGGAGTTCCATAATAGAACAAAACGGCCGTCATGTGCTTTCAGGTTTTTCATGGTGGTTTAGCTTCGATTGACTCATCAACCCAGCCATTAAAATTACTATAATATCCAAATAGAACTCTTCTGATACTTGAGGAGTCATTAACATATCTGAGAAATAACGCGTCTTCGAATGTACACACTTGTTGCTGAATTTCATAAAACCCACTTTTACCGTTAACTATCTAGGATGAAACAATAAAACATTTTAAAATGAAATATGTTGCAATGAGACCTTGTTACGATACTAAAAACACGACTTTTCAAGCGTTGTGAAAGTATTTTCTCTACTTCAATTTCTCTTACGTAAAAACTAGGGATTCATGTCCTGAATTATTGTGATAAGAAATAAACGTGTATTCTTAACGATTGGCAATTAATTTAGTTTTTCTGCATATTTTAACATATGAGTACATTTTTACTAACTTTGAAACATATTTCTTATTAGTGGTGAATCTGGCTCAGGAAAAACCGAAGCTTTTAAAAGAATCACTCAGTATCTTGCATGTACAAGTGAGCAAGGTAAAAACAGCCTGAGTTCAGTGGCCAGGCGAGTTTTGGAAAGTACTCCGATCCTTGAAAGTTTTGGGAACGCTACAACTGTGCGAAATGATAATTCCTCAAGATTTGGCAAGCTGGTGGAAATATTCTTTGCAAAGTATGCTTCAAGTTAGTGTGTGTTGTTATCATTTTTTATTGTTGCTTTTAATATTCATTCACTTAGTGGTGTCAGACTACATCCGGTTTAGTCCAAGTAAATTACACATAGTTTTTAGAGCGTCATAAATGTAATAAACATGGTTGATTGATATTTATTTTACAGTATAGATTGTTGACCATGCGAATCTTTATTAACTATGTATTTTAGTCTGGTGTTACTTAAAAGGAATTACTAATTCTTTCACAACGATTTTACTTCTAAGTTACCAAAATACTAAGTCTGGTTTGCTATTTCACCACCCATAAATATTCAGATTCAGATGACGCAGTATATTGTAAACTTTTATACGTCATTTAAAATTATTGTTGTTTTAATGAGTTGTGGAAAATATATGTATTGATGTATGGTAATCATCCACTCTAATTCAACTGATCTTAAATCTGAACGAATGTTTGCTCAAATAAAGACTCAATCAAATATATCAGTTGCATATGTGGTGTTCAGTTTTGCTGCATCCCCGAATTACCTAAATGATCTCTAATTCTGAAAATGTTGAACCAATTTTTAAATATGTTTCTGTTAAAAATGTTGTAAAACAACTGAAGCAACTCATAAGGGTTTACATAAAAGCTATTTAGAAAATGCCTAGTTGATCGTTTATACAAAGACGTTTCACAAAGCATGCCAAAATCACGAAATCGGATGTAAAAATACGTTTCATCATGTTAGTTCAACAGCTATTCACAATGTACTAACTGGTGAGTGAAAACTACTTTCATACTTGTAACAGCATGTACGTAATCTAACCTCATTAGAATCATTTAAAATAAAAAACTATAAGTTTATCAATCCACTACTTACACATTTTTAAGCGAAGTTCATAGTTCATCTGTAAAACAGATATTTATGTTATATCAAATCACTTGAAGCATATTAACTAACTTGAAATTTGTATAGTAACAAGAGGCAAAATGCTTTTTAGTAGTTATTTTATGCACTGTCGATCAACGCAAATAACGTTTTGGAGTAGAGTTATTCCAAGTTTACAAGTCTTCTTGTTTATTTTCATAGTTTATGTATCAATAGTGAGAGACATCGATAAGCAATAAATTTTATGTAGTACTTGATCATTTAAGAATACTCCGAAGTTGGGCTATTAAAGCATGCTATTTTTTATTACCTGTCTATTTGTGGTTAACAAATATTATTCCTAATTTATTCAACTACCTGCTAAGCTGTTATAAGGTTTCTTATCTTCACTGTGACATAAACGGATATTTCAGTTTATTACATACACAAAGTAACTTTTTATCCTTACCTAAGTTATTAGCTGTAACAGAACTTCAGTGATAAAACTTTTACGGTAGCCAACTTAGAAAAAATCTATCTGTTTTGAGGTTGCTTGTCCATCAATACTAATATTTCATAAAATTACTTCATGGATAATAAATAATTGTATTCAAGGTTGCCGATTGTTATGGTTTATGGTTTATTTTGATTTGCTTGTTTCCTGGTAAATATGTACAGTGTAAAAAGCTTAGTAACGCCTTGTTGTCAGTTTCTTGTTTTCTGTCACACCACCACACATTTCAATCTTGAGTAGTGTGCTTATATAACAGATAAACTAAGACAGTCTTTAATGTTTGGGAGTTCACCTCAGTAAACGTTTTCTAAACGACTTCACATTAGTGCCATTATTTTAACTACACTGTTACAGATTTCTGTTCATTCTTCCTTCAAATTCTATTAAATAGGTTAACAACAGCTATCTAATAACCACATGTTAATTATTTCAAATCTTAACGATGGGGTAAATAAATTATGTTGTTTACGCAAGTAATGTAATATTAGCTATCCTGATTCAACTGTTGACTAGTCTTTGAAATTGGTTGCGATATATAAGAGACGTGTGCTGAATAATTTTTTAATGCTTCAATACGCAAAAATAGTTGTTTTTTAGCATCTTTATGAACGAAAACTTTTAAAACCAGGCAAAAAAGCATGAAATTTTAATGAAGGATTATTAACAATAGTGATTGTTAGCAATAAATGTGTATGGTGGTAGACAGATGTGTAAAACTTTGTGTTGATAACGTATACATGGTAGGAGAATTATATTTTCTTTTTTTCTATGTAACATTAAACGATGAAGAATAAGCATTACAAAAAGAAAAGTAATAGCATCAGGAACGGTGAAAGGAAAGTTAAGAAAGGTAGTAAATAACAAAATGCGAAATGTCGTTACACCACAATCTAGTTAAATAATCTCATGAGAGACTGATTTTTGCAATGTTGAATGGGAGCATTATTAACTTTAAAAGAAATTCTATGAAGGTTTAAGTTATCTCTGAATAATATTATTAGGTGCAGCCTTCACAGTCAGTTGTATTTTCTATACTACAGTACTTGATATTTATCTCTTGTTGCTTTATGTTAAATCAAACATCACAATACCATCGAACTTTGAATCAGTATTCTCAAAATATAACTATGAACTAATCTATAATTATTTCATTATTATTATATCATTTAGTAAATTATAGGTCTTATGACTGTTGGACTTAAGTCTAAGTAGAACTGTTCTATCACTAGCCTTCACAAAATAGATCTTGCAAGTAGATTTGAAATTGACAGCTTATTTCCATCACATTTTCAGGCGTCTTTTTGAACCATGATTGTTAAACATAATATTTCGGACTACGCAAATCACACATATTTAGCATGCTTATTCTAGTTACACCATAATTAATTAATTAATTAATATCTCTGAATCGATTGTTATTTTTTCATTTCAGCAGTGTTCTAGATTTAATGTATTCTGACACAATTTGCATCTTTGTTTACGATTTGTTTAGGTCAATAATTATTGGAGCGAAAATCACTAACTTCTTACTTGAGAAATCTAGAATAGTGGGACAAGTGAGAGACAAAAAATTTATGCTCTTTTTTCGTATTCTTCTAGTTTCCTAGTAGTTTTACATTTTCCGAAACTGGAGAGTTTGGTTGTAAATCTTTGTCATCATTAATTTAAAGGAAATCATGATTTTGGTGATTAAATTTACTATTATCATCATCATCAACTATTTTGAGACGTGTTACGATTTTTTCTCTCTATATTTCTTATGATATGGTCAGTTGGTTTACTAAAATTATTGATATGATTTAGGTGGTTGAAATATTCGTCTAGTGACGGGATCGATCCCTAAATATATATTTTAGAAGATGAAACCGTAGACCAGATGATTGGCTGTGTTATAATCTCTTTCTTACGGTTATGACCCAGCTATTCCTATTGCTTAGTATTCTCGGACACCGATTCACTCGACAAGTCCCCAAATAAGAACACGGTTGAACAGGAAGAGATTATATTCCAAGTAACAAGGTTAGATGGAAGCAAGAAGCCAGTAGGAAGCACAGTAGAGAAAACGTCAGTATATTTATAGTTTTTACATGAGAAGATTCCAGAGTATTCTCGAACTATCGACTGGTGCTGATTGGATAAGAATTAGCTAGGGTCCAACTGCAACTGAGTGACTGGCTTGTGCTTTCGATTAGTCCATCGTCTAGGCAATGAAGAATTATCTCTTTTTTCTTGCACAGAGACTGACATGTCTGTTCCCTGAGTTTTGATTTTTCTTAAAAAAAGTATGCATAACTTTTAATTCTCCTCCTCCGCGAAACAATGTCGGATCCTTATATTTCCAAGTTACAAATAATAGGACTTTATTTAAACGACGTTTCTCGCATTGAATGTCGGATCCACTAGAAACGACTAGATGATAATGAACGACCTTTGATTTGAGGTCAAAGTTTAATTCTTCTGAAGCATTACTTTCAAATCCATTAGGAATTTCATCAGTGGATAATGGATCATTACGGAAATCATCATCTAACAAAATAAAATTAGACTTTTGACCATAATTTGACTCAGCCGATATATTTTCCTCATTTTTATAAGAAATTTCATCAAAATAACATGCATTATTCTGAGAACCCATATCTGATACATTGTCATTAGAAATCGGATATGCTGATTCAATATAAATTTCTGTCTCACAATGATTTTGAGTAACATTCGGTATAATTGGGTTCATCGTGTCACTGCAGTTATTTTCTGAATACGAGTCCCCGTAGCTTTCTCGGCTAATAGCACGTGGACCATAATTTTGTTCTGGCTGAAATTTATTTTCAGAGCTAGACAGGACCAGTAGTGCTTCATTCAATTCTGGACTCCGGGCTTCATCTACGGGGTCTGGCTCTTGATCATCTCGTATTGCCACAACTTTATGAGCATTCAGCACAGGATTTTCTTGCTGTGAGCCGAAAACGTTAAAAAATATTACGTTCTGATTCAGGTATAAAGGGATTTGAACCATCCACTAGATATGCTTCTGAAATGTCTGTTACTGCATCATAAACAGATCTCTTATTTTCTGGTCGAGTGAACAGTGTGCTCAATAGTTGTTGTTGCAAGGCTAACAACTTCTGCTGGTGCTGTAATATTAACCGCAACTGTTCTAAAGAAATCGCCATTTTTCTTTAGTTTTTCTCCGTCGCCACTGTTATAATCTCTTTCTTACGGTTATGACCCAGCTATTCCTATTGCTTAGTATTCTCGGACACCGATTCACTCGACAAGTCCCCAAATAAGAACACGGTTGAACAGGAAGAGATTATATTCCAAGTAACAAGGTTAGATGGAAGCAAGAAGCCAGTAGGAAGCACAGTAGAGAAAACGTCAGTATATTTATAGTTTTTACATGAGAAGATTCCAGAGTATTCTCGAACTATCGACTGGTGCTGATTGGATAAGAATTAGCTAGGGTCCAACTGCAACTGAGTGACTGGCTTGTGCTTTCGATTAGTCCATCGTCTAGGCAATGAAGAATTATCTCTTTTTTCTTGCACAGAGACTGACATGTCTGTTCCCTGAGTTTTGATTTTTCTTAAAAAAAGTATGCATAACTTTTAATTCTCCTCCTCCGCGAAACAATGTCGGATCCTTATATTTCCAAGTTACAAATAATAGGACTTTATTTAAACGACGTTTCTCGCATTGAATGTCGGATCCACTAGAAACGACTAGATGATAATGAACGACCTTTGATTTGAGGTCAAAGTTTAATTCTTCTGAAGCATTACTTTCAAATCCATTAGGAATTTCATCAGTGGATAATGGATCATTACGGAAATCATCATCTAACAAAATAAAATTAGACTTTTGACCATAATTTGACTCAGCCGATATATTTTCCTCATTTTTATAAGAAATTTCATCAAAATAACATGCATTATTCTGAGAACCCATATCTGATACATTGTCATTAGAAATCGGATATGCTGATTCAATATAAATTTCTGTCTCACAATGATTTTGAGTAACATTCGGTATAATTGGGTTCATCGTGTCACTGCAGTTATTTTCTGAATACGAGTCCCCGTAGCTTTCTCGGCTAATAGCACGTGGACCATAATTTTGTTCTGGCTGAAATTTATTTTCAGAGCTAGACAGGACCAGTAGTGCTTCATTCAATTCTGGACTCCGGGCTTCATCTACGGGGTCTGGCTCTTGATCATCTCGTATTGCCACAACTTTATGAGCATTCAGCACAGGATTTTCTTGCTGTGAGCCGAAAACGTTAAAAAATATTACGTTCTGATTCAGGTATAAAGGGATTTGAACCATCCACTAGATATGCTTCTGAAATGTCTGTTACTGCATCATAAACAGATCTCTTATTTTCTGGTCGAGTGAACAGTGTGCTCAATAGTTGTTGTTGCAAGGCTAACAACTTCTGCTGGTGCTGTAATATTAACCGCAACTGTTCTAAAGAAATCGCCATTTTTCTTTAGTTTTTCTCCGTCGCCACTGTTATAATCTCTTTCTTACGGTTATGACCCAGCTATTCCTATTGCTTAGTATTCTCGGACACCGATTCACTCGACAAGTCCCCAAATAAGAACACGGTTGAACAGGAAGAGATTATATTCCAAGTAACAAGGTTAGATGGAAGCAAGAAGCCAGTAGGAAGCACAGTAGAGAAAACGTCAGTATATTTATAGTTTTTACATGAGAAGATTCCAGAGTATTCTCGAACTATCGACTGGTGCTGATTGGATAAGAATTAGTCAATCAGCGTGCACCAAAGCAATCATGCATTGAGCATGCTTTAATCCATCCTATGTCCCGCTAACAGGCTGTTTAGTTTATATACTAATAAATGAAAGCTACTATTTGTATTCAAGATCACGTGTGAAAATGAGTTACTTATCAACTAACAAATTAACTATAAATAGTGAACAAGAAAGTTACAAAAGAGACCAATAACCCCTCATTCCAGGTCATCGCAACAGTACAAGTAAATTTGACATTTAGGAACTAATCTGGTTTCTTATCTTTTATTGATGATTGACGGCCCCAAGCGGCAGTCTATTCCTAAAGTAACTATCTATCAGATAACTATAAAGGAAGACAACTCGTAACTCAGCTTTGGATTTAGTATTTTAACGTCTTTACTGTAATCACATCCAATTCAACGTTTATCAATAAAATCTCTATTATCCCATAAAATGTTTATATTACCTTATGTTACAGTCGAATATTAGTTTGACAGATAAAACAGTTTCCCATTGTTAAACAAAAATTTACACGGAAGGAAATACAAATTAGATTTCAATTTTTTCTTTGCACATATTTCTTGTGTTCATGCAAACTACATAATTTTGTTTTTTTTCCCGAGTCTCAATAAATATATATGCATTCTTTATTAACAACTATATTTGTTGATTATTAACAGTCTGAAAAAGAACGTAACTATCATGTGTTCTATGAACTATTAAGTTCACTTGATAATGAGAGTAAGGCAAAACATCATCTTAAAAATGTTGAAGATTATCAATATTTAATGAAAGTAAGTTAATAATCTATTAATGTGTATTTCGCTTATTATTGTCTCGATTATTATATTATATTCAACATTAGCAACGTTAAATGCATTACCATAAAAAATATGAATAATGCATTACCTTTCATGTAAATCTTTAATTTATTGTTTGGTTGAAGATCACAGTGAAAATAAAATCATCTTAGTCGCAAATCGACTCATAAGACATCATTCTTCTCTATGAAGAAAAACTGTTTATTTGGGTATTTAAAATACGCTCAAGTAAACAATTTAGCCCCTGTACACTTGGATAAAATACTCTCACTAAGTAAAGCAATACCAAGTCTATTTTCAGATTAGAATAAATACATTAATTTGAAAATTAATTGATTCAATAATGAATGACTAACCATCGTAATTCGAAATTAATTTTTGAATAAGTTTCCTGGTATTTTAGAACGTCTGATGATGGAAAAGTTCATGTTTGTGAATTTGTCAATCAACGTGAAATTGAATTTTTATAATAAACGATCATTAAAGAACAATTGACTGCAATTCATTAATAAGATATCAGACGTCTCTTGGTATTACCATGTATTTTAAAGCATACGCTATTCCACCTTATTTTAATATATGGAGGAACATCTATGACAGCCTTTCGAAATACAGATTTTTATACCTATGGATTCAAAGAAAGTTTTAGTCTTACCTATAACAAGAGCAGCACATTAAAATTTTTACGTAATTGTATCGCTATATCAATAAATCACTTGGATTTTTCAATTATTTCTCTCATAAACTAGCCTGCTTTTTCATATTGACAATACGTTTTGTCATTTTGGTATTTGACAATCACCTTTTATTGATTAATTAGCGTACTTTAATCCTTAGTTGGGAAAACAAAGATTCAAATTAGGAGATAATTATGCGTATCCATATTTTTTAATTCTACAGGATTCGAGACGTGCATTTAGTACACATTCTGATCCTGACGGTTTATCAATGTTGCTTGAAAGTTGGCAAACATTAGGACTTCCACAAGATGAAATGGATTTATGTCTTCGTGTAGTATCTGCTGTATTGCATCTTGGAAATATAACTTTTAAAAGTGATAATGATAAGGTTGGTCTTGGACAGTTTATACTACTGAATGTAGAGAATAAAATTGCCGATTTTAGTGAAATTTAATTGTTTTTAAATTATTCTCTAGTTATTTTATTACATCAACTAAAGTTTATAAAATTGATTTATAATTTGGAAAAAGATGATACAGATTTTAAAAATGAGTAAATGCATTAGTATACTCAACGTATTTTAACTTGTCTCTAAGCTATTGTATGAAGTGATTTAGAAGTTCAAATGGGATCTGTTTAGCCTATATTGAGTTTAAGGTGAGAAATAAGCGTTAGTTGATAGGTTTGCGAATTTTTATTGAATGAAGTATATTATATATGTACATTAAACTCGTTGGACTTTATGACAATTAGTACAGATTACGGATGTATACTAGAGTGAATAACACAGCGCTAATTGTGTATTAGATGAACTAAATGTTTTGTAAACTGAACTTAATAACAAAATTAATATGAATTCCAAACACTTAAAATCATGACATTAGTGACTGGAGTAAACAGTAATAGTGAACTATGTAATCATTCTCACTGTAAACTATACTTTATGCAATTTTTTTACTTTTTACATTGACTATTTTAAAAAGTTTCAATCACGAAAAGTATTTCATATGTAACACGGTGGGCTGTAATTCTAACAACTAGTATCGATTGGAAGCAGTAATTCATTCATCTGGTCCAAAGTCGGAAAACGAATTAAAAGCAAATCAAAGACGATACATTAGTAAAAACATAAGAGTTTGTGTAAAACTTATGATTCGCCTAAGATCTTTCTAATTCATTCACTAGCCCTCGTTGTTTTAAAAATGGAATTTGACAAGTCAACTACACTGTTACTAGAAGTTATGAAAGTGTTAAAGTTGTCTACTAATAATAGGCCATGGACAGATTATAGTATAAAGTTGATAAGCAAACGCTCAAATTCAATCTGTGAACAAATTTAAGAACAGTTTTGAAAGAATGGGTCTGATCAAGGTTCAGTTAAGACTCACTATTATACCGATTACCAAGGTAGCGAACAGTGGTTGTACAACTTAAACTTTGCACTCAAAATTTTACACAACTACTCTTTTCTACCTTGGCCATAAATGTAGGAGCAAATTTTAGCTGAACTTCGATTTAACCCATTTTTCAAAAATGTTCAAATAATTTTCTAATTTCCTTTACTTTTGTATTTTTACATATTCTCAACATTCTTCTCTTGGTTTCTACATAAGTGCCAAAATTAAAAATATAATTATAAACTGAATTATTTAAAGAAACTAGTCCAATGTTTAAGGAAAGTAGTTCTTTGTCTCACAAAAGCAATTTAATCAAATGGTTAATTATGTAATGAGAAAAAGTGCATTACAAACAATAGAATAATAATCATTACAAATAAAGAAACAAAATTACAAATATCATCTATTTTTATAATTCTCATATCTTTTAAAAGTTTCCTTTATTTATATAAATTAATTTTGTTGTTTATAGTTTGATGATCCCAATATAATTCATTATTTTCCATCTATTCTTTTTTTGTTAGGATAACACATTTATTACAAATCCATTCGTTGCTGAAATCGCGGCTTCAGAGCTTGGTGTAGATGTGACTGAATTAGCTAAAGTGATAACAATGAAGTTAACAGTAAGAATTATGCTATCGTTTAAGTCCTGTACAGTCTGATTATCATGTTGTAGAAAATTTTTAGAATTTCTATAAATTTCTGTAATCCAAAACCATTGTTTTATTATTTTCTGAACTGTATAGTATTATCACTATACATTACTAGAATTATGGTCAATTATATGCTTGAAAAAGAGATACATTTTTCTACCTTCATAATATTATTGTACAGGTTGAATAGAGGGCTGATGACTAGATTATTCTGGGATATTGTATCACCAAATAAAATGAAATTTTAGTGCTGCCCATTGTAAAATAGTTCTTTTTAGCTACCATACAATCCCACTTGTAATAAATATCCCCAATATATGTGTTTATATTTGATATGATATGCAAATATGTAAGCTACTTAAAATATTAAAAAAATAATAATTTAACAGCATCGAATGGATAGCTCTATCGAGGCAATCCGAACAGGATACACGTATGTCAATAAGGATCTATTAAAATCCAGCCAAGATTATTAACAGCGGGTTGACACAAATCCTTTCTTATAATGATTTAAGTTTAGTTATATATTTACAACTAGTGATATTTTATTAAATTAAATTCATTTATATAAGGATGAGCCTCTTTAAAGCGTCAGTGGATTTTATGTAGTAAATACTTGTAGTTTTGTTCACTAATACATATTACTTTTAATTTACATTTAAACTTATTTTTCTTTTAACAATTTCCGTTCAGGAAACATCTATCGACAAACTTTGGAGTCCGGTTAACGTTGCTGGTGCAATTGTAAATCGTGATTCTATTGCGAAAAGTTTATATGCAGAATTTTTTGATAGATTAGTGGAAAAAATCAATATGAAAAACGCACCTCCGGATTACATGGATTCAGACACAAAATCATCACTACGAGCAATCGCTTTATTGGATATTTATGGTTTCGAAGTAATTTTTGGTATTGATTTGGAATTGATGCTTTTCAATTTCAGACTTATTCAATTAAATACTTTTTATACAATTTTTGCTTATTTGTTCGATTAGTGCTTTGTTTATATGTTTTATTGTTAGATATATTGTTCTTCACCATCGTTTAATGAATTTTGAGTTTGATTTAAAGGCTGTAACGAAATAAGTGGTAACAATAGAATGTTGTCAATCTTTGTTTCATACATTTACAACGTTCACCGTTGTAATCATTCTTATGATCTACCTAGTGTGTTACTTATTGAAAGTATTGTTTCTTTTAAATATTTTTTGTTGAATGTATCAATCACTTGTGGAACCTAACAATCAAGGTGATGTCCAGTTGAGGTTTTTTTCTGATAGTTTTAAGACAGTGAAATCCTTTCACTAAAACTATTATTTTAAAGCTTCTTCAGATAATTTTTGGAAATATTATAAACAAAGGAGTAAACACAGATTTAATGAAGTTTATTGTGATGATTGTATGTTGTACATTTTGATCGTGTTATTGCATGAATTGAGGTTATTGGACATTTCTCCACTGCTTTATTTCCGAATGTTTCTGGGATCTGGTGGTTTATCTTAAAATCATTTACTTGACTTACGCTTGTAACCCCTCGTGGAGAAGCATAGGCTGGCCACCAGGATTCTCCATCGAACTCTGTTCAGGGCAGTCATTTCCAGTTGTTTCCAAATGCTATTTATTCTTTTTATACACGCCCTTCTTGGTCTACCTCTTTTTTCTTCCCATCTGGACTCCAAGTTAGGGCATTCCTCGTGATGCAATTTGTTGATTTCTGCAAAACATATCCTATCCACCTTCAATGTCCTTCCTGTTTTTTTCTTCGACTGGAAGTTAGTTTGTTCTCTCACACAGTGGGTTGTTGTTGTTGGCATCCGATCAACGGATCTAGAGTATCTTGCGTAGCCATCTATTTATTAATACCTGTACCTTTTCGACGATAGTTGTAGTGGTTGTCCAAGTTTCCTCTACGTACAGTAAAAACAGTATTGACTTTCGTGTTGAAAAACCTAACTTTGATATTGGCTGACAGTTGTTTTGTGTTCCATACGTTCTTCAATTGTAAGAATCTTGCTCTTACACTACCAATCTGTTCCTTCATATCTGCATCAAATCCTCCTTGCTTATTAATGATGCAACCCAGGTATATAAAACTTTTCACCTCTACATAAAAGCAGAACCTAAAGAAAATGTAATAGAAGTTAGGCCTTTCATTAAGATTTATACACTTAAAGCAGTCCATTGAGTATACTATAGGCCTGTCAACTAATACACATTTGCTAGTGAATGATAAAATGGGTAACCATAATAAATTTAAGTTAGTTCGAGTTGATAACTTATCAGTAAGCACTCTCCTACTTCATCAGAAAGGTTATAAAGAAACTAGATTGTAACACATTCTATACGAAGCAAGTTACACTCAAACTTTTCAGTTAGTTATTAACTTTACAAGAACTTTAAAAATACTTTAATTTCGGTCAATGAACTGTCAATAAGGCTGCGTAAAGTCCTCCAATCCACACTGTCAAATGCTTTCTCGTGCTCAAGAAACTTGATTTTTAGTGATGAGTTTCATTCAAGTCATTGGTCAACAATGATCCGTAGTTGCGTGATATCGTCTGTGCACGACCAATACTTAAGGAATCCAACCTGTTGTTCTCGAAGTAAGGCTTCTATTGAATCTTTCATCCGGTTCAGCAACACTGTTGAAAAACTTCCCTAGTATCAATAGTAGATTAATAATTTTATAGTTTCCATATTTGCTTAGATCTCCTTTCTTTGTTTTTCCTTTGATGTTGCTAGGTCTTTCACGTATTTATATTTTTGTCATCTTCAATGCTCCTCTTCACTTGCTTGTTTGCTTCTGTGTATTCAGCTCATGTCTTGTCTTCCTTTGTTGTTGTTCGCCTGTTGATAATTGATATCCTCTTGTTCTTCCTTTCTTGAATTCATTGAGTTGGTCGGAATCTTCAAAGAAGCCTGTATTGAACCTGTGTAGTGCTGTTTTCTCAGTTGTTCAGTGCTTCTTTGGTTTCAGATTGATCTTGGTAACCACCAGGTGGTGACCCGAAGCTGTGTCGGGACCTCTTTTCGTTCTCACGGCTTCTACTGACCCTCTAAATTTTGTATTGATGTAAATATGATTGATCTGGTTCTCTATAGTGTGTTCTGATGAGACCCACATAGCTTTGTGTGTGTGTTCACACAGATTCGCAAATCTTTCTCGATTCTCGTTCCTTTTTCCCAATCAGTCAAAGTCACCCCATGATATCTGTATAACCGTTGTTGTCCATTCCGGCTTAAGTGTTTAAATCTGCCATCAGGATGGTCAGTTTCTTTCCTAAGCACTTTGCTATGATTAATTGCAGCCTCCCATAAAACTGATTTTTATCATCGCCATCGCTATCATTGGTGTTTGCATAAAATTGGATAACAGTTATTGTAATTCCCTTCTTCTTTGTTGTGAAGAATGATTTGATAATTCTGGATGCATAAGATTCCCATCCTATGAGCGCTTTACGTGCTTCTTTGGACAGCATCAGAACATCTCCTTGAGTGTGTGGAGCATTTTCCTCTTCGTGACCAGAGTGCAGCAGAATCCCTCCTAAGTCTAACCTTTTGTGTCCAGCTTGGGTCCAATGGATTTCACTTATTTCGAGAACCACCAAATTGTATCTTTATTTCTGAAGCTTTTTGACTGGTCTCCTTGGCTTCCAACATTTTCCGAACACTTCATGTACCTATAAAAATTGTTGCTTTAGTTATTAGAAGGGGCACCGGTCTTGTGACTTACAGAAAATTTCTATTTTCACCATGTTGCGTCACAATTCTTCTAAATGAAGATCGTTCAACTAGGAGGGAAGAGTTTAGATTGTTTATTCTGTTTAGGATTTTTTCAGCAATGTTGTTTCCCACGAGATGGGATTGCTGACCTCATTCTTAACCCTTCTTCTGTTCGAACTTGGGGTCGGGTGTAAACCTAGAAGGCCCAGGGGTGAAGTTATGTTAAAATTAACTGTTTGTAAATATTCAAACAGAAATAATTAACAATATCTGTGTCTCGTTCATCAAACCTGTTACTTTTGTCCTAATTAGTACATCACTTTGATGACGTTTAGAAACCTCACAATCATTCAAAGATATCTGGATTAACGTAAGATGTTTTTGTCGAAAATTATCAATTTATTTTACTAGAGTGAATTATAAGAATTATTCCTTGAGTTAATTTCAAAGTTGTGAATGTATTTATGAAAATTGGATTGAGCCATTTATTTTTCAAAAATATCTATACCTATTGGAAATTCATGTAAATAAAAAAAAATGAGGTACACTCTCCATATATTATCATACAGTTATCCTTTGGTGTTTACCTTCGATCCGATTAAATAGTTATTAAACTTTCTTGATTCATTAACAAAAGTTAGACTGATGTTGAAAGAGTTTAATAATGTAATTTTTTCTAAATGATAGTTTTTGACCTTTTGACTTTTAAGTAGAAAAATAACATTGTTTAAATTAATCGCATGTTTTATTTCTTAAACATTTCTAACCCTAGTTGACTAGACATCTGAACAAATTGCTAAGTGACTATATCTTTGTATTACATAAAACATAATAATATATCGCTAAACGTAGTTTCACAACCTGATGTGTCAGGTAGATTGTTACTGGTTCATCTTTCTAACTTTAAGTTCCACTTTTAATTTGTGGATGAGATTTTAACTCTAGAATCTAACTGTTAGTTCAAATTTGGGTATTGTGATCAACTAGCTACTACTAACTTTCATGATTGGTATTTTAGAATACGAGCTTTGATGCTTCAACAAACAGTAAAACTAAGCGTTCTCAAAGTAATAATTTTGTATTACTTTTCTTGTTTAAATTTCTAAATAATAATGAAAGACGAAAAAATCACCTAATATAACATACTAATGGATAACGAAGTAATATAACTAATAATAATAATAATAATAATAATAATAATAATAATAATAATAATAATAATAATGACAATGATACTTCTTCATTGATTGTTATTTCTCACTACTAAAATGAATTGAGTTATTCTGAACCAGAATCTTCTTATTCCATTATGTTTATTTTATAGAATCTTCCAACTAATTCACTAGAACAGTTTTGTATCAATTACACAAATGAAAATTTACAACAATTTTTCAATCATTACATATTTGAATTGGAACAAGAAGAATATCGAGCAGAAAATATTAGTTGGCAATATGTTCAGTTCCCGGATAACCAACCCATTATTGATTTAATAGCTGGTAAACCGAATGGAATAATGCATTTATGCAATGATGAAGCCAGTTTAGTCACAGTAAGTCCACGTAGTGTACAATCAGTTTCTAAATTACTAGTTGAAATCTTCACAATCTTCAATTTTTCATAACCAATTGATTAAACATAAGATTTGTCTTTTCTTTGAAGTATTCTTGTATCACAGTTTTCTATGCACTAAAATTCTGCATCAGTGAAATTTATTTATTTTAATGTAGTGAATTAGAAATGAATAAAAACATTTAGAAATCATGATGAAGCGATTTAAATAATAAATATCTATTTATCTCAGAATATATATTTAATCGCTAAGATTTCTATGAATGGAACATAAACAGTTTTGAAACTTATAAATTGTATAATAATAGTAGTCACAGCATTAGTTGTTTGATATTGAATTCTGTTGTGATCAAAGTTTATGTGGGAACGAGCATACATTTTTGTGGCTCTTTATCTGACTCCGATTAAATCGTATGTATGATTGCTATCGAAATATACATCCCGGCTATTAAGCAGGTAATTATTGTATTGTTCTAAAAAAATGTACAAACATTTTCATGATAATGTAGAGCTTTATAGGTCGTATACGATAATGGTTAATAACTGTGACATATCTCATAAACACGCAGTTGTTCCTGTTTAAGTCCTTTGGATACGGAGTTATCAACAAGAAAGCTAAATAAGGTTTTTTTGTAGTTAAATTTCTCATGTGCTCAAAATGCTTCAAGTAAGTGGACATATTTGATTTTCATGCTATTGTTTTTTAGAAAACTAGTTCCATTTTGTCATTCGTGCACTTATGTAAAAATCTGTGGGCATCAATACAAATATACTCTCTATAGTATTTTTGCTTACGCATACAATGGTATGTGATAGCATGAATATAAATCCTTCTGATACACATATTGTTTGGGGCTAAGGAATTTATGAAATTGAAACTGTTAACTATCTGTTAAATTAACTTATGATATTCTTATTGCATAGTAATTCAACTGAAATTAAAGATTTCTATTTTCTACTTTTTATTAAAGGGGACAGATAAGTCGTTTCTACGACAATGTCAATATCATCATAAGAATCATCCAAATTTTAAAATGAATAAGATACAAGGAAATAATTCGTTTACTATTGCACATTTCGCTGGTGAAATTGTTTATGATGTGAGTAACAATAAAATGATTATTGTGGCAAATTCTTTCATTGATCACTTGATTATCAAAATGTTCTGTATTTTCGTTTAAATACAAGTCAGATTCGCTTCATATTTACATGTCGAGATCTATGTATCACTAGAAGCTACTTAAAATAAGTAATCATGTTCAGGGAAACGTGTTTATAAAAACGGCTTACAATAGAATTTCATCAGTTGTCGTTTAATAATCTCATCAACTGTCTATTAATTTAAACCGAAACTTGACTGTTTTTACAATGAGGTTTTTAGCTTCCCTTAATTTAATCCATTTTTACCCTGGTAACTGTGCGATAATTATTTATATTTGTGAACTTCCATATATTTCTAATATTGTGACTATTTCAAAGATTTGATTCACGAATTAGTTCCAGTTAATGAGCTACTTGATCAATATGTTATATTTAAAGATGGCAAACACAATTCGATTCATTGATTCAGTTCTCTTGAATTGTATGGTGGTCCTAGAGTAAGTTATGTCGATGCTTTATTGCATAAGAGATTTTAGGTTATTTGAACATTTTGATATGAAACTTCAAAATTGTTTAATATTCGATAGTTTGTCGATCATTTTCTATTAATGTATGCTTATTTAAACCACAAAGTGATAAATTTACTTATAGAACTTCCTTTATTTAGTTGACTTTTACTAAACGTAGCAGGAGAATAAATGTTCCAGGTATTTCTCAAAAGAAAAACCAGTGAAAACTTAAAATACCAAGAGTCTTTGAATATGATTCTACATAATAAGTTGTCTTCAAACTCTATTCTATCGATAAGTTTTATCTCTACTGTTTATTATTATATCGAATATCTAAAACTACTGTACTTATTGTTACTAATAGTACTTAATTACTAAAAAATATAAATTAAAAAGAAATCGTCAATCAATAAAGATAAATCTACAAATTTATTGTAGGTAAATGGATTTGTTGATAAAAATCGTGAGAAAATTCGTGGTGAACTGCTTGCTTTATTAACTAAAAGTAAAATTTCTGCAGTAGCGACTATGTTTCGTAATGTTCAAGCTCAACGTACTGGTGTTAGTGGTACAGGTCCAAAATTGAAAACCTCTTTAGTATTAACAACAATGAATAATTCACTACAACAGTTAATGGAGAAAATGAAAATGTAAGTATCGGTGTTCAGTTTTCTTGTAGCGATAAAGTTATATTTTAATATTATTTTAATTCTAAGATTTTGTTTTATTTTCTCTCAAAAATTAGTATATCACATAATATGAAAATAAGACCAGATAGCAAATGCTCCAGACATTTTATTAACCAAATTAAAAAAACATAGGACTCGGATCATTTATAGTCGTTTTATGTTAATTGACTAATAAAATATTTTTATTTATTAATAGCATTAAAAGATACTGAAAACCATGATAGTTAATTTAGAAATATAATAACGTTTATTATGTATGGTGTTGATAAAATGGGCTTAAACTGTCTATTGTTTTTCATGAATTATTTTCATTAATTTTTTGCTGACTATCTGGTATTTATTCGATTATCTAAAACTACTTTGAAAATATTTCACCAAATCTCAAAATTGATTGGTGTTAGCAACAGAGAATTGTGTAACTGTTTGATTGATTTTGTGAATCTACAATAGGAAACTAAATAATATTTTTTTTTAAAAACTACATGTATTCTTTTTCAGTTAATTGCTTATAGACTACAGTTAGTTTACATTTAGAAGGCATTTAGCTTCTAAAGTGATGAAAGTCATACTATGTGAATACGGAAAATTTCTATGTATCATTTCAAAATTATATGGCTTGGATGACTGTGATTTAAAAATTATCGCCGAATGAATAGAAAAGAACAGAACGAATAGTGTTTTATATCCTCAAAGATAATAAGATATTTTTTATGTTTTTACTATTTCTGTTGCTGATACATGTTTTCATACAGAACGGATTGTTAGCATACATATGAATATATGAAAACTGTCCATTCATAATTAAAGACAGTTTTATATTTATTTATTGTTTGTTCGTTCATCCATTGTTTACTTATTCCGCTTTGCCTTTTAATCAAATAATTATATTAAGGAATAAGCCAAGTTTTGTACGTTGTATTAAACCGAATATGAAAAAAGAGCCAATGGTATTTGATGATGCTGTTGTTATGGATCAATTACGTTACGGTGGTTTACTAGAAACTGTTCGAATAAGAAAATCTGGTTTCCCTGTCCGTATCAGTTATGAATATTTTATCGAGCGGTACGTTTGTCACGAACATGACATGTAACTGTATCTTGATTCTTAACGTTTTATATTTTTCAGGATTTTATTATTCTACTGCTTGGGTTCACATAATAAACGTATAATTGATTTTTGCACACTGGGTTTGTGTTTAGTTTGGTATCTACAGAAATAATGAACATATTACGTCATGAATTTTACCTCATACTGTTTCACATTGTCAACTTATGTTTTGCGCACCTTTCGATTATCACATGACAAGATTGCCAATCAGAATAACATGTCAACCAGCACTAGCAGCCTTAGGTCAAGTCTGGATCCTTACTGGTCCTCAAAATAGTAACTTCTAGCCTAGCCATGCCTATTGAGTCCAGAACTTGCACTCAACCTCCACTGTATGAATAATATATTTCAGATACGTATTTTATATACACGCAAACCAGATCGCATCGCACCATAAAATAAAACAATAACATTTATACAACACTAACAACTCATTTAAATTAACCTAATCAGTGAAACGTTACTTCCTTTTTTGCTATCATGGAATAATAGTTAGTTGAACGTTCCAGCTAAAACGTATATTTCGCGAATTGTCCTTTTGTAGGTCATTTCGGTTGAGATGGTGGAGATTTGTAGCTTGGGTGGGTGATTTTTATGGAGTTTTGTTCTCTGAGCTAGATGGTTTGGTCGTGGAGCTTTCATCGTTCTTCTGAACGACATCATCAGATAGAAGTGAAGTGTTTGAAATTTCTCTATATACGTTTCACAGCTTGTTCTGTACACCTCAATGTTGATCAGTTCTTGTTGACCTTAAATTCGTCATTGTTTATTTCTTTGTTTTGGTTGTGTCTCCCATTGGTTTGATTTTTGTTCCTATATTTGTGCATAATTTTCCTCATTGGGTTGATAAATTGGATCAATTCCAATGTGCTTGTTGATTGCCGATTGACATGAGTGCCAGGCTTCTAAAAATTCTCTGATGTTTTTGGATTTTCCTCTGTCCAAGATTTCCACATTTTTCCAACCGAATGAGTGTTCGCAGTTGTCAACATGTATTGATATAAGTGAAGAAATATCATGGCGTCTGACTACTAATTGATGTTCATGTAGGCAAAAGTGAAGGGGGCATTCGTTTTGTTTGATGTAGTGTTTTTCTCAGTTGGCACGATTTATTTTGTAGATGATGTTTGATTTGTCTTCCTTTGTTATTTCATCCTTTGGTTTGCATAGGATTGATTGCAGTGATTTTGTCGGTTTGTGTGCCACACCTATCCCAAAGGTTTTCAGCAGTCTCGTTGCGGTTACTGATATGCCGTTTATGTTTGGTAGGGCGATCAACAAGAAGATCATCTCGGTTACTTGTGCCGTTTATGATGTAAGCTCTATTTTGTTCACCTCTCAGACGGTGATTACACTGCTAAGAAAATCCACTGAGTTGTTCTGTAGCTGTGAAATATGGCTTGTCAAAAAAAACTTTTCTTGTCAGTTTGAGGTGGCGGAGATTGTTGAATATCATTGAAATAATGTTTTGAGCTAAAATCACCACTGTAAACCTAGAAGCAATGGACGCCCTTTTCGTTCCTGTGAGGGACTTTTGTGGATTGCATGTATATAATCATACACCGAAGTATAAGTAGTGTAATATAGAATCGTTGAATAGGCATTATCTAAGTAAGGGATAAGATCTCAAATTGCTATAGTAACTTGATTTATGAGGATGAGAAACGACATTAGTATATGTATCTGTAGCATGTGTTGCCAGTAACTACTTTTTACTCCAACTAGCAACTCAGAATGCTACGGACTAGTGCCTGACCCTGCGTTTGATGTGATCAAACGATTAATGTTTAAATTTGATGAAATCTATGTTTAGGTTTTCTGTCAGTTTTACAATCAGATTGATGTGTTATTTATTGTACAATTAGAAATTGGGTAAATATTATAAATGCGTTAAAGTTTTTAATCGTACCCATATTTTAAAACAAAAGTTATCATGATAGTTTTCTTCTTAGCTAACTAAATAGTCGCAATCGTCAATCGAATACAAATGAAACATGTTTCTCGTATTTTCAAAATTATATCCTCTAGAAATTCAACTGAATATCCTTTTAAAGACATTAGCCAACAGTGGAAATCTGTATGAAAAACTGTTTACATATTTAGCTAGTTTCTTTGTTCAGTAGAATGTAGTCTTATCAGTAATTAAATTATTTATCAACCATAATCGATGTTTTTAATTATTAATTGATAACTATTACTGTTCTTTAAATAATTACTTGCTAATCTGCGTTGTTTTCTTAATTTTTTTCCATGAAATTTTCCCTGATACTTTAGTTATTCATTTTTACTTAATTATGAAAAACGTAAACAATTAAAGAATATAGTAGATACTCGTGAATCAACAGCTTGGATATTAATGAATATCAATATTCCTTTTGGAAATCGAACACCTATACAAAAATGTGTTGATTATGAATTTGGTAAAACTAAATTATTTCTACGAAATCAATTAGCTGTGAATTTGGAATCGCTTCGTACAATTAAGGAGTTATGTGCTGCTAGAACCATTCAGCGAGCATGGAGACGACGTGATAATGGATTGATTGAAAGAGCACGTCGTAATGCAGCTAGAGTTATTCAAGCATGGTATAGAGGGTGTATGACAAGGTGAGATATGTATTACAAAAATTAAAGTGGTTTCTTATTTCAGAATGCTACATAAGCGAAAACTCTATTATGAGCAAAAGCTATACATTAAGTATTTTAAAGATGTTTGTTACTTTGATTAGAGTAAATCCAACTTTATTTCATTTTTTTGGTCAAGTGGTTTAGCTGTAAACATGGTTAACAATATTGTTCATTTTATAACGACTATCATTCGTTTTCACCGTACTCACCTTTTTTGAGGTCGTTAGGCGATACATATTAAACATTATCTTATCTCATACGGTTATATTTGTTAAGTACTTGGAAGTATCTCTTGATTTAACATATTAACATGATTTCACGGTTTTTATACTTACCAATACTACTAGCATAACGTAGTTGTTGGAAATAGTATTGTTTTTAGTTATAAAATAACCGTTTTATTACGTAATCAGGTCTCTTGTGAAAGATCTGGTTCCTGTACTTACATAAATGATTGAAATTCACCTATTCTCTTTTGATGTATTAATTTGTAAATGGAGTAAAGCGATTTGGTTTACAAGTTTTTTTTATTACTAGTGGCAACAACCAACATAACTGCAAATATCGAATAAACTTCATTATTTGACACTAATTGCATATTATTATTCGTTTATTGTACCAGTAAAGTTAATGATTTGTAAGAATTATCATGTTTAGTTCATTTCTCTTATAACCTTGAGAAAATAGTGTTATAAAATAATGTATTTCATTTACTAAATTGTTTATGATATTCTGTAACTCAGCCACAACAATATTCTACATTATGTGACTAGTACAGTTTGAAATTGATATGTCTTGTTGTTTGAATGCTTCTTGTTATATCTAGTCGTCGCTGATTGTTGTATCAGAAGCGCTTATCACTTATACTCGGAACGAGGGACTTCTGCTATTCCCACGACGCGAAAGTAAGAACACAAAGACTGGTATAAGTAAAAATTTATTACCCCCCCCAAGACACGACATTGACGACCCTAGTCGTTAATGCATTCATTTATATATTGATTGTACATATACTTTGATTAATAATTAGAATGAAATCACATATATAAAAAATACTCAGTTATGACAAATCATATGCTGAGCGTGGTTCATGTAATTTGAATACACAAATATCGTATGTTATACAGAATTAGATATCATACGAGAAAATGAAACAAATACTACATTGAGTAATCATCACATTGAATCAAAACGGAAATAATGTTCAATAAAACTCATTATGAGTAGATCAATCGAATTTCGACTTTTCTTTCCATCATATCAGAGATAGTTAACTACTGTATTATTTTTAAAAAATTTCAAATTTAATGTTTTAGGGCTACTGTAGAAATTTTATTTTTAAAATCCTAGTTTCTGTTATATCAGTAGTTAGCTGATGTGAAATAAATATACAGAATGATTAACCCAAGATCAGTTTTCACACAAATTCCAAACATCTTGTCCGTATGATGTTGATCTAGTTTGATTGGTTGAAATACTTTGTAAGTTGTTCGTTTACTTCTTGGTATTATTAAACTGTATGAGATTCAGTTAATTAGATTTGAGTGTTCTCATAAAAAGGATGATTTGACGAGATTGTGAAAGCTGATGTTGTTGTGATGTGCAGGACTAACTAACCCTTGACCGTTTGGCGATCGAACCGTTAGTTCATGCACATCAACCACTCCATTATCCTATTAATATGGATTGAATCATCTCAAAAAATTAATTCTCATGATAGACTGATATCGTATGTAACAATGCTGAGGTTGGACTTATTAATTCCAAATAAATTGAGCATTGGGTAGAAACTAAATATTAAATATATTTTTTGGTATATCCCACTAAGTATTTTTGACTTTTCGTGACTTCATGTAAACCGCCTCTTCAGAGTAAATGAACAATTGAAATAAATTAACACAAGTTTAATCAGTTTGTACTACTTGAACTTTTAATTTATTTCATTTATTTTTTCAATCTGAAGAAGTAGCTTAAATTAAGCCACGAAACGTCAGAAATACAATTTTTCTACTCATTGAGACATGACAAAAAATATATTTATTATTGGTATCATATGGTTCATAATTAAAAACTAGGGAGCAATCGACGACCGTTTCTCTTTTATTTGGTAAACTGTTCAAAATATTTGACTTCTTGTAAGTTCATTGTTGAATGATCCGATACTATGTGGAAGTAGCTGTCCAGTACTTTGTCGTTTTCGTTAATACTAGACTGTTGTTTATGTTTCATCATCATATGCGTTTGAGTGATATAAATTAATTCATTGTCGCCGAAAAATCACCTTAATGTCGTTGATCTATCCGTCTATGGAAAGAAGTAGGTTTTTTATTCATTTATCCTGTGTACACTACTACATAGGTTAATTTGAAATTCCTAAACTATGGAAGTGGTTTTGAACTAAACAATTACAAAATCTCAGTAAGTTGTTAAAACTACACTCACTCAACATTTGAACAAACAAAATAAATTATTCATAAATAATATGCTTAATTTTATATAATTTTTTTTCTCAAGTGGACGAGTCACTGACTGCTTTTCTAAACTCACTTATCACACTTTCACTCGTATAAAATTTGTTTCACTGTGACAAGTAGTACTCAATAAATGAAGAAAAAAAATATGTATTCATAATAAATACACAATACTGATTTTTATTATTTATAGTTGACTTTTGCTTGAAAGATCGATTTCAATCAATGATCATCCAATTTCTAGACCTGAAAAATTCTTTGGTAGTTTTAAAAACAATCTATTCTCTTTTTCATTAATCAATAAAGCGAAATACAATGGAAACTCATGTTATTGTAGTCGTAAAATTACATACAGTAAATATGTGTGCACTCCCACACACATGAATATGTATCAATTGATCAATAGGCATGAAAATCATAACTATTATAATGTGCAGTAGAGATGTTGGTAAACGTTTTGTTTACATAAAATTTAGGAATGTATCTTCGTGTTTTACTTTACCTGATACTATGAGTAGATAAAAAAGTTTTTATTAACCATTAAAATGTTATCTAGGTAAAGTCGAAAAAGCGTAGCACAAACAGACAAAGTTTGCGAACGACATTAGTGTGTATGTTTAAACAAAAAAAAATAATAATAACCTCTCTCTCTCTGTATATATATCTTCCTTTATTTATTTATTCAGCATTACACAAAACACCTTAATTGCAAATGATGTATCTATTTTCAAAGCAACTTTAAATTATTAAAAGATAGTGAAACTTAGTGGCAAAAATAATATTCAACTCTGGATCTCTCTTTAGAAGTTCAGTCTTTTTATGATTCAGTACTAACACGTAAAGAGATTTTCACGATATATATTTGCATGATCTATCCTTTTCCTACTTGACAAAAAGAAGAATCATCTCACTCATTTGTCTTGGTTTCTTTTATAGTAACACAATAAGTATCTTTCGTTACTCATCTTATAACATTTCAATACGTTTCATTCGTTGACATTTTTTCTCAAATTAAGCGTTCTTCATTTTACAGTCATCAAGAATGATTTTAAATGATTAGATCGTCCTTTTTTCAGCATCGTATGTTCTAACTAACTTCCAAGGTCATCGGGGATAATAAATTTTAATCACTGAAAAATCCCCGTTATATTAAAATACAACTGTATGAACGAAGAATATTCTTTTCTATAAATGCTCATCAGGTTCTACAATTATAAATACAAATTAATAATCCATAAAATTGGCCAGATTCAAGACAGAGTACATCCTTTGGAAATTGTAATATGTGAATTAAGAATTGTTGTTTGCTATCAAATTGGATCGTTAATGTTGGGGCTGACTAATATGAAGTTGTTAACTTGAATAAGTTTATAAGTGAAATGAAATTGTGCGATAAATGATCAGAAAAAATATGGTCAACATGGGGTGAGAGAGGAAATAATGAAATAAAAATCGGAAATTAAGTAATATGAATTAGGTCAGATATAGTAGATTTAGGGGTGGATATTGAATAAATTCCTGAAAACGGTTATCAAGTGTAAAGATAATATCAATAACAGTTAAAAAGATAATAATAATAAGTTTGGGATATAAAATGAGCATTAATCAAATTTATGTCACCATATTACAAAATTGATTATTAACTAGTTGGTCACAAAGTTGGCCAAGGTAAAAGGAGTTACTTACTTACGCCTCTTACTCCTCGTGAAGAAGCATAGGCCACTCACCAACATTCTCCATCCAAACCTGTCCTGGGTAATCCTTTCCAGCTCCTTCCAGTTGTTATTCATCCTTTCCAAATCTGCTTCTATTTCCCGACGTAATGTGTTCTTTGGCCTTCCTCTTTTTCGCTTCCCTTCAGGATTCCAAGTTAGGGCTTGCCTCGTGATGCAATTTGACGATTTATATAATGTACGTCCTATCCATTTCCATCGTCCTTTCCTAATTTCCTCTTCAGCTGGGAGCTGATTTGTTCTCTCCCACAATAGGCTGTTGCTGATGTTATCCGGCCAATGGATGTTGAGTATCTTGCGAAGAAAACTATTTATAAATACTTGTACATGTTTGATGATGGTTGTAGTAGTTCTCCAAGTTTCAGCTCCGTACAGTAGAACTGCCTTGACGTTAGTATTGAAGATTCTCACTTTGATATTAGTTGGAAGTTGTTTTGAGTTCCATATGTTCTTCAATTGTAGGAATGTGGCCCTTGCTGTGCCAATTCTCGCCTTTACGTATGCATCTGAACCTCCTTGTTCGTCGATGATGCTTCTTAGGTATGTGAAGGATTCTACATCTTCCACAGTTTCTCCATCAAGAGTGATTGAATTGCTGTTCTCCGCTTTGAATTTGAGGACCTTCGTTTTCTCCTTGTGTATGTTGAGGCCTACTGATGCAGAGACTGCTGCTACACTGGCTGTCTTTATCTGCATTTGTTCATGTGTATGCGATAGGAGGGCTAGGCATCTGCGAAGTCCAAATCGTCTAATTGGTTCTGAGCTGTCCATTGTATTCCGTGTTTTCCCTCAGATGTCGAGGTCTTCATAATCCAGTCGACCACCAGTAGAAAGAGGAAGGTAGAGAGTAGACAGCCTTGTCTGACTCCGGTTCTTACTTGGAATTCATCTGTCAGCTGTCCTCCATGCACGACTTTGCACTGTAGTCCGTCGTATGAGTTCCGGATAATATTGACAATCTTCTCAAGAACTCCGTAGTGTCTAAGAAGTTTCCATAACGTTCTCCTATCTACACTGTCAAATGCCTTTTCTTAATCAATGAAGTTGATGTACAGTGTTGAGTTCCACTCAATTGATTGTTCGATGATGATCCGTAGTGTTGCAATTTGGTCTGTGCATGATCGATCTTTACGGAATCCAGCTTGTTGGGCATCTACTGAATCTTTCATCCGGTTCAGCAACACTCTGTTGAAGACCTTCCCTGGTACTGACAGTAGTGTAATGCCTCTGTAGTTTTCACATTTGCTCAGATCTCCTTTCTCTGGAATCTTGATGAGGTGTCCTTCTTTCCAGTTCATCGGCACTTGTTCCTCCTCCCAAATCTTTTTGAATAGAAGGTAAAGTATGTTTGTAGTTACTTCGATGTCTGACTTCAGTGCTTCAGCTGGTATGTTGTCGGGTCCTGCTGCTTTCCCATTCTTGATTTGTCCGATGGCCATTCTGATTTCTTCCGCCGTTGGTGGATTGACATCTATAGGAAGATCTGTGTGTGCCGCTTCGATGTCCGGTGGATTCATTGGAGCCGGCCTATTCAGGAGTTCCTCGAAGTACTCTATCCAACTGTTCCGCTTTATGTTTACGTCTGTGTGAAAATATTTTGCCTCCTATGACCGATTTGTTGAAGGCACACAGATTTGCAAATATTTCTCCATTTTCGTTTCTCTCTCCCAGTCCATGTCGTCCCATGATATCTTCATATCCGGTGTTGTCTATTCCGACTTTGGCATTTAGATCTCCCATCAGAATGGTGAAGTCGTTTCTTGGGCACTTCTCTATGATTGACTGCAGTCGCTCGTAGAATTGATCTTTAATGTCGTCGTTGCTATCATTGGTGGGTACATAACATCGGATAATATTCATTGTGATCCCCTCCTTCTTTGTTTTGAATGATGATTTGATGATTCTGGATCGGTCAGATTCCCATCCTACAAGTGCGTTTCGTGCTACTTTGGACAGCATTAGAGCAACTCCCTGAGTGTATGGAGCATTTTCCTCTTCGTGACCGGATTATAGCAGCATCTCTCCAGTATTTAGCATTTGTTGTACAGCTTGGGTCCAATGGGTTTCGGTGATTCCCAGTACTGCCACTTTGTATCTCCTCATTCCCGTTGCATATATGACTGGTCTTCCTAGTCTCCCACATTGTTCGGACGTTCCATGTACCTATAAAAATTGTTGCTCTGATTGTTAGAAGGGGCATTGGCCTCATGGCTTCCGAAGGAACTCGGCTTTCACTATGAGGCGTCATAATTCTTCTAAATGAAGACCTTCTAACTCCCAGGGCAGAATTTAAATGGTTTGAATTATTTTTTTCTGGTTAGCGTTGTTTTAGCGAGTTAGTTTTATACGGGATGGGGTCCCTAACCCTATGCCGAATCTTCCTCCTTTACCCGGGCTTGGGACAGGCAGTAACTCTAGAAGATCTGCAGGCGGAGTGGCTGAACATATTTCTTTTGAATGCAAAGCTCAGGTTTTTTGATCCGAATAGCAATTGCTACAGTCGTCTGTAGGATTCGCAGTCTGATGGAATTAAGTAGACTGCTGTCAACACGATCGATTATTGCAAAAGATTGCTCCATGTTGGCTGTATATCCTGCCTGAACTACATGGTACAAATGGGAGCTGTTAACGGTTTTGATTTTATCTTTGCTTAATCACACGGGGAGGTGCTCACGAGCGCGAATATACTAATTCCTAGAATATCTACGAATATAACTTACTCCACAGGAGCAGTTGAATTGATAGATACAAAAGAGGTGACTAGTCTATGTAATTTATTGTTCAACCTTGGAGTGATTATTTGTCGTGTGGAGAGCATTAGTTGTAGTTTACCTGCATTAAAAGTCCTTTTAATTGATCTGCTTAACTTAAGTTTTAGCATTTCACTCGGTGCATCGCCTCTGAATTGTAAGCGTGTATACAGAGGCTTTTTATCTACAGTTGGGCATTCTCTATGCTGTCTTTTATTGGTTTTGTTTTTATTTATAAATTTCTCGGGATATCCATTTTCCTTCAGTGTTGTGTATAATGCCTTTGTTTCATCTTCAATCGTATCCACAGAGCATATATTCTTGATTCTATGGTGCAGTGTCTTAATATGGTTCCTTTTGTATTGTAGAGGAACAAAACTAAGAAAGTTTGTATATTGACCTGTCCAGGTGATTTTCCTGTTTATGTTTCTTTTTAGCTACCCGTCCTTCCTCCTTGTAAGTAGAACATCTAGAAAGGCTATGCTACACCGACTTTCCTTTTCCTATGTGAATTTTATGGACGGGTGACCAGTACTGAAATGCTCTAGGAATTCCGTCTAGTTGTTAAAAAGGATAAATGTATCATCCATATATCGGCAGTAAAATGAAAACTTATCGATCTCTTGTGCTAGTGGGCCGTTTTCTAGTTTAGAGAGGAAAATGTCTGCCAGTATGGGACACAGGGCTGAACCCATCACGACACCATCTATTTGTCTGAAGATTTCACCATTGAATTCGAAATGTACATTCATAGTATATTTTAGTAATAGTTCTTTGATGATCTTCACAGGGATTGTCGTTTCTAGTTCCTGTTCTCTAAGTTGTTCACAAATATATTCAACAGTTTCTCTGAGTGGGACATTTGTGAACAATGATGTTACGTCAAAGGATATCATCGTTTGATCCTTCGTGTTTATTTTTGTCATCTTGTCGACGAATTGGAATACATCCTAATACTATGTTTCACCAGGCGTTTGTGAAGAGGTTTCAAAACGGTTACTAATCACTTTGCCTACAGTCTGATATGGGGAATCGTATTAGCACTTGTCCTAAAATTCTGTGATACGCGAAACCGCATAAATCAAATTGATACGAACATCCAATTTGTAAACCTAAATCCTCGTTTTGAAACAATTAACCGATCAGAAATCATACAACTTGATTTCGAAATTTTTGAAATAATCTAAATAGCAAGATATGTCATGGACACTTTTGGTTGCAGCGTCAAATAATAGTTGTTAATCCTTGAGAGTAAAGAGCAGTTTTCCAAAATTTTAAATATTTCCTTTTCTAAGTACGATACACTGTTGAAGGTATTTTTATTGATTTTTTTGGAAATATACAATATAAGTAGATTTATCCTAAAGGAATGCAAAATTAATGAAACGTCTCTTGATTTATCAACAAATTCATGAATCTACCAACATCAATATTAATATTCAGGGAAAATTTGATTCTGAAATGAAATAACCTATAAGCTTTTAACATTTTATTACTAATAACTTAATGACCGCAGAAATAGAGAAATAATTTTGATATTTTTTTTACAAAACTATTTCATTAACTTTTATTTTATTAACTCGAATAAACTTTTCTTTATTATCAAACCTGATTTCCTGTTTTTTTCCATTTAAGATAATGAACAAGAAAATAAATTATCATTTATCGTTTCACATCCCTTTAAGTTTCGTGTTGATTGTAGATTTTCGACTTATCACTTGTAATTGATTTTTTACCTTTTGTTTTTTACTTCTGTATTTCAGACGTCAGCACTCTGATATCGTTCAATATTTAGCAAATAGAAGCAAGGTAAATATACTTGTTATACTTCATTCCTGTCTTTTTTTGTTTGAATCTTCTCATTGATGTTTAGGACTGTGATTGATCAGTCTCTTATTGAGTTATGTGCATCCTGTACGGATTGCCTAGATATTTCTTTAAGTCACAAGTATTATAAGCAAACATGGATGGTGTTAAGTAGTGGAAGATTCAAACAACCAATACAAGGATGAATTAAACTTCACTCCATTGCATAAGCTTATGAGTATATGGACTCAGGAGTTAAGTGGATAACGTGGTGGGTTCGAGTCTCGGAGTGAACGTAGACTCTGGATTGCAGGTACATCCAGCTGACCACTCCCGAATAAGACGAAATGCACGTCCTAGATCTCACTGCTAGTTAACATCCACCTCTACTTATAATACTTTTACATTTTTATGATTAGGTTTTAAATTTTATCAGTTAGATAACTAATAAATCTATAGATGACTTTTGTCAGTTTTCACTGTCACAGTTAATTAATCTATTAATTTTGAAGAAATGTTGGAAAAGTGCATATTTAATATCTTGATGTATAAACTCTCGTTTGTGATGTAACTTCTAGATTATAATCATATATTGAAACATGATGAAAATTTACAACTTGAATGATTTATTCTTTCAGAGAAGTGGTTTCCAGTTGCGAGATTTTTCTTGTTCTTAATGATTTTGTCCTTATAATTTGATAATTTTATTTGAGTTTTAAATAAGAAGGGGAATCAACACGACTCAATACATCGAATGGTTAATAGACAAGAAAACATCAACGATGATAATCGTACACGAATGAGAAACGAAAAGACAGAAATTTTTACGAACGTATCATACTTCAAGAATAGTCATTAGGATAAATAAACATCAAAATGTTATAGTGTTGTACAACACAACGTAGCAAATAAAGATGTATGTCAGTTACATGATGGTGCCAGATTACAAAGGTCATATTAAGTCAAAATGTAAAAGGTTCTGATGTTAACTAATATCGTTACAACTTCAGAAGCTACCAAAATACTGATATCAGTCAACGCTAACAAATGACCAGAACAGCAATGAATTTTTCACACTTAAACTGTTTCACTTAGTGAACACAGTGCAACCAAGAGATCATAGATTCGTGACTTAAATTAATATCATAATGTGATGGTTGGCTCATTGAATCTGTTTCCTTATTTTACGTAAAATTCTTATTCGAGCAAATTATTTGATGAGATATTCAGTGATTATGTTGTGATATCTATGATATGTAGAAAAATTAATAAACTTAAAATAATAGATGCGTATTAACTATATTATAGAGTCTGATGAACTATTTATTCATTAATTTTCATCCAGTACTATTTGAACTGAATGTAAACTCTGGTAAAACCCATTAATAAAATCAATTTCTATAAGTAGAAATACCAAAATAGATTTATTGACTGTTTTAATTGAAGCAAGAAGTCGAATTTACAAAGCCTAACTGATCCAAAAAAGGTTTAGATGAATAATTTATGTACAGTCGAAGCTTTAACAATTCATCATTTCAAACTCAAACTAATCCTAATCACTTTAATTTAATTGCTACTCGTAATCCATAGAAGATTCTTACGATAAAATATGCTATTTCTTAAATGTTCTTAATCATAGGAGCAACAAATCGGTGCACTAAAAGAAGTAAGTTAACCACTTATAAATTTACATTTATTTGCTATTCATCATTCTGCTATAACAAAGTAGCTTTCGCTTATTGTATCTGTTTAGTAACTTGAAGAGTGAACTTAAATATGATTACTGCTCAATTGCAATAAACTTATTTCTAAGATTGATGAAATGTCAAGTTTCTTCCAACTCTCAAAAACAATCTTTAACTAACAAAATTTCAATTTTCTGTTATCATATTTCTTGCAATCTAAACTTCTTCATGGTTATTCGATATGGATGTGCTGAAAAATTCACTGCTCCTAATTTTCACTTTTATTAAGATAAGTGAAGTAAACAAAGTGACAAAGATAACGCATAAGATTTGGTAGAGAGGTTTTATGGAGATCAGAATTATTTGTAGATAGTATTAAACACGAAGTGACTTCAGTTGGGATACCATTAAAAACCTGTGAACAATAAACAGCTGTCTACTCTCAATATGGAATTCCTTAATAGTACAGACTAGTGATCCTGACAAAAGTTTAACCTATCCCTAGCTCCTCACATTCGAATCTCACTTCTTTCTTCAGAATTGTAGTTATCATGTTTCAATATCTGTCGGAGGCGAAATTAATTTCTGTTGTTTTCCTATCATCTGTTTAATTACTTTTCTCATATCGATTTATGACTTGTCAAAGTTAGGTTTATACTGATTCGTACAACGTCCTATTAGCTGCTGTTTATAATTTAGAATAATTTAACTAAGAATGGCATTTTTTAAATTTTATCATTATCCTTCAATCAATTTTTTTGTTTTTAGGATTATTCGAAAATCGAAAAACCTGTTAAATCGTTAAGTGAATCTGAAATAGAATGTTTAGAAGTCCCGAGTGATTTAGCTTATATCTTACAACATCGTAAAATATGTAAGTTATCCGTTTCGCTTGTTTTTCATATTATTTCATTATTAATCCGTATGTAATACGTTTTAATTTATTGATGTGATTATTCTATCTACCGCAATAATACTTTCAATGAAAATAGTCAACGCATATACATACCATATTAACTTGATAATTCATGTTATTCCAAATGGAATTTGTTTATTAATCAAGTTTGATATGTGGTAGTGTTCATGAATAGTAAATATAATGGTTTCCGTAAATAAATAACTAAAAGACTTACCAAATCAAAAAGTTGCCAAATATAACTATTAAATTAAATTACATATACCAAGGGTGGTAGTTGAATGAAATTATGAATATAGTATGCAAAAAAGAACGGAAATAAATCTATTAATAAGCTGGTGAAAGTTGCCTTAGGAGTACATTACGTTTTGATGTTGGAACCTATTCTAAAAATCACCGGAAAGTTGCTTTGATGATTTTTTAAATAATCAGAAAGAATTAAGTTTTCAATAATGAATCTGTGTGATCTTTTATTTACTTCTCTGCGTAACGAACTACATGTATTAACAAACCCGTTTATCTAAAAAGTAATTCGTTAGTACATATGAAATATTTTATTCGTAATTTGACATAATATTCTTACAAAGAGTAAGGTTTTAAATGGCTTATTTTGACAATATTTAATATCAATCAACTTAATGTTCATACCTAATATTTCATGTTTAATTATAAAGTTAGATTCATTCTAGTTTTGTTTAAATTGTTTTGTAGTGTCTTAGCTTCGTTAATCGATCACCTTGATAACCGTTATTTTGTAAATCCCAATGGTGTTTGAAATCAGTAGGCAATGAGAAGCAGAGACCACTGTTTATTAGCGAATAGTACAGACAACCAAGTTATAAACACATCGAGCAAATTTGAAGCAGAGAGGCAAATGTGTGTTGCGAGCAAATATTACTTACTTACTTACTTACGCCTGTTACTCCTCGTGAAGGAGCATAGGCCGCTCACCAGCATTCTCCATCCAACCCTGTCCTGGGCAATCCTTTCTAGCTCCGTCCAGTTGTAATTCATCGTTTTCATATCTGCTTCTATTATCCGACGCAATGTGTTCTTTGGCCTTCCTCTTTTTCGCTTCCCTTCAGGATTCCAAGTTAGGGCTTGCCTTGTGATGCAGTTTGACGATTTGCGTAATGTATGTCCTATCCATTTCCATCGTCTTTTCCTAATTTCTTCTTCAGCTGGAAGTCAAATCGAATAAGGCGCAGCTAGGCATGGCAAAGGCTAAAAATAGGATTCGAGTACATATACACATGGGGAACAGAATGATTCATCAAGCGATATGTTAAGAGATCAACATTTAGCTATAGTCTGTCATGTGATCAAGCGTACACGTTTATACAAATATGGTAGTGATCATACTAACACAAAGAAATATGCGAACTGCTGCCGTTGGAATAACACTCTTAACTTCATAAGAGGGCTTAATCAAAATTATTAGTTATTTTGTGTTGAGATCATGAACCGATCAATGTTAGACCACCACCGAAAACCTGGAATCATTTGACGGCCGTTTGATAATAACAAGGGACTCCACGTGAGTGCACATCCATGATCTTAACGAGAAATCATAGCTTAGGTTTATTGTCAGTTCCTTTTTGTAATTCACTTATCTTACGGTCAAATTTATTTTCTAACAATATAATTATTCAGAAATTTATGTTTAAATCGTTTGCATAAAAATATCAATAATAATCTAGCCCAAGAATGTTGGCTTCGTAATCATAAGGTAATTAAGCCTTCCGGCAGTATACGTCGTTTTGCACCAAATTATGTTTCAACTTCTTGGCAAAAATATGGTAGACCATTATGGCATGCTGCACCTATTTCACACTTGCTACAAACATCTAGTTCAATGGTAAGTTGCAAAATGTTATTTTTTAATCTCAAATATTATGTAATTTCAAGAACGTTTCTAGTTATCTAGTATATTTGAATGTATTATCCATTATTTTGAAAAAACGTTATATTCTTACAATTGAGATATCCATCTAATGCATGAAAACTATAGACAAAACACATTTATGCTAATTATATCCAATCGTTTCTATTTTGCATACAATGTGAACTCAGTTTCAGCATATGAACCTTAGTTTGTTTTTCGATATCTGTTATGTGGTGTAGTGAATGTGAAATATTAGCCAACTGATTACTATCTTTATCATCTAGAATATGTATGAATACCAAACTTACTGATATGGTTGAAATTTTACTGTACATGTAGTGTATACTTCATAAAATTATCAAGTGTATGAAATGTACAGTGATATAGTTAATGTGTTACGTCAACGTATAATTGCATCATCTTAAAAGTAACAATTTTGTTCGTTGAATGTAGCTGCGCAAAGTGACGGGAAATTCGATTATATATAGCAGTGAAATGAGAAGACGAAAACGTTTTTGGACTTTTCTTTTACAATATTAATCATTACATAGCAATGATTTAATGCTAACTTTATTGTAGATTGATTTAAAGAAGTAACATGTATTTAGCAATAAAGGCGTTCGAGCTATTTACAACCGACTTACTTGGACCCGTTATTAATCTCGAGGCACAGATAACCGGCCAATGTTCTACAGACAACTCTGTCCTGTGTTCTCTTCGCTTGTTGTTTGCAGCTGCCATTCATTCTCTTGCTTTTTGACTCCAGTTCCTGGCCAAATTTGTTCTTTGTCTGCCTCTTCTCGTCGTGACCTAAAGATTCCAAGTTGAAGCTTGATTCGTAGTTCAGCCTGATGATTTCCATAAGTGTGTGACCTTAGTACTTCCAGCCTCTTTTTCTGTTTTGATGATTCTGGATCAATGAGATTCCCATTCTACAAGTTTTTTTTTACTTCCTTGGACAGCATCAGTGCAACTCCTTATGTGTGTAGGGGATTATTATCATGATCATAATACAAAAAACACTCCGCCAAAGCTGATCTTTTGTTTTCAGATTGTATTCAATCGGTTTCCTGCATTCCAACCACCACCAGGTTGTACGTTTTCGTTTCTATCGCTATTGGAATGATCATTCCAGTTTCCTTCATCTTTTGAACATTCCACGTACCTATATTAGTCGTTTCTATATTATTTAATACCACTTTTGTTTTTGTTATCACTGTATTCCTCTCCGATTTAATCATCTCTTAATAGTCGCAACTTGGCTATCGTGTTGCACCACGTGAAAGACCAATATTCTTGACTCGACCAACTGAAAAATTGGCTGCAGCTTGTGTAGCTGCTTCAAAACTTGTAAGTTGAATATTAAATAGAGGTTTTATTGATTATTGACACCATTCGTTTCTTTCCGGTTTATCAAGTTGATTGTTAAACTGTTTTAGATATCAGCACATTTTTAGTGCTAATTGTGCTTCTTTATACAAGTAGGGAATTTGATTAACTAATTTAAAAATATCACAGAAATCAACATTTTCCACTAACCCATTTTTTACTTACTGTTGTTTAATTGATGTTGGCTTCAGTGATAACTTCAAAACATTTATAGATACCTGGGTATAGCCAAATTGACGATCTATCTGGAATGGTTTGCTTATCCAAAAGATTTACTTGTTCTGAAATGTCTACATTGAATTTTCGGCGAGACTACATTTTATGGACGACCTTTGGACGAATCTTAAGTGACCTAACGAAGCATTAACCAATCGGCAAACAGTCAGTACAGAGTAAAAAATATATTATACAAAACCAATGAAATAAAGTGGATGCACTTCTTATACATGGTTCAAAAACGTCAAGGTTAGAAAGAGGTTTAGAGGTTCTAAAATCGTAATGCATGCAACAGAGGAAATCATACATATGGCTACGGGATAGTGGGCCTCTGGAGCCATGATAACGTTGCAAAAACTCTTTCAGCCTCGACAACATAGCTTCAAAGTTGTTTGTGTGCACTCCGGTTGTTGAGTACACTAAATGCCACTTGTGGATAACGACAAGACACACATAACTAAGTCAAGGTAGAAGTCTGTACGCTCTCTAACCATCCGTATATATTGAAATACCTGGCTGCAGTCAGTGTTATTATTGTCCAGTTCGCAATAATTGTCATAATTTGCCTTAGTTATGAATTATATATAGGGTATTCATCACGAACTGACATCAGCTATAATACCAAAACTCTGTATAGCCAAATGCATGAAAGATCTGTTATCTTATACCTGATTGACTCATCCACAAATTATAGTCCCGCCGCTTTATTTGTTACTGCCACTCAATTATCACGTTTTGTATATAATCCCCTGTGCACCAATCGCACATCTGCATTGATGTGTGGGTGAGAATGATAGTGATTGGTTGTCTACTGAGTCAGCCTTGTAGATAGTCTGATGGGTGTCAGATGAGTTAAATATTCCCCTATCCTTTTTATTATTATCGTTGATTGTTCATTGTTTTTGGGTTGTGTCGGTTTTCGGTGTGGAGGTATGTTTAAGATCTAGTCAGCCTAATCGCGTGTTCTTGATCTGAGTTGTGTTGAAGTCCTGTAGAATAGACACTGAGAGGGAATCTAGTATAGATATCCGTTTAAGGTAAATTAAAGTCCCATACGTGTAAATGTGGGAAAGCCAAACGTTATAACAAACATTAAGTACTGAAGTTGGCTCTGTGACCCTGAAATTCCTCAAACGCTCCTGATTGGCTTGTCCATAAATTATAGTCTCGCCAAATTTTCACTTCATTATCAACTGTAGGCTTCACCCTTCTAGATAAATGTGCATTCCATCCTTGAAACTATTATGGTAGTGATAGAAATTATTATCTAGTATGTTGATATAATAAAATTTGAGCCGAACGTCATAATGGCGTGGTTGTGCATTCTTTCGGTTTATTCACCTATATGTTTAAAATATTCCGTAATCGTTCATTTTTTTATTGCCTATCTAGTCCTTGTTTAGTAGTAAATCGTTCTTTGATTACGTCCTCTCTACGCAGTGAATGTTTTATTATGTATTTTGTCTACACTATGGTATATCTTTGTGCGTAAGTCTTTATGTGTAGCATTAGTTGTAATGAACATTTTGATCCCATCGCGGCCAAACAGTAGCGTTTCTAGATATTCTTCTTACGAAGAGACCAGATGGACCTTTAAGAAGGAAGTTAAACAAGAAAGTACTAAGACAGGACAATACGCAAATTCTCCTAGTTTCGTTTATCCTTATGATCATGATCATATGCGTTTCAGATAGGGTTGTATGAAGAATTCTCTGCATAATACTCTAGAAAACAATCGGTACGAATCAGCGAAGTCAATAAACGACCACTTATTTACGAAAGTAAAACGAAGGGAATTCCAAACAGTATATAAAAATTGCTGTTTTTGCATTCGCTATTCAGAAGTTATGCATCCAGTGAAATATTGATGCTTCCGTTGCGTAGAACAACGTAAAGAACACCCAGTGCAGGAAAACTACTGTTACGGTTTTTTACGCGTCCGAAAATGTTACCAAATGTGACAGATAACTTGGCTTAATGAACAACCTCTTTTTTATCTATAAAATCAGCTGTTCATGTGGGTCATGTTACATTATGAAATGTTCAGTGGATGTAACTTTTGGTAGTCGCGAAGACCTTCCAGCATGGCTATGCAAATGCACCATTTAAACAGTCAGTACCAAGACACTCCTCATAATGCAAGGAGAGATCGTTCTCAATAGTCTTTTGGTTAGTATTTCCTCTTCAAATATATCAAACTAAGTAACCTCCAAACGAGAGAAGCTTAAGTAATATATGCTAAAAAAAGCCAGAGCTACGAAAAACTTTAGCACAAGTCAATATTCCGTTCATTTATATGATGACCTAATTTAACTAATGTACATTTTGCAATTCCATTCCGAATCGATATGAGAAAATAGGAGTACTATAGAGGAAACAAACTATTATCGGTACTAGGAAAGGTTTACAACAGCATTTTTGAAACAGATAAACGGTTCAGTAGACGCCCAACTTTGAGATCAACAGACCAGATTCCGTGAGGATCAGTCGTGCACTGAACACATCACGACACTACGGATCATCGTTGAACAATCAATTGAATGAAACTCGTCACTAAACATCAGGTTCCTTGAGCACGAGGAAGCATTTGACAGTGTGGATAGGAGAATCTTGTAGAACCTTCGGTGACACTATGGTTTACCTGAGAAGATTGGAAATATCACACTTAATTCATACGACGGATTACACTGCAAAGTTGTGAGTGGAGAATAGCTAGCAGATTCATTCCAAGTGAGGACTGGAGACAGACAAAGCTGCTTACTCTCCCCCTTCCTCTCTCGTCTGGTGGTTGACCGGATTATGAAGGCCTCCACATCTGAGAGGTGACACGGAATACAATGGACATCTTGGATGCAACTAGACGATTCGCACTTCGCAGATGACCTGGCCCTTCTATCCCATACACACGAATAAATGCAGATGAAGACAACTAGTGTAGCAGAAGTTTCAAAATATATCAAGGAGAAAGCAAGGTCCTCAAATACAACACGGGGATCACAAACCCAGTCACACTTGATGGAGAAACCCTGGAAGAGGTGAAAACTTTCTCGTAGCTGGTCAACAGCATCATCGATGAACAGGGAGAGTGTGACGTAGACTTGAAGGCAAGGATTGGCAAAGCAAGGGCAGCATTTTTACAGTTGAGGAATATATGGAACTCAAAACAACCTCCAACTAACATCACAGTCAGAATCTCCAATTCGAATGTCAAGACAGTTCTACTGTGCGGGGCTGAAACTTGTAGAACTACTACAACCATTATCAAAAGTATATAACAAGCCAATGAAAAGCTCTTTGCAATAAAATTGCCACATCTTCCTTTTTTTCACATTGAGATAAACTAAATATTTAAGTTGCATGCATACATTTGTAAAGTAATTGTGTGTGTTCATGTGTTTTACTTTTTTACATTTTCAGATTCTGAGGCTACTATTTTTGCCTGAAATTTCGCTGCATGAACAATTTCTGGTTGGAAGTTTTTTATATCAACTGGTTAGTAAAATTTGTATGTGTTTATATTGATTTTGGTATTTCTTTCCGATTACCTCTACCCACAGAGCATTCATTCGTATATTGATGAATTAAAGTATACAAATCGTTTAATATCACTATACACCTGATATGAAAACATTTTTGCATAATTTTATATATATATATATATATATATATATATATATATATATATATTGAACTATTCAAGACAACAGAATCAATTTATTGGTCTATGTGAAATCAATACAAAGCAACCGCGTACTCATATTTGAATGCAGCTTTAATAACGCCAATCGACGTTAGAATGTTTGGTGTGTGGGTGAAAATGCGACCTAAGACGTGCGTTTTGTCTTATTTAAGACTTTAGGGGAAATACTGAAATGTGCTTTTGCTCATTTGAATGAGCTAGAACTTTAGAGCACGGAGATTTAATAACTCATCAAAGTCACTGGGTTTATTTGGTTTTAGTACATAGGTTTATGTATATATTCTGATATACTGTTTAATATTTCTTAACGGTAATCAGTAATCGCAGTTTTGTGTCTAATTCCTTTGAATATTCTTATTGGACACTTGTTATCGAGTTATCATCACCGGACATAATATCAATAATGAAAGTTATTATGATTGATAATATGATCAGCTTTAATGAGGTGATATTCTCATTTACTATGACGTTCATCTACTTTGAAAAATCACACCAAAATGTTTTATGTATTAAATGTTCCTATGACCTGTTATTTTAAATCAGTCTACTTATTTATTTATTTATTAGCTTTTGAATAATCTATTTTATCTATTGTTACGAACATTTCACCCCTTATGCACTTACCTACTGATATTAACTACCTACACATTATTTCTCGCATCAGTATGAACTACAAATGTATTTAATGGAATCGAATCAATTTGTTTAATTAATTCAAATCATTTTATTGAAAACAAATTTTCTTATTAAAGTAATAACTTTAAAATAAATGTGAAGTCATTTTTCTCATGAATTATTAAATTGAAGAAGAGATTCGCAAACATGAAGCACCGAACTAATTAATCCTTTTGATTTTTTTCAATGATAAATTAAAATTTCTTTCTAATAAATAATCCGCTGGAACAGTAGAATAAACAGTTTAACTATGAGACACTTATTAAGCACTACATAAATTTTACAATTAAGTGAGAATGAATAAGGTCAATCTTCGAATAGGTATCTATGTAAACAGTATACATAAAAGAAACAACTGTTGTAAATATCAAACGAGCATTTTAGTGGTGTTTTTGTTTTATTTTACTGAACTTATACCTGTTACACCTTGAAGTAGCGCCTAGAACACCCACCAGCATTTTCCATCGAACTCTGGGCAATCCTTTGCAGTTGCTATTCATCCTATTCGTGTCTGCTTCTGATTCCAAATTAACGCTTGCCCCGTGACGCAGTTGACGATTTCCGTAATGTATGTCTCATCCACTTCTATTGCTTTTACCTAATTTCCTCCTCAGCTAAATGTTGGTTAGTTCTCTTCTATAGTGGGCTATCACTGATGGTATAGGACCAACAGACATTGAGTATCCTGTGTAAACAATTGTTTATCAATACTTGTACTTTTTGACGATGGTTGTAGTAGTTCTACAAGTTTCAGCCCCGCACAGTAGAACTGTCTTGACATTCGAATTGGAGATTCTGACTGTGATGTTAGTTGGAGGTTGTTTTGAGTTCCATATATTCCTCAACTGTAAAAATGCTGCCCTTGCTTTGCCAATCCTTGCCTTCAAGTCTACGTCACACTCTCCCTGTTCATCGATGATGCTGTTGACCAGCTACGAGAAAGTTTTCACCTCTTCCAGGGTTTCTCCATCAAGTGTGACTGGGTTTGTGATCCCCGTGTTGTATTTGAGGACCTTGCTTTCTCCTTGATATATTTTGAAACTTCTGCTACACTAGTTGTCTTCATCTGCATTTATTCGTGTGTATGGGATAGAAGGGCCAGGTCATCTGCGAAGTGCGAATCGTCTAGTTGCATCCAAGATGTCCATTGTATTCCGTGTCACCTCTCAGATGTGGAGGCCTTCATAATCCGGTCAACCACCAGACGAGAGAGGAAGGGGGAGAGTAAGCAGCTTTGTCTGTCTCCAGTCCTCACTTGGAATGAATCTGCTAGCTATTCTCCACTCACAACTTTGCAGTGTAATCCGTCGTATGAATTAAGTGGGATATTTCCAATCTTCTCAGGTAAACCATAGCGTCGAAAGAGTTTCCATAACGTTCTTTCACACATGCGTGTGGCAACAGGTGTAAGGATATTAATGTATGAATTGATATACATATTCATTAAAATTTTATTTAAAATAATATGTTCGCGTATTTATAAGAAAAATGAACTATGTTTAAAAATTCAATTATGTAGTATGGAAGTGTAAGTTTCCCCCAAATACCGTGGTACTGCTGAGAGTGGGGATAGTCCTCTCTCCCTCTCGAAACTCTCTCACATGGCCACGCGTATATAGCCTCTGCCAGGGAAGCCCTACTCACTTCCTTCTCGTGTTGGGGGTGTTGTTTACTAAATTGAGAGGACGAAAAGCGAATGTTAGGCACTTTAACCGAGTTGGAGTCCACCTAGGGGAGTTAGAAAACCCTGATTTTAAACCAGTAGTGCACATGGGCTCCAGTATCTTAAAGGACCAAATGGCATATGAACCAGTCGTTAGTCACCGGCTACCATGGGACTGCATCTCCTTACGTTGCTCCACTGCCTTTTGGATCAGACCTTCAGGTCTAAGGCTACGGGTGTGCCCCCCTAAGAAAATCACCTGCTTCGGTTTGGGCACCCGAGCAGTATCACAGCCCTCACACCTATCAAATGAGATTTGTGTGGCGCATATCTATTCGGTGCATCCTTGTACCAACATATACGTGTTAAAATAAATAAATAAAATAGGAAGTGTTCGTTAAAAATATTTCCTCGTGGATAACCGCTTTTAATTTATAAGTTAATCTAATAAGTGTAGTTAAACAAATTCCGGTAATGTTTGTAAGGCTGATAATTTGGTCACTTCTGTTTTCACATTTGATTCGGATTATTGAAGAAATAGTTATCAATGATTTCATTTTGGTAGTGTTTTTTTAATAAAGGACACAATTGACCATTTTTTTCGTTCTTTTTATAGTTATTTAGTTAATATGTCAATGTATTCGCAATCAGTTTGCTAATATTTTATTCTGTAGTTTAGTTATAATAATTATATTTACTACTATTTGTTGAATTTGAGCTATTTCTCACACATACAGGCTCTCTGTCAAAAATCTCTTCATAAAGAATTTCTTATTCAATTATTAAGTATGACTGTAAATTGGCCTAATGCAGCAGAAGATTTCTCTACTTCAGATCCAGAAGATGAACCAAGCGAGTTCGATCCAGAAACTAAACGAGGTACTTACATTCCATCAAGACCTAATGGTCCGTTGATTGTTAAATCTCATACTAGACAGTCTGGCACACAACGTCGAGCTTATAGACGTCTTTGGATGCATATTGCAGGAATGCTTACATGTGGTCAATTATCGCAAACACTAACACCCACTATAGTCCGGTAAGAAATTTTGTTAACTTTTTATTTTTTCTAAAAATATATTTAACTCGCCAGTGCCTCACGCGTAAACGTTTTCTCCTTAACAATTACAAATATTTATACTTACTAGAGTCATATATTTAGTGAGAATACGGTGTTGAGGGAAGAGGATTTTGTAACATATATCATCACACACTGATTCATGAATTCATGTTTTGAACTGTCAATTGTATCCATTACTGGTTCTATGAAGTTATCTAAAACAATTTAGAGGTATATTTTTGGTTCAATATACTTTATTTATTTCGAAATGCCTTGATATTCGTGTAAGACATGGAGAAGAGTAGTAACGTGGCAATGTTCGAAATGTTTTCTCTATTTCTTCCTTATTATTATGTCATAAATGTAGACTGATTTCTCATCTAATAGTCAGGCCGGAACGATGCATTACCACTTAATAGTAAATTGACATGGTAATGATGAATAAATGTTAAAGTCTTTATTCTGACTTCTTACTTCATTCTAGTATTTCTGCGAGTTGCTTTTTTAATAAAGTGCTGAACCACTTGGACTAATTAATGATTTAGTTTAAATTCTAAATATGTTTCTGCGTATTTTGCAATCCTTCAAGACATGAACACTATTTGTTTCAACTATTTTAGCTTGTTCACTCATATCACGGAATCTAAACATTATATCAGGTATTTTAATATGAAGTTCAAATAAAGAAATTAGGTTAGAAATTAAAGCTATATTCATTGAATTTAAATGTGTATGTAGTGATGTATGTTTCAGATTCTATATTTCTATTTACATATGTAGTTTTATTAGAGAAAATGCACCCAACAGATCAGCTGAACTGTGTGAAGATCGTGTTGTACTTGAACCTTCTGTACGTCGTCTATACCCACCTTCTCTGTTAGAATGGCGAATAAATTATACTGGAACTCATATGGGCATTAAACTTACATTCCCAGATGGTAAGATAAAGTTCATTTTCAGGTGTCAAAGGTACAAGTATAAGTAATAAAAGTGTTAATTCATCATTTTGATTTAGTAAATTCTTTTAAATATGGATCATTAGCTCTTGCATTTCAATACCAGCAAACCAATCGAATAAAAGTCATTCATATGATCGACAGAGATATGTTAGTTTTTTCCGCATAAAATTTCACTTTTTATGGCTCGATCACATTTTAATGGCTCTCAAATTATGTATCTATAACTAAACACTTTGTTCTAACTGTAGTTGTACATTCTATACATTCAACGAATACCTATTACACATTTATCATGGTTATTCATTTGTTTCTGTTGTGCTTATTTGCTAAGAAGATAATACTTCTTCAAAGATGAATATCAACCATAATTGAAGTTAGTTTTTAACGAGAAATTAATTTTTCATTTCTTTTGTTTTGAAACTAGTTCCTTACAGATGTTGATATTCAACTAATCTATGAACGTACGACTGGTACCAGCTTGGTACTTATACTGTGAGAGTCTGCTATATTAGGAAACTGAGATTTAACATTAATAGTACTTTATCCAAACGCTTTGCTTTGTGGTGATTACAGTGTTTCTTGTTTCTAATTATGATCATTAGGACAGCGGATACAACGTAGGTACAATAGAGACAAAACATCGGTAATCTATGATTACTGACTGGAATTCGTTAATTTTACGCATTCCACACAATTTAGTAACCGCTCGTCAACAGAGTTATTAGTTTAGCCCATTTTAATTCCATAAGTTTACTTCCTCCGTTTACCGATAAGTCTTTATGGATAAGTTTATTTTAAATGTCCAAAATTATAATCATTTAATGCATGTTTAATATGTATACAACATTGAAATAATGTCTGTTCACCAATTAACAGATATAAATTGATTGAAGCTCTTATTTATTGTGTATATCCATTCATGTTCCCAGATGAATAGGTACTTCATGTTTGCTTACGTTGAAAAATAAACTAGTTATTCACCTTCGAGTTATTCTTAATGACTTGCTCAATTTTCCAGGTACTTCTAATTAATTAAATTTTGTAAAGCTTCAGAACCATCCGTTTTCTTTGAACTTTGAAATAAAGAACCAAGGATTCATATTCAACGTTGATTCATGTGCTTAACAATTTCATATATCCAATTTTCTATCCAGAAAGTGAACGACTTGGAAGCCTTATAATGATTAAATCAATGGTAATGTATAGACGACGCAGAAAATCAGTAATGTACTGTAAAATATATTACTTTGAATACAATTTTAGAGCCTTTCCTCAATCATGTTATTGGAAACAAGGGGTCTGTTCTAGATATACAACTCTCAATCAAACACTCAAGCTGTAGCTTAGATGTACTTATTTTTATCATAATGTTATCAATAAGAGCCTTGCGTGCTTATCTAATCTTGATCACGAAATTGTAGCCAAATCACTGAAACGATTGATTACTTTCTATCTTTAAATTAACGTTTTAAAAATACTTCATTTCATTTTAGGTATATTGTCGATTTTTCATGTTGGCAGTTTTACGCGTGCTGAAACATTAGCTGGTATGGCTTTAGCATTAAGGTGAGCATTTATTTGCCAATGTTTATGTCTCGTTTGTTTTTTTCACAATAAACTGATCACATCGAGTTAAATGGTAGCAGATAACTTTTATCAGTCAAGAAGATTTTTTTCAGTAATTCTACTTTATATATTAAGAAAAGGGTTCATTATCGAAAGATGTAAATCAAAAAATTTAACTATAACAAATATTGTTACTGACTATATTCAGAAAAAGTATTAATCTTCAGTATCTCAGTTTAATTGCTTTGGGTAATTTTTTGCAACAATTTATGATTATACTAATTTGTAGTGGTAACGTAAAATGCTTTTTGTGGAAAAGATCCCATTGGTGTAACTTATTTATGAAGTCCAATTTTATGTACTCGGTTTTGAGCCAAACTGTGTTTGTTACGGCTAAATGGAATGCAATTCGAACTACCAACTACTTTACTGAAAGCCGATTCTTCAAAAACGTTTTAGTTCATACAAAGGAGTGTATCTGATTAGATTTTGTTCTTCAATTAGGTATACCAAACAATTTTACGCGAGAATACTGTGTTCCTATAAATTTAAAATGGTTTTGGGCTGATAGCCTAATGTTAAAAAAATAAAAATCTCAATATGAATACTGGTTCTCGATTCAAATAACTTCTGTGATCGTAAAAGACTTGGTTTTAGAAAATACTTATTATTATAGCTTTTGCCAGTGGCGGGGCTTTCGTGTACTATTTTTCATAATTTATATTGGATGAATATTGACATTAGGTGAAATCATTGTTTTTATTTTATTTTTCATCAGTAGCGGATTATCTATGTAACCATGAATTTACAAACTCTCAATAACGAGAGTTTGTCGCAGACTAACTTTTAGCTTGTTTGTAACCACTGAGTCTTATTCAATCATATAGTGAAATAATAAATATATAGTTGTCATTTTATCTAATATTATCCACTTGAATTCAACTAAAACTAATTACGTCTAAACACCAAAACGTAGTTAAAGAACTATTGGTTAAACGAAACCAAATAACACTATCTGCTAAATCACTTTTGAAAATCTTGAAATGAATGATATTTTGTGTTTATATCAAATAGCTTATCTGAAATACAAAACGATTTCCTACGTCTATATAATTGATCAGTTTTTTTAGTTTAGTAAAATAAGCACGTAATTACAGCTTATCAGATATTCCTCTTTGTCTACATTAATTTTAATTTAATAACACTTAAAATACGTTTATGTTTAATTTTATTTTAGAACATATTCAACACATATTCTTCAAGGCTGGACAATAAGTGTACATATGTCATCAAAAATATTAGATGTACCAGGTTATTTTTATGTATTGGATATATTTAGTCAACAAGAACTTCCGGAAGAATGGTCACATTTAAATAATATTCTTCTTCATCATGTATTACCATGTTATGATGCTAAATCAAAAACAAAGGAATATAATAGTGTTTACCATTCCCATTATGCCAGGTGAATTACTTATAATCTCTTTTAGTTTCACGTTATTATTATTAATTATTATGTTGATATATTTACACAGAAATTCATTTTAACTAGAATGGTTAATTGAGTAATTCATGCCTTTACGTTTACGTCACACTCTCCTTGTTCATCGATGATGCTGTTGACCAGCTACGAGAAAGTTTTCACCTCTTCCAGGGTTTCTCCATCAAGTGTGACTGGGTTGGTGATCTCCGTGTTGTATTTGAGGACCTTGCTTTCTCCTTGATATATGTTGAAGCTTCTGCTACACTAGTTGTCTTCATCTGCATTTATTCGTGTGTATGGGATAGAAGGGCCAGGTCATCTGCGAAGTGCGAATCGTCTAGTTGCATTCAAGATGTCCATTGTATTCCGTGTCACCTCTCAGATGTGGAGGCCTTCATAATCCGGTCAACCACCAGACGAAAGAGGAAGGGGGAGAGTAAGCAGGTTTGTCTGTCTCCAGTCCTCACTTGGAATGAATCTGCTAGCTATTCTCCACTCACAACTTTGCAGTGTAATCCGTCGTATGAATTAAGTGTGATATTTCCAATCTTCTCAGGTAAAGCATAGTGTCACCGAAGGTTCTACAACATTCTCCTATCCACACTGTCAAATGCTTCTTCGTGCTCAAGGAACCTGATGTTTAGTGACGAGTTTCATTCAATTGATTGTTCAACGATGATCCGTAGTGTCGTGATGTGTTCAGTGTACGACTGATCCTCACGGAATCTGGTCTGTTGATCTCAAAGTTGGGCGTCTACTGAACCGTTTATCTGTCTCAACAATGCTGTTGAAAACCTTTCCTAGTACTGATAATAGTTTGTTTCCTCTGTAGTCCTTTCATTTGCTCAGTTCTCCTTTCTTCGGAATGTTGATAACTTGTCCTTCTTTCCAGTCTATCGTCACTTGTTTCTCCATCCGGATCTTCCTGAATAGAACCTGGAGCATTTTAGCAATTGCTTTTATGTCTGACTTTTGTTCCTCGGTAGGTCAATTGTCAGGTGCTGCTACTTTACCAATCCGGATTTATCTGATCGTTGGTGGAGTGACATCTGTAGTGAGGTCTGCAGGTGCTACTTCGATATCCGGTGGATTAAATGGAGCTGGTCTAATTAAGTGTTTGTGAAACTGTTCCTCTCTCCTTGAATTTCAGTGATTGACTTGTCTTGGTTATCGTTGACCGGACTCTCTGGTTACTCCCTATCAGTTTATTCCTATAGTGGTCTCATATTTCCTCCACTTGTTTGTTTTTCCTTTGCCGTTACTAGATCTTTCACGTATTTATTTTTGTCATCTTCACTTGCTTATTTGCTTCTGTGTATTCAGCTCGTGCCTTGTCTTCCTTTGTTGTTGTTCGCCTGTTGATAATTGCTATCCTCTTGATCTTCCTTTCTTGAATTCATTGAGTTGGTCGGAATCTCTAAAGAAGGCTGTATTGAACCTGTGTAATGCTGTTTTCTCAGTTGTTCAGTGCTTCTTTGGTTTCAGATTGATCTTGGCAACCACCAGGTGGTGACCCGAAGCTGTGTCGGGACCTCTTTTCGTTCTCACGGCTTCTACTGACCCTCTGAATTTTGTATTGATGTAAATATGATTGATCTGGTTCTCTGTAGTGTGTTCCGACAAGACCCATATAGCTTTGTGTGTGTGTGTGTTTATGTGGGAATATTGTGCCACGTATAACCTTTTTGTTGAATGCACACAGATTCGCAAATCTTTCTCGATTCTCGTTCCTTTTTCCCAGTCAGTCAAAGGCACTCCATGATATATGTATAACCGTTGCTGTTGATGGTTTTTAGCAGGGTTGATTTCTACAAGGTGGGGTTGTCGACCCCATGCCCAACCCTCTTTTTTTACCAGGGTTTGGGACCGTCAGTATCTTTAGAAGGGCTACAGGCTGATTTAAAGAACCTGGATAAACCAGGGCTTATTAAAATTGTATTATTTAGGATCTCTTTTGAATTAGAACTGTAATCGTATCCGTAAGAATAAAAAGTGATTTCTATGTAGCTGGACACATTTATTCATTAATGTAGGTTCACTGATTCCATTAAACATATACAGAATTCACTAAGCTGCTGAGTTATGGTAGCATTAATTTTGAATATTGAAAGATGCTAGTTGATACATGATAGTTGTTAATGCAGTCATTCGGTGAAACAGGGATTGTCGTCATTGACTTCCAGAAATTACAGTTTTGCTTGAAAATTCTCATTACGAAATTCTGTTTTCCTTAAGAATGTCATTTATCTATATTGTGTAGAGAATATTATTTGTACTTTAATGCTAATTTTTTTTTCCTTCATTAAGAAATGGAGTAACAGGAGTTATTGACGATTCACCACCACCTATTTTGGATAAATATAAGAATTATAATCATCAAAAATTGGCTAATTCAATACATGGCATAGAAAACACCGTAATGCATTTTTTTGTTGTCAAATTATATTATATTATAACACGATTGCAATGTGCATAGTATTTTAATGATATAATCAATGTCGTTTTGTGTTTTTTTTGTCAGCGCTTTCATTTTTAGCCGGCTTTCACAAATAGCAAACAATTATCACTAATTGCTAAATAAGAGATATTTGGTTCTTCAAATTACTAATTGTAGTTTAGTATTTCCAAGTTCAGAGAAATTTGAGTCTGCTTAATGCTTGAGCTTTGATTTATTATATTGCGTACAATATTGTTTTGTGTAAAAACTGTTTTGATCAACTGTCATTATTGACTGAAACATGAAGAATAACTATATGTTCGTTAAGTTTCTCTTTTTGCTACAGATTAAATATTGGCTTGCTTGTTCATCAATACTTATTGATTATGATAAAATCTGGAAACATCTCAAATATTCATTTTTTTAACTTTAATGAGTAGTATATATGTTTCGAATGACCTAAATACAGAATAAAATGTTACACAAAAATATTCATAATTAGATATTTTATAGTCCTATTAAGTAGACGTCACAGTTCATGTGAAGCTTGAATGTATAGTTAAATGCTTCAATGATTAATTTAATATCTAATTAAATATGAAATACACTTCCATTCATTCATTTTAAATCAAACTGAATATTGAAACTTTATTTTTAGAATAACATTAACTATCATAAGAGAACTATGATAAATGACAAATATTGATTCTGTGCAAAATGAATAATTAAAAAAATGTTATTTCAGCGTTTAATTTTATTTAGACACTTACACGTAATTTCAACCCTTTATTGACTAGCAAAAATTCACATTATTATTCTCAATTTCATTATTAGTATTAATAATATTTATCCTTTTAGATGAATTCACACAGTCGTTATACAAGAGCTTCAAATATAAATTCTTTCAATCACCATCGTCGTCCTAGTTCTCAAGCTGACTGGTTTAAAGCAGTAAGGCTAATGGCTTCAAAACGATTCAGTGAAAGTACCAGGTCACTATCATCAATTAGAAGGAAGAATATTAAAAATCAGAAAATGTTTAATTCATTTCATTCACCTAGTGTTGGTTTCCCACGATCCAAATCTCCAGGTGATATTCTTCAAGATAGTCGACTAACAAGAGCATCTCCAACTGGTTATCCCTGTAAAAGAAGTTCAAACGCATTACCGCATGATATGCGATATTATATTTACGATCTTGCACCTTGGACCGTACAACTTAGAAAAGAAGTAAATTGTTGTCGTTGTTTCACTCTTAATAATTTATTTACTTGGTTTTGATACAAGGGAATTTCGCATTTTCGAATGACAAATAACTCAGTTGTAATAAAAATTGCATTTCTATGCTATTTACCTCAATCAATTTAAGGGTCTATATACAATCCTAGTTAATTCTGTGAAGAGAGAAAAGATGCTAACCTTTACATACTTAAATTTAGATTAATGCATTTTAGTTTAATGCATAGTAAGAGAATATATCGAGTAGTTTGTGTAATTGACGTTTTACAAATAGACTGCTTACACAGTTTTATGACATTTAGAAAAATAATGTATGAGGGTACAAATAAAGTAAATATAATTTCTTCCAAGAATATTGTGGTGTATACTACTTATGTCAAGTGATATAAGTAGTATGTAACAGCAATAGGAGGTTGAAACTCTGTTGGCAGAAGGATAAGAAGATCAAGTTCATAAGAAAACAGAAGCGGAAATAGAAAGGAATTGTGATTTGAAAGAATGATACAGAATGTGGAGGAGAAATGATGGAATTCCGCATATAAAATATCCAATGTGTGGTTCTGATACTTTACCAAGATATTCTGTAATTTCGTACTAAAGTACAAAAGGTCATTTCTACCCGTGTTTATTCATTACAGTATTACCTCGTTTAACGGTATACTAGAATTCATAGACCTTTCAATATCTGAGCCATCTTCTTATGAATATTTAAATAAGATATATTCTGAGTTACTTCCTTAAAAAAAAATTAAAATTACTGAATTACATTAATTGACACTCAACTTCAACTAAGTTCAAATATTGTCTATGTTGCAAAGTTAAAGAACTGTTTAGAAGATCTTTTGGTTTACTTCAGTCTAGTTATTCAATAAAAATGGTCCATTTGTTAGATTTCATTTTTCATATGACTAAAGCTGAATGGTTCAAAGAAAGTCTCACAGCTACATGATTTTTATTTGATTCTTTAAATAATGTTACTTTGAAAAAAACACATTGTTAACTAGATTCTTTTTTAATGATGATCGACTAAGACAAGTTCACATAAAGTCAAAATAATGTAGGAAGTGATAAGAATTTGGTTGGACAGTAAATTTAACAAACTGTTTTTCACTCCATAGTTTTTCGTCGTTTACTTAACAATATTCATCCAAGCGTTCTTGTGAAAGCACGCATAATGGACACCTGACTACTATTTTTGTCTAACGGGGAATTTCATGAGTATTTTACAGTAATATGTACTCAAGAACCACTAAAGCGCTTAGAATGATTGAAAAACAGGTAGAAAATTCTTTATTTTCCTTCAAATAAGTTGATGTATATTTCTATTTTGGTGGATTCACTAGAGTAATGAGAATCGGGATGAAAGTTTCTGCTTATGTAAAATTAATAGTTAAGACATCCCAATTTTATGGTGAATTTAGGTGAAAATATATATATGAAGCTTGTGACTGCAGGCAATATCGAGGCAGTCCACACAGGATGCACATATGCCAACAAGAGATTGATCAATTGCAGTCCTAAATAACAATGGGAAGATGCAAGTAAACAATACCAAGTGAAAATATAATTCACTTGTGTAAATGAACAACTGATATATATTTGTGTTATCTTAACAAATAGAATATTGGGTTTTTGAATATTTGCAGCTCATAAAGATCCGATTCTTCAGGGGAGAAATAGATTTTTGAAATTATCATAAGTTCAAATAGTACACGGAGCAAATCGAACATCTGAACACATAATTAAGATCAAGGGTTATCCCATGCAACTCATACCTTCTATGTATATCCAAGTTTACTATTGTTGTAAACTTTTTCTGATAATGTATTTATTTGAAGTGATGCAGTCGAACTTCAGTAATAATGCTGCTCATTACTAATCGGATGAAATAAAGAACTTGTATTTTGACAAGTTTCATCCATCATCAAATGCTTATCAACTATTGTTTAACTTCAATAAATATTGATAAGTCAAGAAAGGTGATTATTACTTAACATCAACATTGAAGTCTTAAACACGTTCACTTATATTTTAGTACTATTTTGTTATATGACTAATTATTGTTAGGATCTATTGAAAATTTCTTAACTTTTTTTTCTCATATTTCATCATTCCAACATGTATCATTACTACTATACAGTTTATCACTCCACGTGAACGTATAAGAACAAATTTGATATTGAATTTAATTTTTCACCAAATCATATCTGATATCCATGATGAAAGAAATTTACGTCTTAATACAGATGATCGTAATGAACTGTTATCAGTCATCGGTAAGCGGTTGTTTTTAGTATATATATATATAATGTAATTTTCATGAACTCTGGAAAAATGCCAATGGAATTGTATCGGAAATTCTCTTGAATATATACATTGAAATTCGTAACAAAGAAATTTTACGATGGGAGTTATTGGTGGTAACATTTTGAAAAACTAATTTGATATTAACCAAACCGTAATTTTACCCTTCAAACTTCATGTTTTTCATATAGTACTCTATTTACAATAATTATTATAAACGAAGATTCAAGTTATTTGATAACTATTGCTCCTTTTGATAAATTTGGATGGTGTGGTGAGAACACAAACGTTATCAGAATTATATGATATATTTACGCTGTACATTTCAAACAACGTGATCACTCATACATTTGCAGAAAAGTAAAAGTCTAACCAAACAAATTATGAAGTAAGGGGAAATAGAACTAATAATAAAGTACATAATGCAAAAATGATCAGTATTCCTAGGGTAGGTTGAGGGTAGGATTAAATTGTTTTTGATCATATTAAGGGGATTTCATTTTCTGTATAGCCAAGGCCTCAATGAACCATAATACATGCGTAGAGTAAGTTCTTTTCATCATATTATTCAAGCTAACTAATTAAGTGTCTTATTTCAAATAACTACATTGATTCAAGTAATTGTTCGTACTAGCACTTTTAGTATTTTTCTTTGTTTCATTTTTTTGCACATCAGGTAAACATAGAAATCTTGATTCCATTGAATCTGTTCATGAAATTCCAATGGAAGTGAAAAAGAAGACTTTATTGACTTCTTTGAATTTACCTATTTATTTTGGACGATTTTATCCCGTTCAAGTAATTTGTTCTACATGTTATTTAATGTATTTTGTTAAAAAAATCATTTTTTAAAAGTCAATAAAAGTAGATTTCATTATATTTTTATCTGTCAATTGAAATTTTTCCATGATGTTTCAGATATAATATATGAAATTTCATGTTGACTTTGAGAAATTCGCACTTACGAAATGATGATATTATTTATACTATGACTGTATTGATTCTAGGGATAGTTATTAATATCAGTCAGAATTAATTCAATAAAAGTATTTGACAAATGAAGAATATCAGTAACTCCATCATCAGACTTGACAGTTATGGGTCCGTAATTATGATATTTTACAAAGGCAATTAGACAATGTTATATGTTAAAAATGGTAGAAATTTGCATCTATTACGGCATAAATATTTCAAAATTGTGCTATTTGTAAATTAGAAAGGTCACTCAATAAAGGACAAAATGATTTAAAGTGTCAAGTTTTTGAATATACTCGGATGTTAAGTCTAGCATTCTATTGCATGAATTTTTAGAGTGAATGCGTTTATCTAATGATGTATATTATATATTTTTAGACATAGTTCACTGCACAAAATTATAATTTTATTGATTCAGTAAACTAGAAGCAACGGTACACATAAATTGTACATTATAGAAAATTAATAATGAAAAATGGTTTATATTGATGTTAATTTTACAAATTGTATTTAAGTCAAACAACAATTGTTTCCCAAATCTTGAGTTTAGTATTTGTTAAATTAACTAATTATTTTCAACGTATTTATTAATTTTTATTTATAGCCTAAGTTTCTTAGTTACAAACTGAAAATTCATTTTCTTAATTTCTATTTTTTTTTAAATGATCGAGTCCATGGATTGTAATCAGAAAGACTTTGTGGAGTAGTGTAATACTTTGTATGTTTTTGACTAATCTCTTAGAAAATATATTGTTTTAAAATCGCCAAACATATATTCAAATAATATTCAGATGTGCATTGTCAAAAAACCGTTGACCTGTCAATCATCTTTAGATATAACTGCATAATTTACTGTACACAAGCAGTCATTTATAGTTTCAGCTACTGTGAGCAGTCTTTTATAGGTGTGTGATCAGCTTTGATCAATGCTCATATATATCTGTCTAACAAAAGTGACATTCAAAAGACCAATAAATGTCGCATTATGACCTTTGATATACACTATTAAATTAAACGCAATCAACATTAATTAAGTTGTTCTCCTTGGACACAAGTTGGATCTTCAAATACTGTTAAGTTTGTTCTAACTGTCTCAAATAGATTTGTTTATTTTTGAGAAAGTATAGATGTTAGTTTTTTTCTATATACTATTCAAAACGATAAATATTAGGTTAAATAAAATCTCTAACCAATTTTATTCTAATGGCTTCTTATAATTATCAAATGAAAATAAACTATGTTCACTTCTTGTGAATATTTGCTACTTTATCAAGCAATAACTTGTGAATGTTAAGTTTATTATTCAAAACAGTGGATTTGTGAAAAAAGGCTGTCGAATATAACTTCTTTCAAACTGGTTTGTTACTGAAATACGAATTAGTCTCAGATGATTTATTCATTTGTATATACGTGGTAAACTAATATTATGAGAGGCGACAATAATGCTTACTATTTATACTATTAGCTACTCGTGTCGACCTTGATTAAGAATGGAATTAAAATATCTGTGTAGGTTTATTTTTTGGTTGTTAACAATTATTGTACGACTTTGATCTTTTGTTTCCCCTCCCACAACCTGCAGTAAAATATTTTTTTATCCACTGCTAATTAGTAATTTTGCTTCGAAGATTCATAAGCGAATCTGTTAGTTTTGAAATGTTGTAAAAGGTGTGCAACTCAGATGATTTTGCTAGAGTTTTGTTCACTGACCAGAACAATTTAATTCTAAGGCTTTCGTTGTCCTCCTAGTCATCATTAACACAAACTTTATCCAACTCAGAGATCTAAACCACACCAAAATAATTTATCAATGCTCTGTTGTGTGAAACAAGTGAGGTAAATGTAAGAATCATTAAGTATTAATACCGTATACTTGATGTAAAGTACTACAACTGTTTTTTTTGATGTATTTATTGTGAATAATTAGAATTTGATAATCTTTCCTGTTATAAACCAGTCAGTGACTCTTAATCAGTATCAAGTTAAACATAAAATAATATGTTTGGATTAGGAAATAACATCCAAGTTAAGATGGTGTGGTTCATTAGTTGCTGTTATGACAGATGATTAAAACTACAGAGTCACTTTATAACTATTGTCAAATTCACATCGTTATTCATAATAAGACATGCATCAATCAAAAGATGCGTTGCTTCTTTCTGTTCATTTCAGTCGCTTGATATGAATGCTTCTCCAGATCTTAGTCAGTGGTTAGTAGTAAGTCATCACGGTATCAGGTTGGTTTTGCAACCAAAAGATTGTACAGAGGTCAATATAAGAATTATCTCCAAGCTTGGTGACGTAAACAAAGTAACTTCATCGCGGACATCCAACAGACCACGGTGGCGATGTGGAGATCAATCATCAATCAAGGATTCTCAAAGTACTGATTATGGAAAACCTTCAGATTATCTTAAACCACCATTAAGTCGATCAGTCAGTACAGTAACCTACAATCTTTTGACTCTAAATCACGCTGCTGGAATAAGTCAGTTTTATACAGAAATGGTAAGATTTCGATAATGCCAGAATGTTTTTTACAATTTCACCTTATTATAAATTTGAAAAAGTTACCAGTGACATGAATAAATTTTAAAAAATGTAACTCTGTGAGTAACCAGAATGTGTGAATTATTAACATCTAAAGTTTAAGTATAATTTAAACCAGTGATGATGTAGTAATTAAAGATCGAATAAGTATTATTATCGTTTTCTGGTTATCCCATACATTTGCAAGAGTTTCTATATAAAAGGAATAAGTTTGTAGAATTCACATTTATTATCTTATGAAAAACGTTTGGTATTAAATCTCTTTTTTGTTAATGCAACAAACACTTCTCTTTTTTCTCTCTCTTATATGTAATAAAAAGTCCGAAATTGACATATATCGTTTCATTCATTTACTACGTACTTTAAGCTCAAGATGCTTGTGAATTAATAGCAATATCAAGTCAATCCGCGCTGGATACATGTATGCTAAAACTGACGGATCAGTTAGAGTCCTAAATAACAAAGGAAAAATCCAAATAACCAATATAAATCACGTTAAACTTTTTTATATGTAATAAGTGTTATGTTTCACTATTCCTTGGTACTATACAAATTCTAGTCGTTGTAAAAAGAGATTATCATACACACCAACTTAATAATATTTATTTACTGGTTAGTAAAAAAAACTTTAAACAATAAGTAAATGAGATTTAACCATTTTGTTGTGCTTTCATCAGCTTAAATGTTGTAATTGTGATTGTTTTCACTTTCATCACACTATGAAAATACTATTATATGAAATATGTTTCTTAAATTCTAATTGTTTATATCATGCCAATTTTTTTCTTGTTTAGGCAGAAAAGATTTGTGAACTTATTGAACTATTCTTAAGAGAATATAAAGAAGAGGTAGTTTATTTCTTATCAAACTTGTTATTAATATTGTTAGTAGTATCATTATTACTGTAACTATTAGTAATATTAGTATTACATGCGTTTTTATAAATGAAATAGCAGAGGGCCAAAAATGATAAAGATGCTCTGAGATGCAGGTACATTCAGCTGAGGTGTCCTAAACAGGACGAACTGCGCGTTCTGGATTCCACTGCTAGCCACTATCCATCTTTGCTAATAATGCTTATGAATTAAGGCAATATCGAGGCAGTACGCACAGTATGCACATATACCAATAACAGACTGATCAGTTGCAGTCCTAAACATCTATGAGAACATTCAAGTAAACAATACCAAGTGAATTCATTGTAAATTTAGTTTATTTCCCATCATAAATCCTTATTGTTTTCTTCAGAATTGTGTAATTATTTTGAGTTATCTATTTTACACATGATGACAACGGAACATAACTAGACCATATTAAAAAGAATATTATCGATTCGTTTATCTGTGTGTTTTTTAAAATTGAGATTTTTGTTTGAAACATCTACTTTTTCTTAACTATACTTTAATATTTAAAATGGTAGTTGCTCAAAGTCTAAAGTAATATTCTATATCTTTTCAGAATCAGTCCACACATTCAAAGCTTCTTCTATTTTTCTCATATTGATGCTAGATGGAAAATAGTTTAGCGCAATTTTTATATTTTGTTAATGCATGGACAACAATTTCTGTTGTAAAACGTGTAGAGCCTGTGATGGTTTTCAACTGTACTGTTTACTTAATAAAACGAGCGTCGAATCGTTATATGAAAAGTGTCTTTGGTTGAGGTAAAAATATATATTATTTTGACGGATTCAAACAGAAATATAAATGTAATAGAAAACAATGACCGAGGAAGTAGTTGTTTGACATTAACACATTTTCAACAATGTTGTATCTTGAAAATCCTTGACAGGTATATATTGTAAAAAAACAAAATTTATTTTAGGCTGACCAAATACTGTAAATTGTTCATTATGATTCGAAAGGCATTTGTAGAACATTTCATATTTTAAAATGGCGAAGATCATTTTCTCTTTCACTTTCTATCTATTAAGGAAAGCAATTTCTGATGAATCACGTCTTAGAAAATAATGAATATTCAAATTTTTAATTAAAAAGGCTAGTGTGTATATTTATTATGCACTTGACGTTTTATAGACATAAGATAGTCAGGTATGCTCTACTTCGAAGATAAAACAGTATTAACAAAACATATTAGAGGTTTCATTATTCTGGAAAACTATACTCTAGCAAAATTTTGATGTGCATCAAAGACATGTGTTGCACTTTTTAAAACAGTTGTTTTTCCGGTCGGAAGAATATATCTGTCTCACTACAATGAAAAAATTGTTTCGTTTAGTTTGCACTCCGGAATATTGGGTATCATTACCTTGAAATCATGTCTTAATCCATGGTCTATTATCTGAATTTATTCCTGTACAAAATCTTTTAACTCTTAGTCTACTGACTTCGATTTCCCTGTTTTAATTCCGTTTTCTTCTGGATAGTTTACCTTTTTCTATATTGTTCACAGGTTTTATCATTTGCACAAACTATTTTCAACATGTTCCTACGTTATGTTTGTGTTTAAGTGTACAGTGACATTTTCACTTTATTCAAGATCTCAAAAATTTAGAGCAGGTGATTCGTTTTCAATTAAATTTTGTTCACTCTACAATCTATGAAATCTCTCTTCAAACATAACTGAAAAAGATTACGTATTACTGTAAATATATTTTGAAAGGTTTATTTTTGTGGTAGTATATTCATCTATTACATATTGTTGCATAATCTGTGTATAACTTCTTAATGTAATTTAACTAATTCGTAGTTTACGTATAGACTAAACAACGGGAAGCGTGTCCTATTTTGCTGAAATTGTATTCTCTTTATATTGTCTCCTCTCTTTACACCATGCAGTTTACTATATTTATCATAAGCTAAAATAATTTTTATTTATAGCAATTTATATCATGTTACTTCTTATGTAAAATTTATGTTGTTCTTATTTAAACTTATAGATGAAACGTCTTCAGGATGCGAAACATTCTGCTTTCAGAGGTCGTTGTAAGTGTGTTTACTCGTACTTGATTATGTTTATAATTACGTTTTATTGTCAGTTGAAATAGTTTTTTTTGTTTCTGATTAAAAAAGTGACTAAATTGATTACTTTTCTTACTTACTTTATTTAAATCGCAGCTTTAGAATTTTCCTAAATTCTTCATATCTCCCTTATGAAAACATCGTTAAAACGTTTGTTAGTGGTGAAGTACTGTTTAAAGTAGAGCGTTTTTACGATAAGCACTGCATTAAAGGTAATGCATGACCTGATTATGAAAAATATTAGGCTGTTACTAGACTAATGTTAACAAAAACTACCGTACTATTCAAGTATTATCTATATCATAATCGTCATTTCTTCCACGGTCGAATTATTGACATGATCCTTTAAAATAGTGATTGGATTATTTGTAGTATCATTAATTGTTATAAAATACTCAAACATTTCGTCTGAATTCTGATAAACACACATCATCTATCTCAAAACGTTGTTAAAGATAAATTTCCACAAAGTCAGTGTTAGTTCTGCTGTTTTTTTCACCTTCCAAACAGACAATCAGAAAACATGAACAAAGAAGAATGAAACTTATTTTGAATAAGTTTTCTTATTGAATGTGAATGTCTTGATTTCTAACATTCATTAGTTGTTGTGCTTTACTTTCATCTGGACTTTAACATATTCATTATTTTATTTTGTGGCATATGTCTTAGTGCCAGTTGTGTACTAACAATTCTTTAAAAATTATCTTGTTCAAGAGTGAAATAAATTAACCATTAAAAAATAAATCATGAAGTTTTTATTATTTATTATTAACACAATGTATAAATATGCATGAAATGAAAATTATTCTTGTTGTTATGTATTTGTGACACAAACTACTTTCTATTTGAAAACGCCTTAAAAAAAGCCATATATAAAAAACGGGAGGCTAAATCACATGCAGTAATTTTATATGTCCTATATGTACATTGTATACATTACTAAATCATATGTGTACAATAAGCGCTAACATATTCATTTTCTTCTCTCTGTAAATATCAATTTAACTAGAAATAAAGCATTCATCCAAGAGGATTTGAGCTCAGAGGGAAACTTTTGAAATACAAAAGTTTTAAGAAAATTAAATATTTTCCAAAAAAGCTTTTTACAATTAATTTGTAAATAAAATGATGTGAAAAACAAGAAAATCATCAAGACAGTTTACTTCATTGTTCGACTTCCCATATTAAAATTTTTTACGAACAACGTAATAATATTATTTGTTCACTTTAATTATAAAAATTCTCAACACTTGTTCTGTATACGTTTCTCATGCATTGCGTTGTATCGAATCATTTTAAAACCTTTAGATGACATACATCCGGTCAATGTCCCAGGAATTATAGACTTATTTCTTTTACAGCATCTCCTTGTAAAATGATACACCAAATAATTATTGATTGTCTTGTTTTTCCTCAATTTCACTTTTTGTACACTATTAAATTTTCAAAAAACTGTTCTATATCTATATATATACGTAATTTACTTATTCATAAATTGTTATTTACATAGTCAATGCATCAACTCCTGACATTTCAAGTACTCCAGAAGTTGCATATCGACTGGTATGCAGTCCTGCTTTACTTTCAAATGATTTGTCCGAACCCTCATTTAATTCAGAGCAGCAATTTATAACAAAAAATGTTACAAATCTTGATACGAAACCTCCGATTATTCCACGAAGACGTAGTCATGTTTCGCATAAATTTGAAAATTCTACGAATAATAATTCACTAGTTGACAGTTCTGATTCATTATCTTCGGATTCAGAATTACATTCACCGAATCCAATCAGTCGATCAACAACACCAACTATAGCCAAACATACACGATCATCGAGTGAACGTAATCTTATTAGTGGTGTGAACAATTTAGGATCTGGTGAAGATACTCCAATTGGTTGGAATCCACCATTTAGACGAAATTTGTTCGGTGATTCACAAGGGCAACAGTTTAATGAACATCCTCTTTTGCCATTTGCACGTCAAAACTTTTTAAATAAGTGAGTGAATTTTGAAAGTTTTATTTTATTTTAAGATAAAATTATGATGAGAATGATAGTAATCAATATCCTGGTATTCGTTTTTTAAATATTGAAATCAATTTACTTTGCTGTTTGATGAATCATATTTTGTTTTATCCCAAGTTTTTGTTTAGAAATATATATTATACAGTGTAAAATCAGTTAGCATGTTAAAACAATCAGTAGTATATTTTGAAACATAAACTTTCCATTCTGCTTCGGTTTTTCAAAGATGGATATCGTGCTATTGTGATGCTAACTTTGTCACTACCTGTCTGTATAAGATGATTAACGATAATCTACTGATAATTGGTTTTTGATCATCGATGAAATAAACTGTCTCTTTAAATATCTATTTAAGAGCGTGGTATGTTTATGGGAAAACCAACCTTATTACAATTTATGGGACTAAACACAGACAGACCCAGGTTACATCGTTCCTCACATATGCATGCTCGATGTATATGTAACTATACTGATAGTCTGTATCCCGTGTCCTCATTTTATGTTCATATCCAGTCAATATAACTTCATGTGAGTTTTTTTGAAGATTTTTGTCAATGGATTCTTACAGAAATCAAAGCTGAATTTTCTTACAGTGATTTTATATTTTGGCTTATTGTGATCCTTTGTAGATCAGTTAATTTGCGCATAGTTAAATGTTTACGTAACAATATTAACTTCTTTTTCACTTGATATGTTTTTGGTGTATACTAGGTTTCTAAAATGCTAATGTTATTAATTTAGTGTCAATTAGTGTGCTAAATGAGGCATAATGTAACGGCAGATCCTTTATTTAACTGACTTTAAGTGTACTCCTTTTACAAAATAGTATCATTTACTAATCACAGCCTCTTTAGTTTACCGGTAAACAAAAAACTCCTTCACATAGCTTCAATCTTCAAAATATGCTAATGATTGATAAGGACTTAAGTTGAATTATTTACTTATTTTTTTTCGTCAAATCTTCACCAATTGCCTTAAAACCATAACCACAAGCGTAGTACTTATATAGATGTTTTCAGAACCTAATACGAACACGTTAGATTGTGGTGCAATACAGGTGGAAGTGCAATCACATAGATTATTTCATATCAATGTCATATAATGAGGAACGTTGTTCAGCATCGACTGAGATTTTATCAGGGAAAAGAACTTTTCTACTAGAAGTACCTCGATCTTTTTTCGCTTTATTTTTTCTCGACAACTTCGTCAGAAAACGTTTACGACCCTACTATTATGAAACAATGTGTGTACGGAGTTAAAACAAATATATCAAACTTGATTAACGGAAGAAACAGCTTTCTTCGTGCTTTTGTTTTTACATAGGATTGATAACACTACTTTTTTTATTTTAAAACCGTTTTTAAAATCTGTAGTTTATAAAAGACAACTAAAAATAATCAAAACAATTTTACTAATGTTGTGTGTGCTATTGATGACAATAGATATAAGTAGTTTTTTCACCAGTCGAATATGGAATGCCTGGCAGCAGATAGTTGGGAAAATCGAAGAGAAGGGAACGAAAACAGAGTGTGCTTGGTAGGGAAACGAAGGAACAGCACATTCTTAGACAATTGATGGATGTTTTGCAAATGAAGTATTACTGTATGGTTCTCAGATTTTACCAAAATATTTCATAATGTATTAAAGTACATTTGATTGTCCCCGCCTGTGTTCTCGTTCACTACACTAGAACACAGATTATTATGTAAGCTTTTGGGAAATAATCTAGATATAAAGTTTATACTATTTATTTTTATTTTATTAAAAAGTGAAATAGACGTGTACTTTAGAAAAAAAGTGTCATATCCCACGAAAGTTATGGATGGTAACTTATGAGAACTATTTATGAACAAATATTATACGTATATTCTCTATGTATTCAGTAGCTAGATTATTCATATCTATACTCCTCTAATTAAAAACTTTATTTTGACAGGAAGAAAGACTGATAAGGACTCTAGACTGCTCGAGTTTATGCATTATTGGTCCGGTCAACAATTCACTGTTCTCTAATTGGCAGTATCATTACATTATACATTATTAGGGCACTAGGTCACAAGTTATAACAAAAGGTGTATAAACTTGTCTTTCTGTTGACTGGAAAATTATCATCACATTGAAATTATTTCATAACTAATAACTCAGTTTAAACATTTATCGCTTCATTGATGTCTTTTGTTAGAATACCTAATAATTTTAAAAAAAATTGTTGATCAATATTCTAACAAATAGATTAGAGTTTAAGTCATGATAAGAACTGTATTGATAACTAAAATATAAATAGATATGAGACTAATGACTTTCATGAATTAGTGTCATATGAATGTCTGTTGAATTGTGCCGCTAAGCATTTTCAGTAACCATCCTTTTTGTTTTTTTATTTTAAAGTCTAAAGACTTTTTTATTCAACACTAATTTACATAAACATTGTAACTAAAGGAGACGGTTAGTCATCTTTGTAAATCAAATATTGATGAAATTGAATTAATGACCGTATCCTTTAAGTTGTTCGATTTCCAAATGGGTTTTTTTAATGTTTTTTATTGATTCTATCTACTTTTTTAATGAAGAATAAGATTTCTCCGTTTGTATGTAATTGTAATATAAGTTTCTTAAAGGTTACATTGTGACTTCTTTACTTTATATTAAAGAAATGACGTAATCCAACAACTTAGTTGGGAGCCTCAACCACCTGAATCTGGATCTCTGCTAAAACATCCAGATAGTGTGGATATGGAAGTGTCAAGGAATATATTTACACGTATGTACTACAACGAAAGTAATCTGCTTTACTAACACTTGGTGGTTTACACCTAATTTTACCAAAAAAATCAGTTCACTTTTAATATAATTTGATACAGTAGTCAACTATTTATGTGCACATTAATTTGAAGCCACGTTAACAATTATACATTTTTGATATTACTCGTTTCTGTACATCCATATCTAACATATTCCATAAACTATTTTGACAGTAATTAAACTCTGCAATTTGCATTTTTACAGCGCTTCTACTTTAACTACATTAAGTTCATTCATTGCATTTTCTCCATTCTTTTCAGTCAAATGTGTGTTGAAATTGGTACACTGTTAAATAATTTTCATCACAATTTCATAACATTTTAAATATTAGCTGAAATCACTACAAACAGGATATAGGTCTTATCTTGTTAACAAATAAATATCCATAAGTTCTGTCTATTGATACCCTGGAAATTCTCAAGCTGATTGGGTGCTACAACCAATTCGCACCTACATATCAATAAGATTCGAACACTAATATTTTCGGATTCTACAACAAAACACGCTTTATGTGATAATAATGACAAGTAAACGACTTTGAATAAATTCAAGATTTATCAAAAATTCATTGAGGTATCTAACTATCATTTCATTGATTTAACAAGATGTATTATTATTACCATTAGGTTAAAAATTCTATCTATTTTATTGATTCTATAGTTGGTTTTATAACTATCGATTGAATGAATGCTCAGTCTTCAGTAATAAGGATAGTAGGTTGATGAACCTGTATTAATCCTGACACACTGCTTTCCAGTGAAGGTCCAGCTTCTCCTTGAAAGTATTCATTGATGGGGCTGATACCACTTGTTCGGGTAAGACGTTCCAATGACTGACTACTCGATGAGAAAAACGGGACCCTACTTTAAGTTTATTAGATCTTGGTTTATGAACCTTCTTGCTATGACGGCGGAGATTATTAGTGCTGGAGGGAGCAAAAAGATAAGACATATTAACACCCAAATCATAATTAAAGATACGAAATGCCAGCATAAGGTCACCTCGCGTCCTACTACGAATTGAATCTTTTTATCATTTCATTCATATCCTTATTACTTGTAACTTTTAAAATTCTTATAATGAACAGATTAGATAGAATTCATCTTGATCATCGCGTCTTATTGTTGAAAATAAAATAATTTATATGAAGGATACAAATTTACATCACATTATTATCTGCACCTTGTCCATTTACTAATTAAACCTCAGTAATCATTGAGAATAAAATAAACATTTCAATTGTCATAACTGACTATTCATTTATAATTTAAATGTTTTATAATTTTATATTTCCATCATATATGATATGTTAATTTTTATATATTTCTTCATATTAAAATCTTCTAGATTCATCTTTATTTTAATTTTAAATAAATCAGCAAAAGTAATAAATTCTAAATCATCATCATTATCATTTCATTATAGTCTGTTTACTCTGATGATTGCACATTTATTTCAATCTAAATTGATTTTAATCAAATAAACAACAACAAAAAAAACAGATTTTTTTCAGTTTATCAATCAGTTTTTTTTTAATATTGTTTAGTTGAAATGATCTGATTTAGTTGTGCTTTATTTAAAACAGAATTATTTAATTATCTTTCATCATATATAACGTTAAATAAATGATTATGGAATTTTTTTTCCTAATGAATGAAAACATTTATTATATTTTAGAATTATATCTAATATCTTGTTAAATACTTAAATATTTATTCAATAAAACAAAATACTCCTTTTAAACTTCCATATGTACATAGATGTGTAGTTTTGCTCATTTCAGCGATATAATAGTATACAATGACAATCCACAAAATTTATTTATCTGATTATTCAATTCTGTCTTATCCAATAAGTTGATCTTCATTTTGTTCAAAGATATGAAAAAAAAATTTTTTTTTACTTAACTAGTTACCCTGACACAAAAACAACATTGATAGAATAATATGAACACATCTTATTTTTAAACCATGCGTTGACTACTAACGTTTCAGTTATGTACATAGGAATCAATCAAATTGGATTAGTCTATGGTTACTTGTAAACTTTATTCATGTGAAATATTGCAATGTTTCGGCAAAAAAATATAAAATGTTCAACTTGTATGACTTCAGGTCATGCCCATTGATGTCTGCTTACGTCAGCTAAAAAACAAGTTATCATGGTACATCGGATTTTTTTTCCATTGTTTCGCTCTACTCATTGCTTCTTTATATCCAATATTATTGGTATTCATGCTTTTCTTTTTAAACCTGACCTTAAGAAGATCTTTTTGATAAATGGAGTCCAACAAATTAAAGTATATTTCATGATTAATATTCCTATTTTAAACTAATAAACACTATATATATATACATAGAATGCAATAATCAACTGGACATTTCATGATGTCTATTTCTTATTTTTTTTAAGTTTTATTGTTCAACAAATGACTGGTTCTTACCATTAGAAATTACGTCAAGTTATATGAATCGACCGAATATTATAGTTGGTATTTTTAAGTTTTAAAACACACAATTGGTCTTTTCAAAATAAATAACGTTACATCATTTTGATTCTTATGCGTTCTATGTTGAAATATCTAGATCTTCATAGCTTCTGTTCTTAAAACAAATCAACTTATTAATTTGGAAAAAAGTTAACTAGTAGTAATCACTAACTAATCATTTTTTAAGCTTCTTTGCCTTTTTTTTCATTTTTTTAAAATAGTCATTCAATGTTTTGCCAAAGAAGTTCCATCGAAATACTCACAGAGTGTGATTATTAAATTATTAATTGAAGTAAGTATCAGTAAAACGTTATGCTCCTTAAATTGAATTTCTGTATACATTGAGTTCATTTTAATGAAATAGTGGTTTAAATTACCTTACTGTTTTTTTTCTCAATCTTCATAGATGCTAAACGAACGACCATGGCTTTCTGATGAGTTGTACTGTCAACTTGCTAAACAAACATATTCATATAATAATAGGAATAATCAGTGAGTTATTGATTTGTTCTGCTTTTCGTTGCATATCATTTTAATTATATTCAATTAAATAACAGTAATGTTTTAAACAGTTTGTTGGTTGAAGTTCAATTTTGTCACGAATTGATTTCAACTCTAGAACCACTAAAAAATAACTAAGAATGAAAAGCTATTTCGACTCTTTATGTGGCTCCTTGAGAGTTTCCCCCTACTTACTCGACTGTGAGTCAACCTTATAACTGTTGCAGTGAACGAAACAGAATACTTTCATAAAATGTGAAAACCATACATTAAATACTTCATTTGTAAATCTTCCATCAATTGTCCCTTACTTACTTCATGCTTCTTCCCGTTCTCAATTCATTTATGTGTCTCCCTTTCTGTTTTCAGTTCGATCTTTTCAACCTTCTCTTGACAGGTATTCCACTTATGCTTTGTGTTACATACTACTTGTGTCGACAGATATAAGTGGCATACACTTTACTGTCGGTTCTTTCGGTGGATACGTCACCTTTGAACCAATAAGTTAGAATTCACTAGTCCATGCATCTAGTTTACGTTAATCTGATACATAGTGCAACATCTTTCAATTTTTTTCTTCGATAAATGTAGCACGTCCGACAATAAAGAACACCTCTAATGACGTTTAATTAGGACCTAAAGAATTCGTCACTCTGAAATCAGTCATTAATTGTTATGTATGTTGCACCTTTAAGTCCGGCTAATTATCACGTGACTTATTCGCCGATCGGAACATGATTTATATAATCTTAATTTAAAATTTACGTTATGACAATGTGATCTTTATCATCTAATTCATTATTGGAAATGTAGATTCTTTGAATGGAAGTGTCTATCTAGATAACTACATTTTAATTTCGATAAATATTCTGGAATACAGTGGTAAGGTGCAGATATTAATTATTTCGTGATTTATATAAAACATAAAAGACATCTACAGTGTTGGTATGTTAGATATAATAATTTAAATGAAATCAGTCTTTAGAATACCTGTATTCATGAATGTTTATAACAAGTGACTAAAATGTTCGCATAATGAAGATAAAATTCTGTAGACACTTAAATATTGATTTCAAAACTTGAACTGGTTATTGATTTATTTTATTCTTTACGAAAGCGGATTCGCTTGAACAGAAAAATTGATGAGACGATTGTAGATAATACTTTATTCAATATAGATATTTATGCGATGCAACTGTGAACTTCATTAATACAATTTCATGAACTGCATGAGGTTTTCTTTCCGTTCATCAGTATTCAGTATTCAACAGTTTCTAGGTTTTTTTCGTTCATTTATTGAGTGAATGCGATATATAAGATTTTGTTTCAAGCATTTAAAGTTATCAACGTCTGTTTTCTGTGAACATCTCAGTGCATCCTAACATGTTAAATTAATAACATAAATATAGTGAAGGTCAGGGCTTGAAATGAAATCTGAAGTGAAAATTACACTTATATACAACATTCTCTTACTACATGAAGGGGAAAATATCCTAAAATACTATATACTGAATATTTATCGACTATCGAAAAGCGAACAGATAATGTCACACCATTGATCAAGTTAGACAGCTGATTATCATATGAATTAAAAAATCAAACTCCTCTACAAAGATTTTTCTGTTAACGTTTTCTTTCATAAAGTTAAACTTAGATTGCTACTATTTTCATGATTAGTGATTATTTTCTCTTCCTAATTTTGTTTTTATGTATAGGGATAATTATGAACTTGTGTGGTTATTATGGAAATTATTAACAATTTTTGTTCCAACATCAGATGCGCTTAGGCCATATTTAATTAAATATATTGGGTTTCGACAGGATATTCAACACCACAAATTACAAGGTAGACCTGTATATGGAATTTTCAATTCACTCATTTAGTGTTCAAAGATATATACATCTAAAAAGACTATATTTCCTGTTGCTACAACAAATAAAGAGGATCATTTTAAACAAACTGAGACTGGTTAATGATAAAATGAAACATGTTTGCTTTTTTTCATTCACTCGTAAAATTTCATATGCAATAATATAAACAAGTGATTCAGAGAAACAACATTTATTGTTAGAATTATATTCGTGTCCTACGGTACATGTAAAATGCACTTCATATGCTTAGAAATTATCCTTTAATTTAAGGATGAAACACATTACAGTTTATAGAAATAAATTTTTATGTCTGAGTTGTTTCAACATAGATTAAGTAGTATTGATAACAATTATACTATCATTACAATCACGATAATTCGTAAATGTTACGTCCTCTACTCAATCACTGCACAATACAATATACAACTAACGACACTTGAACGTATAGAACCCCACAGTCGTGAATCAGAAGACAGAAGAAAGCAAGAGATGTAATTGTTGGATAAGAATCAAAAATGTACGGAAAAACATGTGTATTCATAGTTACGAGCATTGGTTATAACATCATTATAATTTAGCTAATCCACAAGGAGACAATTTATGCTACCGTCAAATCATAGAATACCACGTTGATATTCTAGAAAGGTCCATCAGGTTCCAATTGGCTGCAAACCCTTTGGCTGTTTTAGGGTTTCTGGAAGCTCCGTTGTGCTTCTCGAAAGCCATCCCGAAACCTCCCCGGAATAAGATTTCCTCCTTGTGTTCACTTGTAGCCTGACAACTGGTTTGCGGTGCGATTCCATTTTTTGTTGTCTTTCTTGTCCGAGTCTTCAACCTTCTGTTCTTTCCGGTATCGTTGGACTTATATGCCGTTGACTTATCTATGATTAACACTAATGGAAGATCTACCTGGTTATCTCCGGAGTACATCATTCTTTTGTCTTTTGGGGTTCGGTTCGTGCGCCTGATACATGTCCCAAAAGCTCCTCGGACTTTATACAAAAGTCTTCCCGCTCTTTGTGCAATTGTTACTGGTTCCCATCGATTCTTTTTAAGGTATGATCTGACGAACACGCTATCGCTCACATTAAAATATCGGATGTTCGGATCTCGTCTGTGCTCACCCACTACTTTAGGTAGCATCGTAGAGTCGAAGATAGTACGGATACGTCTTTCAAACATGACTTCAGCAGGGGACTCCTCACCTGGAACAGTAGGGTTGAGAGTAGTTCTATAAGCTGTTAAGAAGTTCATGTTTACTTGACTTGTCCCCTCGTCTCTCTCTCTCTTTCAGCAATGCTCTTTTAAATGTGTCGACATAGTTTTCTTCCTTTTCTTTTGATCGGGAGTGATAGGGTGGAAAGCGTATATGTCTTATTCCATTAATACTGAAGAAGTGCTTGAATAATCCCGAAGCCACTGTCGATAACCAAGGTTTATGGAACTCCAAAACAGCTGAACAAATCAGATAACTTGCCAATTTTTTTTTCATTGGCTGTGCAATTTGACATAGTATACATTTTTCCTTGTACTGGACCAGAGGAATCTGCTTGAAGTCTCTCCCAGGGTCTAGCGAGTTTAACTCCTGATGCCGCAAATATTTTTGAGTTTTAGAAATATAAGGAGACAAAACTCCACCTGTGTCAAAAGAAACAATTCATCTGTGATTGGGAAAATCTATTATTTAATAAAAATACAACTCTTTATATACTCTACTATGGAAAACATTTTGAGTAGTTTATTCTGATTGATATGACAATAATAACGACAGTAAAGTGAATCATAATGTGCTACATCAGTTAGCAGCCTTGAATATTGATTTCTGAATTAGCCAATCTCTATCAGAATGTATGGATATTTCTAAATGTTTTACATTAAACTGAAATATTATCGAAATTCTTTTATTTTATTTTACAGCTTGCTTAGATACAATTATTCAGAATATGGAAATCGTTTCCCGTTATGGCCCTAGAAAACACTTACCACCTGATAATGTTTTAGAGTCCTTTATAGTAAGTCAAATGTATTTCTGTTAATCACTTAGTCACATAACTCTACGTTTTCATATTCAATTGATTTCTCGGTAACGTTTACTTGTTAACCTTATCAGTTCACTTATTTTTAACTAATGAGAAAACTAACTGAATAAGTAGCATGAGAATTTTTTAGATGAAGTAACGAAATGAAGGGTTTTTAAAACATACACTGTTACATAGATTAATAAACTTCTCTTTTTAAGCAGCTTATTAATAATATACCTTACTTAAAATAATGAATTGGCCTAGTATTTCTGGAGTTAATTGTCTGTGTCTTCAGCTCTAATATCATCTATTTGGTTGAAAGTCAGGTGATGGACCTTTATCCTGTCACTAAGAAAAAAGCAAGAAAACCAAAATATTCATCTAACAGCTTTATTATTATTGGTGGCTTTGTTCAATGTTATGTTTTTGGTACCACATAGAATTCTGAGCACCAAGTATTCCAACACGTTTCCGTTTTTTTGTTTCTTGGTCAATCCTGACGATAAATGTCGAGTGATCTCCAGTTAGATGTTAGCAGTTCAGGAATAGACATCTGAATAATGTTCAATCTTTTCGATGCATATTGTCAGTCGTCATGATGTCTCTGATTGTACTTGTTTGTGAATTGTACAGCGAAAAATTGTAAGCTTTTCATAAGCAAGCCTGAATAGATTATGCAATTAAGAAATATTATAATGTATACGAATATTCGTCAATATTAGAACGACTAGTTTGACAAAAATTGGGGGTCGAGTGTATGCTTAACCGGTAGGATGATATTCAACTAGCAATGGCAAGTATTCGTTAACATGTAATTGGATCCATTCTTTATCCAACCTGTTTATTTCATATGTTTCGTTATTCTGACTGAAATTAATGTAGGTTATCTTAGCAATACGATTATGTATTTGATGATTCTCATTTTACATGCACATCAATGATTCTGAAACAATTTTTCAACCTTCAACTTGCACTTTTATTTTATTTTTCTTCATATAAAGACATATCAACACCCAATTTCAACTATTAGTAACTCAATCTTGAACACATACACACACACACACGATTCGTTCAGTCATTTATTTTCACATCGTGAACTTTTCACATGATTCGCATTAAACTGATTCGAGTTATTCTATTTACTAAAGTCAATATCCAAATATCATTGGATTAGCACAGTATAGATTTGATTTGATCTGACTGTTAAAACGTTAAATATATATTTTTAATTATTTTGATTATTACCCTAAAGAAGTCCAGACGAGTTTGCTGGATGAAACGTTGGGATTATTTAACTTTCAATCGCTGAGATTATTTCAAATATAATTTTCACATATAGTATTGTAATGTGTTAAAACAAAGCGAAAAAGAGAACTTGTTGAAATATCTTGATGGTAGGAACAGGCAGTCCAGGTATTCAAACAGGCCGACCGATGGATTGTTAGAAAAATATCTAAATTCTTTCAGGAATCAGATATCCTGCCCAATTTGCATGCACTTCCTCCCAGAGGTCACATTAGTTATTCGGTCATAAATGGTTTCACTTGATAAACATCAGTTCTCCCCAAATTTCAGTTACATCTTACTAGCGAATAGTAGCTAATACCGATACCTTCGTCTAAGAATTTTTGTTTAATAACTTTTAACCACCTAATATATAACATACAACTTAATAAAATGCATTTCCAATACATTTTACTAGTCGAGTTCAAATTATCTTTTTTTTCTGATTTTAGGACGGTCACATGATTCGTAGACAAGAAATTTATTTTATTAATAATAATAGTACAAGTATACCACTTGGACAATTATGTCTTGTTCAAGACGTCATTCATAATGTAATCAATAAACTAAGCGCAAGTCTCCTTAGTTCAGCGACTGATTTCGCATTATTTCTTTGTCATAAAAATGGGTCAATTAACAGTGGGTTAATTTCATTTTATGAACATATCAATTTTGTTGTAATTATTACTGATTGTTAGTTTTTCTTCAACCACTGGAGCCTAGAGTAATAACCACCAAGCCAGGTTACATACAGCCCAGCACGAAGCCAGGTGCATGCCATATTCAACCACTGAAGCCTAGGGTAATAACCACCAAGCCAGGGTACATACAGCCCAGCACGAAGCCAGGTGCATGCATTATTATATATTTTTGAGTTATGTTAATGATTTTTCCGCAGGTTCACCTACGGAAACCTTGTTACGACTTTTACTTCCTCTAAATTCATCAAATTAGGTCATCTTCTCAGCATCAGTCGAGCGGCAACGCCACTACAACGACACCAATCCAACGACCTCACTAAACCATTCAATCGGTAGTAGCGACGGGCGGTGTGTACAAAGGGCAGGGACATAATCAGCGCAAGCTTATGACTTGCACTCACCAGGAATTCCTCGTTCACGGGGAATAATTGCAAGCCCCGATCCCAGTCACGACGGTGATGAAACAGTTTGCCCAACCCTTTCGGGCCAGGTTTCCAGACTCGCTGGCACCGTCATTGTAGCGCACGTGTGGCCCCGGACATCTAGTAGACTATAATTGGATCAGAGCTAAAACACCTAGTAATGCGAACCATCAGATCTGTTCCAAGACGTATAAGTTGATTAAGAAGACTGAAAATAGTCTATTTACTATCTAAACACAAACTAAATGAGAAACATCCAACAAATAGTTTATCCGACCGTCTATAGAAGATATCTCAAAGATTACGACAAGATTGTTAAAACTATGAAGAACAAATGTAGCTCACAACCCAAAAGCATTCCTCTACTTAATATCATGCTTACTGAAAATCCTGAAGAATAAAAGCCAAATATTTTCTAAAAAGCAAACTGTTTTAATTACAAGAAACACTAGCGTGGACAAAGCCATCCTGTTCATATTCGACTGAGCAAACACTAATAAGCTGCTAAAATTACAGTGTATCTGCTAATAAGCCAGTATATATATAATCAGAAAGGTGTTTTGTTCAGTTGATTGAAACTAGACCACGACGGAAAACCTGGAAGCACTGGACGGCCGTTTCGTCCTAGTGTGGGACTCCTCAGCAGTGCGCATCCACGATCGTAAATATAATTTCTACTGGTAGACTTTTAAGTTATCAAATAGAAATAACACAAACATTATCAGAAAGTTTTTAAAAACTTTGTATTCAAGTCACTTTACAATCAGCAAATACATTGACTTAGACTGAACCTATCAACGAGCGATAAAAACAACTAATAACCACAACAAAAGCTGTTGCGGAGATCTGGAAGGTTCCTCAAAAAAAGACTCCGAAAACTCTGAGAAACATCTCATCCAATCAGCATTCTATAGACGTTTCGCCAAAAAGATCTAGAAAGTGAAAGTCACTTGTCATGTTTCTGATGTGGCGATTATATATGTTGCTACTATGTTTAGTAACGTTCCAGAGATTTCCGGAAGCCCAAGGCTATCTAAAATGCTATAAATACCGTAGATTTTCCGCACATAAACGAACCTTGTAATAAAACGTTTCTTCCACATTTCGCGCCTTTTCTCTCGTGTTCAGGTTCCTGTGTAGATTTAACCACAGAGTTACTGGAAAAGCTTAGGAGCCGAATCTAACGTTCAATTAGAAAACCTATCAAAGCATGATAAGACATGCAAATAACAGCAGCCCAATTCTTGGGACTCATTAGTTAAATTCTATGTTAACAGAACACGTTGTTAACTGCTCACCTTTTTATGAAGCTTGTGTTGATAATGTTGCCTTAGAATGGTAACAAAAGCTTCACGATGAAGTCAACTAGCAACACTACCAAAACTTTGCTTTGTGTTTCGCTGGCTCGAAACTCATGTGTTATCTGAATATATCGAAACTACAATTAATATTTATTAGAATAATTCAAATTAATTCAAATATATGTAGTCTTATGAAATTTTCATCAATTGAACGTCGGGTTATTGAGTTTAATCTCTAAAGTTAGTTTCTGTATTAATCGCATTTTCTTAAAGTGATTACTTTATTAGCTTGTAGTAATGAGCCGCTGATACCTCTACTACTGGACACATACATATTCGACTCTCCAATATACCATGACGATTTGATAATTCATTTTCGAAGAATATGTTGGACTGTTCCACTGGAATTGCAAAAGCTTCCTCGCGCTTATTTGAGTTTTTTATTTGATCAAGTAAGTAAGAAGAAGTCGAGTGGAATGAGTATTTTCCTCTGAAGGTAATGATATTTGTTGAGGAGCTATTATTTTCTAATGGAGTTCTTATTTTATACTAATTTATTTCTAATTAGTAACTTCTTTGGTTTTTTCTTTCATTATTTATTCCATGAAAGTATCTCCTGATGTACATCTTGCTTGTAAAATGAAAGCTACTTCTGTTCACTTTCATCACTGCTATTTGTTTCTGCATAAATTTATTTCGAATTTTGTTTCTCGTATAATAAATGTACAAACTTCCCGGTTATTTTTAAACAAATTATGCCCAGTGTGTTTCTTTTCATTCCAATAATTTATTTTGATTCAGTCATATTGTTTAAAATTGTATAAATGATTGAGCTCTGTAAAAATGTCGACAGATTTTTTCTATGGTATTTTGATGATGCTAACAAATATTTAATAGAACCAAAACCACAGTCCAATAAGACCTTTTTGATTGTTGAAAGAAACTCGGATTTGTTTTTCTCTCTTGTTAATGTTAGGTTTGAACTGAAAGTTTCATTGGTCAAGGGTAATAGCTTGGTGGCGTCAGACATATGAATTAAGGATATATCCTATTGATATTTCCTATTTAGTCTGGACCTAGAGTAGGACTAACACAAACCTTGATTAATTAAGCTGAAAATCAGTGACACAATAGCTATTGTCAAGCTATCTAGTCCCAAATTCAGCCTTGAAACGTAGCCATTTATTCAAAGGAACCATGAATGTGATCTATCCAAATTATCGAAGAGGTCAATCACATCTTGTGCAATCAAGACTGATATACTTTGTGGTGGTGTAAATCTAAACTTTCGACCGGTTCCGGTGACTTTTGAATCTAAAACAGAGCGAAATGTAAGCCTGAAGTTTTTGAGGAAGAAAAATTTAGTTTTTCTTAGAACTGTTAGTGATTTGTTTGATGATACGAACATGATATATTACAGTACAGACTGAAATCTCAACACACACTTTCTCATATAAGACTGTAATGTAGGTTATATAACAAGAATGTTCACTTTCAGTGGCCTTCCTATTAGATACCGATAAACACGCTTCACGTACTCTATGCAAAAGTGGTACGTTAGTGAGAAGACCCAGAATATTTATATAGCTCTATTGGCATTCCGAATCAAAATCTACAAAAATGATTTATACATGTACATATATGACATTCAATAATGGCATGTCTCCCTGAACACACTAAGCTCTTGAATTCGTCTAACCTATCAAAAATGGGCTCTTGTACTCGTCTTTCAGCCACATGGTTCGTGTGAGAACTAGAAATTCTACTTGTCTCCCAAACCGAAATAGACTTTCCTGAGGATTAACCTACGACATACAGGTTGAAACCTATATTAGCATCTAGCTGTGTATTACAAATTAATTGAATACCACTTAATTTAAAGTGTTTTAATATTTTATTTTATAAAAAGAAACAATACTTATGTGTCTGTTTTTTTGTTTTCATTATTTTGCGTCAGGTCGTTGATGAGTACCTTTCGGGACACTGGTTACCGGATAAACTCACCTATGATTCAAACGAATTATATGTAAGACTGATAACATGTAATAAATTTAAGATCACTTGTTTTAGTACTATAATGTTTACAAGTATCCTTTTTCTTATTGTAGAATAAATGTCTTCATCTCTCTTGTGTGTTACATCAAAGTCATGAATCGTCTGTCTCTATTAGCAGGTGAGTGAGGGAAAACAATCTCATCGATTTTTCTATTTACTAGCAATTAAATATTTTGATTCCTTTTTAAGGGTTATCAATAAGCTAGATGGAACAAAATTATTAATCAGATTCTAAAAAGCAATATTATATTCTTTAGAATTCATTCTTAATAAACATTTATACTGGCGTTAAATAAAAACTCTACTAACATGTTTGTTCTAATATTGATGGCGTTTTTTTCCTGTAATTATAACTGACAATCGACATTGAAATTTTATTTTTACGTGATTTTTATGGCGTGAAAAGGTTTGTAAGTTCGTATGTATAACATAATAGTTTGTGAAACTAATCTTTGTCTCCATCTCTAACCCAAAGAAAAAACTCAATTTCTGTTAGGTTTCACCACTGCGTCAGTGAATGGATTTATATAAATACATCACATGAATAATAACATTCATATTATGATATGTCAGTTTACCGTGAAGAACTGATAATATATGTAACAACATGCCCTTTACTGAATACGCCACTGTAGTGCTCTCAACTCCTTTAAATTTCATAAATCAAGAATGAACTTGATTACAGAATTACTGTCTCATTTTTTTTTAAATGACCAGGGAAATAAGTGTTTTCCGCACAAATTTTACATAAAAAATGTAATGCTGATTTAATACTACTTTATTTCAATAGTTGAGATCATGAATCAATTGAACCTAGATCGCTATGGAAAACCTGGAAGCACTAAAGGGCCGTTCTGTCCTATTGTGGGACTCTTCAGCAGTGCGCATCCATGACCTATCGGTCTCGCGCGCGAACGCTTAACCTCTGGACCACTGAACCGAAATCTAATGGCGTTAATGTCTACTTACTTACTTACTTACTTACTTACGCCTGTTACTCCTCGTGAAGGAGCATAGGCCGCTCACCAGCATTCTCCATCCAATCCTGTTCTGGGCAATCCTTTCTAGCTCCGTCCAGTTGTTATTCATTCTTTCCATATCTGCTTCTATTATCCGACGTAAGGTGTTCTTAGGCCTTCCTCTTTTCCGCTTCCCTTCAGGATTCCAAGTAAGGGCTTGCCTCGTGATGCGATTTGACGATTTGCGTAACGTATGTCCTATCCATTTCCATTGTCCTTTCCTAATTTCCTCTTCAGCAGGAAGCTGATTTCTTCTCTCCCACAATAGGCTGTTGCTGATGTTATCCGGCCAATGGATGTTGAGTATCTTTCGAAGACAACTATTTATAAATACTTGTACATGTTTGATGATGGTTGTAGTAGTTCTCCAGGTTTCAGCTCCGTACAGTAGAACTGCCTTGACGTTAGTATTGAAGATTCTGACTTTGATATTAGTTGGAAGTTGTTTTGAGTTTCATATGTTTTTCAATTGTAGAAATGCGACCCTTGCTTTGTCAATCCTCGCCTTTACGTATGCATCTGAACCTCCTTATTCGTCGATGATGCTTCCCAGGTATGTGAAGGATTCTACATCTTCCAGAGTTTCGCCATCAAGAGTGATTGGATTGCTGTTCTCCGCTTTGAATTTGAGGACCTTGGTGTGCCCCTTGTGTATGTTGAGGCCTACTGATACAGAGACTGCTGCTACACTGGCTGTCTTTATCTGCATTTGTTCATGTATATGCGATAGGAGGGCTAGGTCATCTGCGAAGTCCCAATCGTCTAATTGGTTTCGAGCTGTCCATTGTATTCCGTGTTTTCCCTCAGATGTCGAGGTCTTTATAATTCAGTCGACCACCAGAAGAAAGAGGAAGGTAGAGAGTAGACAGCCTTGTCTGGCTCTGGTCCTCATTTGGAATTCATCTGTCAGCTGTCCTCCATGCACGACTTTGCACTGTAGTCCGTCGTATGAGTTCCGGATAATATTGACAATCTTCTAAATAACTCCGTAGTGTCTAAGAAGTTTCCATAACGTTCTCCTATCTACACTGTCAAATGCCTTTTCTTAATCAATTAAGTTGATGTGCAGTGTTGAGTTCCACTCAATTGATTGTTCGACGATGATCCGTAGTGTCGCAATTTGGTCTGTGCACGACCGATCCCTACGGAATACAGCTTGTTGATCTCGAAGTTGGGCGTCTACTGCATCTTTCATCCGGTCCAGCAACACTCTGTTGAAGACCTTCCCTGGTACTGACAGTAGTGTAATGCCTCTGTAGTTTTCACATTTGCTCAGATCTTTCTTTGGAATCTTGACGAGGTGCCCTTCTTTCCAGTCCATCGGCGCTTGTTCCTCCTCCCAAATCTTTTTGAATAGAAGGTAAAGCATGTTTGTAGTTACTTTGATGTTTGAATACAGTGCTTCAGCTGGTATGTTGTCGGGTCCTGCTGCTTTCCCTTTCTTGATTTGTCCGATGGCCATTCTGATTTCTTCCGTCGTTGGTGGATTGACATCTATAGGAAGATCTGTGTGTGCCGCTTCGATGTCCGGTGGATTCATTGGAGCCGGCCTATTCAGGAGTTCCTCGAAGTACTTTACCCAACTGCTTTGCTGTCCTTGAATTTCAGTGATTGGCCTGCCTTCTTTGTCGTTAACCGGTCTCTCTGGTTTACCGTATTTCCCTGCTAGTTTCTTCGTTGTATCGTAAAGTTGTTTCATATTTCCTTCCCTTGCAGCTATTTCCCCTGTCGTTTCTAGTTCTTCTACATACTTCTTCTTGTCAGCTCTAATGCTCTTCTTCACTTGCTTGTTTGCTTCTGTGTATTCAGCTTGTGCTTGGACTTTCGCTTCTCGTGTTCGGCTGTTGTTAATTGTTGTCTTGTTGTTCTCCTTTTCTTTGATCTTGTCCAGTGTTTCTATAGAGATCCATTCCTTATGTTGGTGTTGCTTTAGGCCCAAAACCTCTTGACACGTTGAAGTTATTGCTTCTTTGATGCCATCCCAGTTGTCCTCCATAGTAGTTTCTTCTTCCTTCAGTAGATCCTGTAAGGCTTGGAACCTGTTGTTGAGAACTATCTTGAATTCATTGAGTTTGTCAGTATCTCAAGGGAAGGCTGTATTGAACCTTTGTAGCGCTGTTTGTCCAGTTGTCCAGTTCTTCTTTTGCTTCAGTTTCAAATGTGTCACAACAAGGTGGTGATCTGAAGCTATGTCAGCTTCTCTTCTGGTTCGCACATCTTCCACTGTCCTTTGGAACTTTTTATTGATGCAAATCTGATCTATCTGGTTCTCTGTGGTGTGGTCCGGTGAGATCCATGTAGCTTTGTGTATGCGTTTGTGTGGAAATATTGTGCCGCCTATGACCGATTTGTTGAAGGCACACAGATTTGCAAATCTTTCTCCATTTTCGTTTCTCCCTCCCAGTCCATGTCGTCCCATGATATCTTCATATCCGGTGTTGCCTATTCCGACTTTGGCGTTCAGATCTCCCATTAGAATGGTGAGGTCATTTTTTAGGCACTTCTCTGTGATTGACTGCAGTCGCTCGTAGAATTGATCTTTAATGTCGTCGTTGCTATCATTGGTGGGTACATAACATCGGATAATATTCATTGTGATCCCCTCCTTCTTTGTTTTGAATGATGATTTGATGATTCTGGATCGGTGAGATTCCCATCCTACAAGTGCATTTCGTGCTACTTTGGACAGCATAAGAGCAACTCCCTGAGTGTGTGGAGCTTTGTCCTCTTCGTGACCGGATTATAGCAGCATCTCTCCAGTATTTAGCCTTTGTTGTACGGCTTGGGTCCGGTGGGTTTCGCTGATTCCCAGTACTGCCAATTTGTATCTTCTCATTTCCGTTGCATATATGACTGGTCTTCCTGGTCTCCCACATTGTTCGGACGTTCCATGTACCTATAAAAATTGTTGCTCTGATTGTTAGAAGGGGCATTGGCCTCATGGCTTCCGAAGGAACTCGGCTTTCACTATGAGGCGTCATAATTCTTCTAAATGAAGATCTTCTAACTCCCAGGGCAGAATTTAAATGGTTTGAATAATTTTTTCTGGTTAGCGTTTTTTTAGCGAGTTAGTTTTATACGGGATGGGGTCGCTAACCCTATGCCAAATCTTCCTCCTTTACCCGGGCTTGGGACCGGCTGTAACTCTAGGAGAGCTACAGGTGGAGTTGCGTTTATGTCTAACTTCACCTAATCGAGCGACACATCCTCAATTGTCTTCAGATAGTTACTATCTCACAACAGACCCGGTTGAACTCCACCGGTCACTGCTTCTCACTAGAACTCCAGGAAATACCTCTTAAAGCCAGTCGCTAGTGAGCGTATGTTGTACTCATCAAAAAGGGATTTTGTGAATATTATAGTAATTTCAATAGTTGAGATCATGAGTCAATTGAAGTTATTTTATTTCTAAAATATTTATCTCCTTTCAGTACAATTGCTGCTTCACTTAAACCAAAAAATCTACAAATTTCAGTAGAAAAATGGTCATCAGAATTAAATGGATTACTTAAGTCAACACAAACAAAAGATTCAGAAGATAGTCAGAAAATCTTTTTATGTAAGCAAGCCCTATTCAATTTGAGTTTCTTTTTATTATGGTGCAATTTGGATTTAGAGGTATTATCTTTATATGAATTAATTTTCATCATATAACCCCACAAATTATTCTCATACGATGAAATCTTGAAATTTTATCAACACACCCTTTATATCTGTTAGCAGACATAAAATAAGCTTATATGGACAGTTGGCTATTGACTCATGAATAATATAATCCAGAACAGATTTTTTGCACGATTGTACTGTTTACAGGTAACCCAAACCGTCATTTACGTGGAACACTACTTGCTGAACATGATAAATAGGATCTTACTAATGTTTATTACTGACAAAGAATAATTTTAATCCATTCTTTTCACCTACTAACTGATTGTTTGTTTATTTTATGGATTATATTAGCTTCAATTAGAAATTGGCCTCTTTTTGGATCATCTTGTTTTCTTGGTCTGATTGAAAACGGTCCATCTGGAATCCCAACTAATTGTGAGATATTAGTTGCTCTATCTCATACAGGAATTCATATATTAGATTCTTCAACTCGTGAATGCTATTTGGTTTTTGCTTACGAAAATATTGCAAGTACAAGGGTAAAATATTTTCAATCTCTATTTATCATTTGTGTTATTTATTTTCGTAGTTTTGGGAAGTCTTCATAATTTAATTGATTAATTTCATCGTAGCCATTGAAAACTCTTGAGCCTTAGAGAGCTGCTAAGTCTCGTTTTGAAATTTTCCAACAGTACATCTTTACAATCACACACATAAGAACGGACCCAATAGTAATATTAATAATAATGGCTTCATTCGAATCTAGTAACTCCGTTACGATACATGATTCTCAGCTACCGGAAGTATTTCTCCATCTAATATATTTGTCTCATTTCTTCAAATGATAGATAAAAACGAAAATATCCCAAAAATTGCCGAGTTTCTGTTTGCAATTTTTAGTATTTATGATTACTCAGTTCAAGCAAATGTAAAACAGGTAAGTTAATAATTACAATACTTGTACAGTTAGAAAAATGCAACCCAAACATTTGAGTAAACCACTATGTTCTCAGATCCCTCAACACCATATAATCTGTTATGTAAGACTTTTCCCTCGGATCAACCTGAAACCTGGTTACCTTATTCCTCTTGCGGTTCATCACTCTCGAAGGTTGTGCAGCTTTGCCCTTGTGTCTTTTATCTCTTCTACACTCGGGCTCCTGAGGGTTTTTTCGAGATGAATCCACAAGCAATTGAAACGGGAGTCGGCTTTGTAGGACCAATGTTCTGCCGTCCCTTTGAATTTGGTTTATGTGTCTCATACACTTTCCGACATTTCTCCAGACTAGGTACAGTACATTTCCGATCCGACATTCTATGACACCTAGTTCCCACTTCCTATTACCTTGATACAAAATTGTTTTCCTAAAAATTTCAGCTCATCTCACTGACCGAAATGAAATTTAATTTGTTCCGAACATTTCTCATCAAAACCTTTTAATATAACTTACGTGGATTAAGACAAAAAAACTACCATGACGTAATAACCTGTTTACAGTCTAACTGAACCAGTGTTAAACCAACTGAATAACTTGCGAAATTGAACAATTTGCTATTTTGTGACCAAAACACTTGGAAACAAAATAAACGAAGTGGTAACTAACTAAAAGTCTTCTAATAATCACATAGTTTAGATAAGTGAAAGTCGAATAGAAAAATATGAAACAATAATCTCTACTAAATTCAAGGAGTGACATAACTCGTTCCATCCCATCAATCACATCTGATTTTCAGTCGTGAAGTTAAGAAAATGACCAAGTGAGGTGAATAATCTTTCTAAAAGTAAAATATGATTTAGTTTATTATAAAAAAGTGTACGTAAAATGTAAGAAAAGCGAATTTCCCTTTCTCACTATGGCTTTTGTCATTTCTCTGACCTTTGGATTTACCCGCTCATTCAGATTATGGTAATTTGTTCGTCAAGCAGACCTGTGATATCTTATGGATTTCAGTCAAAAATTTTACAAAACTCAAATGATTTATTAGTTTGTTAGTTACCCCTTTAGTTTGTGCCATCACTTTATCAGATAATTGTGTTTTGCCTGACTAACTGCTTTTGGAACCAATAGCTTGTGCTACACTCGAAACCATTTGAATATTTGTTAAGTTCCATCTAAACTAGCTATTACATCTTTATGGTCCTACTCGTATGTCCACCAATCATTCATAAATTTGTTAATTTTATTTCAAAATTTACTACTTGTTATCCCCGAATGAAGAATAAATGAATGGTAAATGCTAAGAATTATTCATGAACTCTTATTACATGTATTCTTAACGAATAATTAATAAGTGTCTAGATCATATATATTTATATTCCTTGTATCATAGGTTTTCATTTGACCCATTAACTACTGTTATACAGTTTACCGTTCTTGATTTATTCTCAGTCTTTTAGTTACACCCTCCAATACTCACAGCTACTTTTGGCTTGATCTTGTACAATTATTACTTTTCATTTTATGATGTGATGCCATCTGGTAATACGTTACTTACTTAGCGTTTACTATCACGGTTGTTTTCTGCGGGATGGAGTTGCCGACCCCACTCCCAACCCTCCTCCTTTACCCCCGGACCGTCAGTGTAGCCCTAGAAGAACTACAGGATGAGTTGTCATCTGGTCAACAAGAACCAATCAACATCGAGGTGCACAGAACAAGCTGTGAAACACATATGGAGAAATTCGAACACTTCACTTCTATTTGAAGTTTGTGCTGATGATGTCGTTCAGAAGAACGATGAAAGCTCCACGACCAAACCATCCAGCTCAGAGAACAAAACTCCACCAAAATGTCATCAGGTCTGCTTGTACGTTAACCACATATGTCTGAAATGTATTATTCATAAAACGGAGGCTGATATTTATTTTCTGAATTGAACGGGTTTGGCTAGATCAGAGGCTACTAAATTGAGGACTAATGCAGATTGAGAGTTGACTCAGGACTACTTGTGCTTGCTGACGTGTCATTGGTTTAACACAGGAAAAGGGTCATAGGAGTGTATATTCTGATTGTGAACTTTGTGACGTGATATTTGACGCGTCATAGGACATAACACTACTTATTAATGCAACTTATTTCATTTATTCAGTACAATTTTATGTACTCAACATTAAACAACAATTTTTTTGTTATGGCTAGCGATACCACGCGACTGCCGCGACCAAAGTGAGTATAATCGAGTTCAAATCTGTCATCGAATTTTTGAAATTAAAGTGCTTCAATCACTAAGCCACCAGCCCAAATATCTTACTTGCACTAAAACTTATGCTAAAATACTTGTAGTCAACTCACTTTGTCAACTTTAAATGACTATATCTTGCAACAGTTCAGATCAAATTACATATATTTGCTTCATGCGTTTGTTAGACTTTTATTTTGTATACGTGAACAAAGGTAGAAAACTTTACATCTATTCATTTTTCTCTTAGGTTACATATAAAGATAATAATGACTACAACTGTATTGGTTCTGTGCGTCTTACAGCTAGTAACGGTCAACAGTTGATCCTGTCTTTAATGCAAGTATGTAAAACTGGTTTACAGTCTATTTTTTACCATGTCTATGTTCATTCTGTCAAATTTATCATCATTAATAGGCATTCCCCTATATAGGTCCCCGAAATGCCCTAGTATGGCCGAGGGTTAGAAGAGTCAGATATCACTCTCGAAATACTCTCACATGGTCACGCGTATACAGCCACTGTCAAGGAAGTCCTACTTACTGTCTTCTCATGGCGAGTCTGTTGTTTACGAAATTGAGAGGATGAAAAGCGAATGTCCGGCGCTTTAACCGGATCCCAAACCAATGGTGCACATGGGGTCCAGTATCCTGCGGGAACAAATGGCGTATAAACCAATTGTTGGTAACCAGCTACCATGGGGCTATATCTCCTCACGTTTCTTCACTGCCTTGTGGACCAGACCTCTTGGTCGAAAGCTCGGGGTGTGGCCCCCCGAGAAAGTCACATTTCTCGGTTTGGGCACGCGGGCAGTATAACAGCCATCCCATAAATCGAATAATTTATGTGGCGCATATGTATTCGGTGCCTTCTTGTACCAATATTTATGTGTTTAAATAAATGAATAGGCATTCCCATAGCTTTAAATTTTTAACTTGATTTTACCATAAAAATGTATCAATTTAATCTCATTAGTTTGTACCAAGTTACTTATCGTCCTTCCACTGTACTCTTTGTATATCCAACAATAAACTAGTGACATAGAATGATCATGTTTGTTGAAGCTCTTCAACATTTTGCAATCACATATTCGTAGAAATTCGTCATCATTAGAATCAACTCTTCAGTTCTCAGTGTTGTAATCATATATTTAAGAAACAGCTAAATCAAAGTCTTTGCCCTGTTATACAACATCTTGAAACTTTGATATGATCATGTTTAGCTTGACGATATGAAGCTTATATTTATAATTCCAATAATCCAATTCAAATGCTTTTAAGAAGGTTTAAATACGACCTTCAGCAATGTATTTTTCCTTAGATTTCCTTAGTGTTTTTTTTTCCGATCAACTGATTTCATTTCACCTGACTTCGCAAAAAATATGTCTCAATAGATGAAGTTATATAAACGTTTCCATTTTTTATTCCTATTTTTTATTTTAGGCTAGAATGTTTGTCTTCATTTTAAGTCGATATCAGTATATACTATCAGCAAATTTGTTAGCCTCTGCTTGAACTATGTTGGAAGCTAGACACCTCATCAATATCATACAATCCTTAGATATAATTGCAAAGATATAAAGTAAAAATTCATTGGTATTCAGACAAAGACTTTTGTTTTGTATTTACTCTTGAGAAAAGGGAGAGAATCTGTGACATCTTTGATACGATTATCTTCATTGTGGGAAAACGTGTTCATTTATTGCATAGTTCAAACTTCATATTCATTTAATTTGACAATAATCATGTATAACTTCAATTATTTTTACAATGACAAAGAAAAATAATTATGATCGACAACTAACTAATTCTTTCCTCAAAACTCTTTAGATTCAATTTTATCAGTCAAAACATTTTATGAAGATTATAATAATTTCATGTTATTGATTATGTTTATCGTGAGTGACGTTTTTGAACTATTTCTTCATAATGGGTCAACTTTTAATCAGTATTCAAGAATGCATGCATATGAGGTGTGTGATTCTCAGTAATTGAAAGCGTCTGTTCTTTACTTTTCTAGATTTTCTCAGGCAATAAATTCTACAACTTTTGTTGAATCATGAAACAGTTGTGTAATTGTTCCAGTTCGTTCCTAAACCTTTGATCACCAGCATATAAACTGACACAATTTGAGTTCCAGAATATTATTAATCATCCATCAGACAAGATTCATGTCACCCACTCTTCCAACTTGTATAATTCCATTGCTTGTTGTTATGTCGTAAATATGGATATACTGAGTCTATTTTTCAAACATAACTATTCACTATCAGATGATCGGACGGTTTTCTGATTACCATGTGAGATTAAACCAACTAAATGGCAATAGGTTTCAGCAAATAGAGATGAGTTGTAAGATATTAGACAGTCATTTTAGGGAGCATTTTGACGATTGACGAGGTGATTTTTACTAAATGAGAAACAAAGCAAAGTAATCACAAATATCTCAAAAATATTTTCCTTACACGGTGCTTTGCCACACTTCCAAGTGAAATGTTACTTAGAAGAAAATGGTTATTAACTATAGCAGTCTCTATAATCTAAGGACTCATCAACTGAAACTCACATGAAGTGACTAAAGTATATGTCAAACCTTCGAGCTGTTGGTCAATAACTTTAATTTCTATTCATGGGACTTGGTGATTTAATTTACTCCATAGGATGATATATTCAATCTTGTCGATCGATCGACGTCATTTCGGGACTTTTCATTACTGATTTAGACTGGTCAAAAGTGTATATCGTGATCTAATTATTAGTTGTACCTAGAAATAGGTCTAACGTCCAAGTTAGACATTCTTTCTGCTCAATGAGACGCGATATAGAGGGCGAAGTCACACTTTTTGACTACTATCTTCATTTTTTTGTTCAATATTCTTCACTGTGTTAATCCACTCGGCGATGCCATTATTAATATCAAGATGTTTATTCACAACATTGTGTAACGAAAGTACATGGTGAGATAGACTTCACATCGTAATTATTATAAATTTCAACTAGTTGTTTCGCCTCTAACCATGTTTGTTATCAATTTTTGTTTTACTTATTTATTTGAACACATAAATATTGGTACAAGAGAGCGCCAATATATATGCGCCACACAAAACAATGAGAATTCGAAGAGAGATAGAAAAAAAAAGCTAAGGAGCTTGAAAAAAAAGAGAACAACAACGAAGAGATTGGTGTAAGGTAGTGTGGTATTAATGAGGGAACGGAAAGTTGCAATCGGAAAAAATCTTTCAGGTAAGGGAGACACAACCCCTTTTTATGAAGAAAGTAAAGGAAGGTTACAGCAGGATCGCCATTGACTTCTATTCTGAGCCATATCTGATAACGTCTCTAGCCACTGTGTAGCACCATCTCTCAAACCCCAACCAGGGAGTCGTGAAGGACCAACACAAGCCAGTCCTTTGCAGCTTTCTTTCATACCACGACACCATGTCATGTACTGACCACCTCTTCGCTTCTTCCAACCAGTCCCAGAGTCGGCAAATAATGCACGACATAGAATTCTCTGGGACGACATTCGTAGAACATGTCCAAGCCACCGAAGTCGGTGTTTCAAGATGGTGAGACCAATTGAATTATCATCACTGTGCCCGAACACACGATGCCGAACCTCTGCATCACTGACATGGTGTTGCCACTGGATGTCAGCAATCCTTCGGAGACAACGATGATCGAACACAGAGAGTCGTCTAACGTCCTCAACTCGGAGAGGCCAGGTTTCACAAGCATAGAGCAGAACTGCTCTCATCGATGCGTTGCAGATCCGACCTTTTACAGCCAGACTAACATCACGAAGGCGCCAAAGATGGCCCAGATTGGCATAAGCCACTCTGGCTTTCACTATACGTGCATTGATCTCATCACTCACACCCCCACCAGCACTTATGCAGCTACCCAGATACACGAACTTCTCGACTACGTCTATCTGCTCACCATCTAGGGTGAGTACAGGATTGGAATCCTGCCAGTCTTGTAAAAGTACTTTGCACTTTGAAGGTGCAAAGCATATACCATACCTACGGACACTGATTGCCAACTGATTAAGTGCGGGTTGCATGCCTTGGGCATTATCGCACAGTAAGACAATATCGTCCGCATACTCAAGGTCGAGAAGTCTTTCTCCAGGCAACAGATCCACACCACCATTACTTGCATTCATCAGAGCTGTTTCCAGAATGTCATCGATTGCAAAGTTGAAGAGGAATGGTGAGATTCGGCAACCCTGCCTAACCCCACTACTCGAATGGAACAATGGAGAGAGGTGGTTGTATGCCCTCACTCTGCCTGAGGTGTTTTTATATAGGGCTTTTAGGATGTTAATAAACTTCTCAGGCACACCCTTCTTCAATAGACAATCCCAGAGAACAGTCCTGTCCAACGAATCGAAGGCAGCCCTGATGTCAAGAAACACTACGATTGTTGGCCTTTGATAAGTATGGCGATGTTCTAACATTTGGCGGAGGGTGAAGATATGATCAATACAACCTCGACCAGAACGAAACCCAGACGGAGATGACGAAAAGACATCGTTTCTCACGTCGATTTCTTCTCACTTTGATGGAACTCTCTAATCTAACAGCATATGCCTGACTGCTAATGGAAATCCAATTGATCAATGCTGCCTCAGCTCTAGCGCTTAGTGCGACACCAACGCCAGCAAGACCACACGAAGATGCCACAGAGTCCCCGGATAAGCGCACGTAAAACAAGCTTTTCGAAGCGACAGATGGAGATCGAATTTGTAGTACTTCGCCAGAATCTTGAATACGGGTCTCGGATAGACAACAAACATCAATATTAAGACTTTCCAAAGACATAGCCAGCCCTATCTGTTGTCCGACCTGCACTAGTGTGCGAACGTTGAAGGCAGCCACTTTGAATGGTGCACGTGGTTTCAGAAAAACTGCTTCAGTTCTCGTATTCGGTGGTAACATACAATTTTCAACCGGATAGAGACTCGAGAACGTTTAGATACAGTCGAATTTCCACCAAAGACGAGCCGCCGTATAAGTATAAAAGAGGGTGAATAATGTGGATAATAATAATAATAATAACAATAATAATAATGACAATAATAGTAATAATAATAATAGTATTAATAATGACAATAATTGTAATGATAATAATTTGAATCAGTTTCCATAGACATAGAGTTCATCATTTGTGTGTGGGCTGTGATACTGCCCGGGTGCCCAAACCGAAGCAGGTGGTTATCTTAGGGGGCCACACCCCGAGCCTTTGACCTAATGGTCTAACCCACAAGGCAGTGGAGCATCGTAAGAAGATGCAACCCCATGGTAGCCGGTGACCAACGATTGGTTCATACGCCATTTGTTCCCGCAGGATACTGGAGCCCATGTGCACCACTGGTTTGTGATCCGGTTAAGGCGCCGGACATTCGCTTTTCGTCCTCTCGTTTTCGTAAACAACACCCCCGCCACGAGAAGGCAATGAGTAGGACCTCCCTGGTAGAGGCTGTATACGCGCGGCCGTGTGAGTATTTCGAGAGGGAGAGCGGACTCTCCCCACTCTCGGCCGTACCAGGGCATTCGGGGGCAGTATGCTGAACGTTAACTGCAAAGTCATCAGCCTTTAAAAAAAGTCAGACAGATCACATATCTCCTCCTGTTTATGTTTGGCTGTTGTAACGATGCTAAATAGTTTATTGATTCGAGCGAAAATATTAGCTCACTAATTCCATACAAAAATATAAAAGTCACTCTAGACCTTATGCCCTGTCAACGTCGTGTAAGTAGACGTGAAGCGATAGGATTGCATGGTAGTGTTCCAGTAAATTACCAACTAGAGACAGTTTGCAACACAGTGAATAGATTAAACCACATGAACAAGCATGGCATCACCTCACAAACGGTATATCACTCTGTAGATCTAGATGAGTCTGCTGATCAGAAACCTTTGGATAAGATACGAACCCCAACAGTCAGTGAAAAGCATAAAGACATGTTTAATCTTGGCTGTCCGCTTAGTAAAATACTAAGATGTGAGTCGTGTGACAACACACACCCAACTAAACCTATACACTTGAAAATTAGTCCTCCTAAAGATACTCCACAAGTTGACTCGAATGAACCTTATTTCATCTCACAGAGACAACGAAACTCTCCGGCTCTAACAAAGAGGATGGAACGACGAGACTCACGATACCGAATAGAGAAGCACGTAAGATTGAAACCAACTGCTCTAAAGGTATCCCAACAACAGTGAACGAGTTCTCTCCGCTGATAACTTTCTGTCAACACCTCTAATTTGCAAAATGGGTAGTGGGCTTAGGCGTAACAAGCCATTTTACACGCAGACTAACAAACTACTAGAGTACTGATCATTCCAGTCACCCCCTGAAGCCATTATTAAGAATGGTAATAATAGTTTTCTCACTCCACTCCCTGTCTACATTCCCGAAGATCGGGATTTAATTACTTTCAGAAAGAATACTTTCTGCCACATGAAAACGGCTCCCATGTACAATAACAGTCGTAACTCGTTCCAGCTACGTGCAGCAGACCCTCCTCACGCTCACACTGACGTAAAAAGCTATAATAGAGGCAATGAGCTTAACCATCAAGATTATTTTGCAAGTAACCGTACATTTCACAGTAGGTCTGTACAAGGTTTTTTGAAATACCACCCCTTGTGGCACCTCTGTTGAAGCATATAGCCCAAGTCATTTCAAACAACATACAAAAAATAAACTTGTTGCCCCCGTACATTTTCCATCAGAGAGTACTCCCATCCTCTCCTCCTAGGTAAAATCTCCAATCAACTTCACTAGATCATTTGATATATCTCCCACTAAGTCTAGCCATCAAAATATTGAGCTTTTGAAAAAAATTAAATCTCTCACTTTAAACCCACATCACTTTGAAGTACAGAAAGTTCTCCAATCAGTGCTTCTTAGGTAATTGTGGAAGTTATTTCAATCAAGCTTGCGATAGTTTCTTCGAAGTGTTACGGTTTTACGTCTACCGGTTGTGGTTTTTATATTGAGGCTGCATATGATAATGTTATGATCACTACCTTCACTTCAGACAATACCGACACACTAACCAATATATTTTATCTCAACATCAGAAGTATCATCAACAAAATCGCACCTTTAGAGTATTGGAGACATACTTTCTCTGTATATCTCGGTCGGTACACGAAGACGTCTTCAAAGACACTGTACTCGATTCCGCAACTTTAATGACTTTTCCTCCTTGGTAACGGTAACAGAAATATTTGTCCGTACAGAGACAATACGTACACAAAAAGCAGTCGCACAGGAAAAACGTTATGTCAAACTTAATAATAACTCCTCTGCACTCGGCATACTCCTTTAAACTAATCTTAAACGTTCTAAATCGAGAATAAGCATATTCATTAAAGACACACAAGTATACGAAGATCCTAAACTTGTTATGGAACTATTCAGTGAACACTTATGTTTCTCACTAACTAACAAGAAACCGCTAAATGATTCAGAACCAATCCCAGTACCTTCCTGTGAAATTACCTATGTAGACTTCAATGTACAAAATATCTCTAAGGCAATTAGTACATTAAAACACTCCTACACTAATGAACCAGATGGTATTCCAGCTAGCTAACGTGGAGGTGATGATATGTGTGTTTTGCTTCTCAAATTATTCGCGATATCACTCTCTACAGCATGTTACCCTACTGCTTGGAAAACTATACATATCATTCCCTAAATTCAAACAGGACCTGAAGCAAATGTTGACAATTGCCGGCCCATAAACATAACTTTAGTGGCATCTCGAGTGATGGAAAAAGTAGTTAAGGCAGTTGTAGTCCAAAATCTACTTACTAATAATCTCATCTCGACCTCCCAGCATGGATTTCTTAGGTCCACGTCATGCGATACATGCCTCGCAGACTACCTGAATGATATAACTCTTAAACGAGACAACAAACTCCTTGTATCAGTCCTTTCCTTAAACTTTAAGAAAGCCTTTGATTCCTTCGGAATCAAATTACTATACTCATGGTTCGCTTCGTTCTTAACAGAACGTAAACAGATGGTAAAGTACAATGACTGTATTTCATCACCTAGACCAATAACGAGTGGAGTCACCCAGCTAAATGTATTAGGTTCACTCTTGTTTCTTATGTATATAAACGATATATGTAACATCATAAAATTTGGGAAACCATACTTATATGCTGATGATCTCAAAATAATATACAGTTATAAGCCTAAGGCTCTAAGTGAAAGTGTATCGCTCATTCAAAATGACCTCGATAATCTAACTATCTGGAGCGAAAAATGGCAATTACTACTTAGCCTCAACAAGTGCGGGATCATGCACTTTGGAAAGCATCCCTATGAACTACAACTTTACTTAAATAAAAGTAGAGTCCAGACACTCAAATCAGTAGACGATCTAGAAATTAATTACACAGGAAGCCTAAACTTTGAAGAACATGCCTCCTCTATTATTTCTAAATGTAGACGGCAAATTGGTTTCATAATAAGAAATTTCTTCACAACAGAGGCCAAGCTTACTCTCTACAAAATATGTGTACGACCCTCCCTTGAATACTGCTCTTTTATCTTCTCTAATATGAATACCACAGACAAGATATGAGTAGAAGATGTTCAAAGACGCTTCACACACCAACTGCTAGGAAGTGACTCCACTCTCGATTATACAGATAGATGTAAGCACCTCAGTTTAGAACCTTTATGGCACCGTAGGCTAAGGAACAATCTAATATTTCTCTACAAAGCAATATATGGACTCTCATTTCTAACCTCCTGCCCAACTATGATCCATGACCCAGCCTACAGACTAAAAAACAACTCATACGCACTGCTTACCGTAAAACACCAAAAACAAATGTGTCGTAAGTTTTTTACAGTGCGGTATAGTTTATTGTGGAACAGGTTGCTAATATCTATCCGTAACTATGGCACTTTTACCAAATTCGAAAGGCTAATAGCCCTGTTACTAGACTTTAAAGAGCTTCATTAACTATTCCATGAACTCCCGCCCACCAATGAGGCACTTTATTATGGACCGCCTAATATCTAGACTGAACAAGAATATAACGAAACCTATTGCTATTAATATGAATACAACTTAATTACAGAACATATGGTTTATCCTCTTCCATTATTCATTGATTATTGGTCATGCCCTTATGCTCCTAACCCTCACTTTCAGATTCCGAATCTCTCTAGTGGTTTAAGATACATTATTCTCCCTAAATGTCACGTCCTTTTTTTCTATTCCAAGTAGACGTATAACACTAATCTTGTGGATGCTGATCAACTAAGGCCGATCATAAGAAGCTCGAAATGTCCTAAATTCTTGTGAGCTGCTTAATGTTTTATTTTTCTTACCCTGAAAATTTTACAATCGTATACTCATTCATATCCTTTGATTTGCCATTAGTCCTTACCATCTCTTGACAACATATAATCTGACCAGTCTCTTATAGCTCATACCATTAGTTATCTTCATAGCAGTGTGATATACTAAATGGATGTCTGATCCATAATACAAGTGCTTTAGCCATCTGCTTTGCTTGTAACATGGAACTAGTAGAGACAGTATTCCAACTATGGGCTTTGATTAAAACAATGTTCATACTTACCACAAACGTAAGAGAGCTTAACATCACAAAAGGAGAGAGGGTAGCGTTACTGACCAGCAAACGTGATGATGGGGAGATAACTCCATACACCCATGTCTGTAGGGCAGAACATTTTGTTTAATTACGGCTCCTTATGGTCTAGTGGGATGTCACGAACCAATGGTATTGATGCTGATTTATTATGCGAAATACCTCTTTAAAACATGTTTAGAATGCTGAATTGATTTCAATTCTTATCGAGTAATCCTGTTACAAGCAAACTAGACAGTTTGTTAAGAACGAAGCCTGCTCAAGACCGTATAAAATCCACAGAAAAGGGCTCAAATAGCTTTGACAAAAAAGGTAGACAGCCATTTTTGTATCAGAATACTGTTATCAGCACTTCATTTTATAACTACACATAATCCCATACTTTCAGATTCTTTCTGAACCACCTTCATTTATACAGTTCTTTATCCACTCATACCTAGTTTGCACTTATTTTCTTTAAAATATTGAAACTCTTGCTTAATAAGTACCTTAACAACAGACAACTAAACTGAGTAGTCATACCTTAACTATTCCTCCATGAACATTGTCTGCTCTGCTTCTTGTCCTTTCTTTTCCTTGCGCCCTTTTTCAACCCCTTTGAGACATGCCACCGAAAACAGATATGGAATGGGTGAATTCACCCTGCACCATCATCAAAGCCTCGGATATTCCAGAGGGATATAAGGTTGTGGTTTCTAGAAGTCCTCAACTTCACACGCATCTATTCTCGACCATCAGTTACATGTCGCAACGCAAACTCCATAAACTGCGCCAACTGTGGTAAAATTTAAGAACTGATGTGGAATACATAAGGAGGAAGTCACATTGTTATAATTGATAGTGGCTCGCATGGATAGTTACTTTGTTTCTGATATTCCATTTAAGAGTTCTCTAGTTGCATTAATTTTTATCGAACCGTGGTGCGAGGTATTTCTATGGGGCGATGCTTGCATAACGAAAGAAAATGGATAAGACACGTAGTGTTTGGAGTGCAGAATTTAGAATATGAATTACTGAGGCTACTCGTGTGTAGGAGCTTCGTTATGTACTTTGCATTCCTTCTTCACAACCACTAACTAAACATCACTTCAGTTTTCTTTTGATCTTTACAACTAGCTATTCAACTATAGACAGTGTTGCACTCATTGCCCCTTAGAAATACCTTGCACTACGGCTCGACGAAACTTAATGCAAATAGAGAACTCTTTAGTGGAATATAAGAAACATAAAGTAACTATCCATGCGAGCCATTATCAATTATAACAATGTGACTTCCTCCTTATCTCTTCCGCATCGGTTTTTAAATTTTACCATGAATGTCATTGTTCAGCCACCGACCTTCAAATCTTTAATCTTTGCCTTTGTAGCGATAAATAGTCCTTCATAATAAATAGCCCTGTAAGTCTTCAACATTGATTCTGACTACATTTGCTTCATTGGACATGTCTAACTGGAGGCGCTAGATCACTGATCCTCACCAGATCAAGAATGTTAACGCTGTGCTACGCATCCCTTGCAGCTGCCAATCAGCTTTAAGCAAACGCTTCTTGACATATCGATAGCCTTCTAAATACATTTTGAACCCATTTAATTTCCGACTTCCCATCTGACCGGGTTGGTATACTTCGATTGTAAAGGTGTTAGTGCAAAGGCATTGTCGGACTTCGACTACATGTGGCATCTTCACCTTAAAAGTACTAAATTTCACAGCTCTTCTGCCTATTAGTTTGTTCCTGAAAATTTATTTCGTTTGAAAACTCACACTATTTTATTCTACTAACCAATGCCGTTTCAACGTTCTTCCAATGACCTACCAACTTTAGGTGTCTGACATGCTTGTTTAAGATACTTTTAGAACTAGTGTTTTCGAGCACGGTGTGGAACATAGAGCTTGAGTGTAGGACAGGACTGAGAGCTAACCGTCATTTTATGGATGGTAACGTGGCAACCATTCAATGATATTGCCGTTGTTCTTCCATGTTTACTGCTTCATATACTTGTGTTTGTAACCACTCAGGTTGATTGGCTAAGAGTTGACCGTAAATATCTTAGTTTTATGTTTGGTTAGGGGTTGTGAAATGGTAAGAAACACGAAAACTCGCTGAATGTGTAGGAAAAATTAAAACCGTAATAAAACAGACATCACCATCTCAAATGAAATCAAAATTTACAACTGAAGTGATCAGTAGTAATAAACTACAAGTGTATACATGGAGGTATTTTCACACAAAACCAAAACGGATCTTACACTGAGCTTTAGTATATTTGCTTTAACCACATCCCGTTCCAAATTTCAATAACAGTGACCCTATATATATAACGGTATTTAGAATAGGCTACGACAGTTAGTTACCCTTATGTCATATATCAAATCACACACATGTTTACAAGGAAGAATTTTCGACCCAATTCCTCCCAACTATTTAAACTTGTGTTAAATCTATTCGATTTCCTATTTATTAATTCTGAAGTAGTGACTTACATTAAGCCAAGAAAAATAAATTCCTACTCATTGGGATATCACAAACATAGCATTACTTTATTACCAACTTTCTATCCAATGCTTAACTTATTTGAAATTGAGCCAAAACTTGGGATTGATAACACTGAAAGTTTTAATGGAGAATTTGAAACTACGTGAAATTCCAGAAACAGTTGCTACCAATAAATAGTTTATATTAGTATTCAAATTATTTCATGTAATCCAGTTATTTACACTAATTTATGTCAATTGTTTTCACACTATCTCCATGTAAAAAAAAAAATTCTATCACAATTTTGGTTTGTAAGCAGCTGACGAGAAACCTCGAAATAATATGAATTCATACTATTCTGCATCAATGTTTGTTCTTGCTCTATTCAAATTCAAATTATTTCCTGACTTCTGTAACCGAAACGTGGTCACCTATATTTGCTCCTTACTGTACCATCTACATTCTAAAGGATAGGTTAAATGGATTGAGGTTACTTTTAAAAGGGTAACATTAGAAACAAAAAGAGTAAAGACACTAGCAGAGCTAATTTTACAATTTCTACCAAATAACAGGAACAACGACAACTGTAGGATCTTGCAGCAACATTTACAAGCGGAGGGACGAATGATCAAAACAAAAAATGACGCAATGAAACATGTCAAGGGTGAAGAAAAACCATAAAACAGATTATACAAGACTTGAGTGTAAGTGTACATGCGTAACCATACACTTGGTAAAGATACCTTAATGTAAGCGATGAAGTCATTTTCAAAGTAGCTATAGAGAAAGGAACACAAACACCTATGCAGGAGGCTCCAGAAAGATCAACTAGAAAAACTAAGCGTCGCATAGACGCTAGCCTTGATATTTTTGACCTTCAGAAGGAGCACTAACTAGCAGATAAAATGTACAGGGACCTTCCCCAGAATGGCCATTGGGATGAAATACACGACAGCAAAGAGACATCGTGAAAATTGAGGTGCAACACACGGGTTCCAAAAAGGAGGTGCTCAGGTGACACAAGCTTACCTAACTGTTACTTAATATTGGTTATTTCGTCGAAGAATAAACTCCATAACAATCCTCTAACTCATGTTTCCGCACTGGCCTTTGCTGTTTGGATGCTAGTTATTATTTTCAGTTTGCTTATATTGTTATGTTTTAGCATCATATTTCTTTACTATATATTGGTATTCTTAAATATCAGGGTTTTTCAACCCATCTCGAGTTTGCTTAAACATTTTTCTCGATCACTTGTAATTCAAAATTACCATAGAGCTAAAACTAATCGTTTGAGAAATGTAAAACTTATTTATAAATATGATATCACTTAATGCACAGACCCATACCATTCTACGGACTCACAATTTAGAAAAGTTGGATAATTATATATATAATTATGAATTTTTATCGCAATTAATCATATACAATCAATTTACAGTCAAGGAATAAAAATTGATTTGAAAAAATATTATACACATATTACAAAGAAAATATTTACAATTTATTATTATTATTATTATAATGATGCCCTAACCAAACCAGAACTGGCTGTCAACGCTGAGCTTGCGTGTTCTATACATGCACCATCAAATCCATCTAGTGTTAAACGACGCATACTAACTTCATAATAATCAACGGCCGAATAAGTGAACTCATTTGGTACACCCAACAAAATATGTTCTGCACATAACTGCATAAGAGTAGACGCTGAATGTGGAGCAAGCATTACAGCATCCGGCAACATCGATAATAAAGGCAGGGTAAAATGATCAGGTTTATTCGATCGCGTACAAAGATAAGGTATGATTGTATTGGCAACAGTTTCATGAGCCAAATGAGGAAAGTGGTGTAATAACCGTAATAGAAGTGTTACAGCAAGACTAGCCACAGTTTCACAAGAATGACCAATAAGTGATTCTAATTCATTCTGAAAAAAAGTAAAAATAAGAAATCACAAAAAAGACATGTATATGGAGGAAAACAGTTCACTTGGTTTACATATATAATCTGATATTGACATAAACAACTCCAAATGCTATGATCCTTTTCTGGTTTGCTCGCTTAACTATAGCTTTTGTTCTTTCCAGTAAACGTTTTCGTAAATCATTCCTTTAACACCAAAAGGCGTTAAAGATATAGTGGTATTGAAGGCAGTATGAACAAAGAAAAAAATGAGTTGGGGAGGGATGTGAAATATGGGGACGAAAGTATGGGATATTACTGAAACTTGAGATTTAGAAGAAAAATAAAAATTTATTTGTTTGATCATATAAAAATTGATACAAGGGGGAATCAAACAGATGCGCCGCACAATAACAATGAGGCCAACGGTAGTTATCATTGATTTGTGTGAGAGCCGAAATACTGCTTGTGTGCCCAAACCGAAAAGGGTATTTTTCTTAGGAGACCACACCCAGAGCCGTCGGCCTAAAGGTCTGATCCACAAGTCAGTGAAGCAACGTCGGGAGATGCAGTCCCATAGTAGCCGATGACCAACAATTGGGTCATACGGCATTTGTTCCCTCAGGATGTTGAAGCCCATGTACTCTATTGGTTTAGAATCAGGGTTTTCCAACGCCCCTAGTTGGACTCTCCATATCCACCAACCCGGTTAAGGCGTCTGACATTCGCTTTTCGTCCTCTCAATTTCATAGACAACACCCCCTCCGCGAGAAGGCAGTGAGTAGGACATCCCTGGCAGCGGTTGCGTATGCGTGACTATGTGGGAGCATTTTGAGAGGGAGAGCAGACTCTCCCCACCCTCAGCCATGCCAGTACATCATCGTGTGGATCCCATTCATGCTATCTATAAGTACCAACACAGTTCAGACTAACGATCTCTGACTTTATTGGATGGTGGCACATCTTTTTTTAATCGCCCCTACCATATACTAATAACAACGCATTTAATTGGCTTTTAATTTACAGTGAGACAGATCGATTACTTATAAAAATATGATACGGAATAATTGACTTACTTTAAAATATAACAAAAGAACAACTCTTCGTTTTGAAGCGATTTCTAATTCATTTAGCAAGTTGTTAAGCACTATTTGATAAAATAATAATGATAATCATACAGAATAGTGATAATAGAATTTCCTTCTAATACAAACATCATTTAAAAAATATATATACTAAAGTATTTAACTAAATAAAAAATAAGGAGAGTATGTATGTATATTTATTTTACTACTTTTAAATTCCGGTAGTTGATTTATGATATTGAGGACCTACGCCGCGGTATACAACCTTTTAGGAAAGATCAGTAAATACTTTATAAATGATTAACACGAAGAAAGTCAATAAAATCTTGAGAGAAATGCATACTGTTCATGATGTATAAAGATAACAAGAAAAAGTACTAATGAATGGGGACAAACATTAATGATTTATTAGGTATAATGCATATGACGTATAATTACAAGGACAAAATGTGATAAGATGTATAGAGTAGAAAGGTACATGCTACATTAGTACATAAAGAATGAAAGCATACGCTAGTGTAAAATAGTGAAGAAAATAACAATGATAGCCAAAATAATTCGATAAAAACGATGGTGTAGAGCAAAACAATAGAAATTCAGGCAACAATGTTATGGCTAACTGACTACAATAGGAACAAGAATGTAGAGATTTTATCTATTTATTACTTTTATGAGAGCTTTTCACTAATAATGACTGACTTTACATTGAATTAAAGCATTAAGATCTACACTTTGGAAACGTCCATATAGAAAGATTAAAAAGGATGACAAAATGGTGGATCCTTAATGAGTGAGGTGATAAATTGAAGAATTTCGTTGAAAAATACCTCGTACAAAGTACTAAAAAAAGAAATTGTGACACAGTCAGTAAAAAAGACCTTATATCTAAGACTAGACTTTAAAGGGGACATAGCGGGTGATATCTTAACACATCGGCTCAAAAGATCTGGCGAAAAGGCGTTTAACGCCGCCAAGCTACACATAATTTTCTCGACTAAACCAGTACTCACACAACTAATCAAGAATAGGTTACCGAAGATAGGCTCTCCCATGTGTATATACCAATTCAACTGCTCCTGTGGAGCTAGTTACACAGGCCGTACTCAGAGGGCTTATCCATGCGTGTTCGTGAACATGTACCAGCATGGCTGGGGAAAGGAGTTACCAAATCGATTAACAGCACCATTCTTTCTCACTTGGTAGATAGTGAGCATCATATCAAAATAGAGGAAGCTTTCTCTGTTTAATATCAGGTTCCAAAATATCTACCTCAAGGAGCTGGATTACGACCGCTTTACATAGCCGAAGCCATCTGGATCAACTCCAGAAGACCAAATTTGTGTATCCAGAAAAAATATATCCAGCCTCTTTGTTTACCTTGGCCTACGACTGTATCACCGAATACCTAGACTGAATATTATAAACCTCTTACCCCCTTCCTTTATTTTCATTTATTTAATTTTTTTCCTTATTATCATTACTTCTGATTATCTCTATCTTAATCTTCACATCCATCATTCCCAATTCGTTGATCGTAATTACCTTGATAACACCCTCCTAATTACATATTATATTAACACAACAATCTTATTATTATCTCAATTGACAAGACAAAATTCTCCTACTATGCATTTTATTCACATAGTTTCTTCGCATTTTCATTTTTGCTATAATACTATTCTGCTTATTGTGACTGAACACTACTCCAAATCATCCTGACCTTTATTATATGACCTTTCTAAATTGCAAATAATACAATTTTGAAGTATAGATATATATCGTAACAGATGCCAACGTGCACCATTTTTAACACATAACATTGTCAAATTCATTAATACACGCCTTATTTTTGGTCTTTGTAAAATATAATTATGGACTTATAACTGTAGAGCCTGATGATGAAGTTATTGAAAACAATTGTTCGCTCAAATATTCTTCGTTTTTGAAGAAAATGAATTGGAAAGTTCGTAAACTTGAAAGCTCGAATGAGATAGTAAAATACAATGAAGTGTTTCAAAGTTAAAATCTTACTGAAAGTGTCTGCAGATAATTTATTTTTATTATTTAACCTAGCCTTATGACCAGCAATAGGGTTCAAACTGTTGAAAATTTATTTCTTAAATTGGGTAAGTTATTTGCACTTGTAGAGATGGTGTTTCCATGTTAAATAAAGTGTGAAATAATATTATTTTAACAGGTTTCAAAAGACAACTAAGGTGCGGCAAATCAACACTCAGATTAAATTCTTAATGTAATAAGTTAAAACTTACTCTGAGGATGAACACTATTTCTGAGATGATAAATGAATGGTTGCATTACAGTTAAATTCCATTGCTTACTTATATGTCCAAATTTGTTCAAAGAGTATAGCTCAAATACATCACATTTTTCAGATCAGTTCCGTCTTCTCATTGCTGTATGGAAATTTATAAAAGAGCTAATTGCTTTGGATTCTTCATTTTTCAGAGAATTTGTTGACTTAATTTTTAATCCATCAGCACCATATCCATACACCATTTAAAGAAGGTAGATAATGAACCGTCTATCGTTGTCAGATTTTGAAAGCATCAAAAGGACTTTCAAAAGAGATGTATCGTATTCTAGGCCACTATCGCAGTTTCTACGTCACCTACAAATTATAGTGAGCGGCAAAATAGTCAATAAGGTAGCCCCAGCTCAAGGATGAGCAAAAGCTCTCCCATGGTACGTCCAACACTATTTGGATGCTCAATATTACGATACTTCTTCATCTCACTTAGCGCGTATTGCAAATAAAATAACGGAAAGGGATCCCCTCATATAATCCCGCACAATTAACCATAGCTCTGTCTAGAGCCCTTCCTGAGCTAATGCCAGTCTCAAGCCTGAATAAAGGAGGAGGTTTGGGCATAGGGTTACCGCCCCCATTCCGTAGAAAACTAACTTGCTAAAAAACTAAACAGAAAAAAATAATTCAAACGATAAATCATACACGAAAAGAAAAATTATCGAAAGACCCATTCATAGCAGAACTCATTGTGACTGTTAAAAGTTTCGCCGAGGCTATCACCGAAATACTAACGGGTCATAGAAACAGGAGCAGGGTACTACAACGACCAAGGTCCAAGCCACAAAACAGGTCACAAATATCCAGACAACCTGAACAGTTCCGCTTGTGTAACTTGTCTTTTTGTGTCAGACCAACCAAGTGCAGTTAATCATGCGCCTAGTCTTAACAGACTTCCGAAAATATGGGAAACCAATGACTCCTCCCAAGGTCAAGGCGACTGAGCAGGGGTGCCTAAACTGTCACTTGTTTCATGTTAGGGACAGAAATATAGACTTGAACATTTTGGCGGATACCGGCGTGGCACTTAGTATCATGCCCCAGAACTAACCTGAGCTGGGTTGATAAACTTCCTCTGTTACACTTCAAATTGCCAACAAAACTGAAATCGTGACGTTTGGGCAGAAAATGTTGACGCTAGATTTGAAGTTCAAGAGGCACCTGCCCTAGGCGGTCACCGTAGCACTCTGCTGGCTACCACTTGTCTCTCATCTCTTCCATTTTGTTCAACATTATTAGTCTAAAATAAACAGCCAAGCGTCGGTTACTGGATCAAATGAGCTGTCGAGGATTGTGAAAGTATCAAGAACTCATATGGCGTTATCTTTCTAAATAAGTGGCGTGAAACAAAAGTTTACTTGTCTTTTACCTATATGGCAGAGAACCAGATCAAAACTCAGGTTCTGGAATATGCAATTAATGGTAATGTCATATATAAGTACCATTTGATTTATTGCAATTGTTCCCTAAGAGACCTGAACACTACAGCACATAATACGTTCCTGTTCGTACCACTGAGCGACTTCCGTTACATAGTTTTTCCCTAAATTTTCTACTCAATTTCGAAAAATCAACCATTTTCCTGCTAGTCTGAGGTTTTTTTCACAAACTGTGGGGACAACTAGTGATAATAATACTTTGGAGAAACCCAAATATTTTGAGATTCAGATAGTTTAGCTGAAGATTAGTCTGGGTTTCACCTGCTAGTACACATACCTTGATCTCTCTCTCTGCAAAAACATATCTTATTTACTCATCTTTGTCATTTGTTCTGACGATCTTTTCCTTTCATGTTCTTCAGTACAACAGATGTAGCACGCGAAGGTGAAATTTGAAGTAGATGTGCGCTCACCAGCTTTGCAGTTTGTACAACACATTACATACAATATTTTCGTCACCAACTTTTTTAAACCAATTGATTTCTTCTCTCATAGTGTATATCTCATCGCACAGATTTCTGTTTCTGGTGGTATGGTTTCAATAAGTACGAAGCTGACAAGAGAACTCACAAAAGTCGTGTGTGACCGGCTCCAAGCAGCTGTCCACTGGGCATTGCGGTCATACTCTCGGGTCACTAAGACCAACTTCAACCCAATTTTCTTTTCAGGTACCTCTAGAAAAACAATTCCATGGTGTTGGCAACATGGAAGTGATAACCGCCCTCATACTTCTAACGGCACTCAAGATCGCTGTATTCATAATCGATCTCCTTCTTTAATTTTTGTTATTCCTCGCACATCGACTGTCAACACTAAACTTCTTCTTTGGACTTCCACTGGGTCACCATTGAGGTCGCCTATGTGTTGCTCGGCTAAATGGCTCCGTAAGAACTCGGAAGGATAGAGGCCCACGTCGTTTCTGTACACGCTTCCACTGACTGCAGCCTGGATGAAATCAAAGATGACTTGTACAGAAAGAATCTCTTAACTTCTTCAAAAAGTTAGACGCTCAGACATAGTACTCGTGTAAGGCGAATTTATTGTTCAAGCAAGTACCGTAAAATAAACACAACATTTGGGCGTGTATTTTAGTACTCCGCTTAAGCAAACAGATAGCGGTACTCTAACTGTGCTCAGACAATCCTTTATTTTTAGCAAGCACTAGTTTTAAGCATAAGAAGAGACATCGTCTAGCATCTGAGTCAGAACTTGAATTTAGCTCAGGCGTTTTAATGGCAGCGTGTTTCTGCTACGTACAAAGTTATCAACACTGTCGTAGAGGAGATGGACAGAAGAGGAAGAAATGGTGTATATGTCTAACTGGGGGTATCCATCACTTGTGTAGGGTATTTTGACTCAGGTAGTTTTTAGAATCACTAGGTCGGTGCTCAAATAGAACAACGTTGTAGTTTTCTTGTGTGTTTTGGACAAATCTGACGTTGTTATGGGTAGTTTACGGATTCATGTGCTTCAGGTTAGAAATGTGGAATTGCCTGAGATTGTTGCCATGAGAAGTATTTGTGTTGTTTATGGCTGTGTTCTGGTTCTTTGTGCTTTCAAGGTTCACTCTAAAACTCTCATTGGTTCCATGAGTATGCGTGGTGTTAGATACTTGTTGCCTCACGTTTTGATGGACAGCTACTGCCAGTCCACTATGATTGCTGTAGGGCATCCTGTTGCTATGAACAAGTGCATGTTGTGGTTTAAGGGTGTTAGAGTGTTTGTGGGTTTCTACAGAAGCGTTATTGCTATTTCGCGTGATCGAGAGGCTATAGTTTCCACAGAACTTTCTAGAAAGATTATTTTTGGGCTTTGGAAGCGTGGCAGTGCTGGGACACTATGGAGGCATATGTGGGTTGGGATTTGGAAGTAGTTGAGTGTTTGGGCTTAGAATGAATGGTGGCGGATGCTGTATATATGTCTTGATCTAGTAGCAGCATGCGACGTACCTTCGTTTTGTGAGAAGTAGGTAATGGTACCTTAAGGTTTGTGCAGTGGCCAACGTTGTAACTATTGCTAGTTACGTGGGCTGGGTTGATTGATCTGCAGTTTAATGAAGATACGATGTCGGATGATGGCCTTGCCAAGGACGATTCTAATCTTTTTAAATATTGGAACACGCCTCAGTAACGGCTGATTTTTAAAGGTGCTTAGCTTCTTTAATACCACCAAACTGAAAGAGTATAGAACAAAACGTTTTAGTTTGTGCTTCACCTTAATCTTGTTGTTACACACCATGATTGCGACAATCCACAATCTTGTAGTAGAGTATTTTTAATTGACTTTAAGTTTGCGTTATCAGGTATATTATACACACTGTAGTCTTTTCAACTCTTCTGATGATATATGGTCAGATACATTTTCGGTGTTCTTTATCATTTGGGGATCAGGATTTTCTGGAACACTGATTAAATATTCGGACGTTAATAAGTCTTTAATAGTTTCGGTGAGGCTAAGTTCCATCTGACTGCTCTTAGAATTGTCACTGGTGAAAGTATCGAGGTGAAAATTGTAGTGCTCAGCATGGTTGCTTACAAACTTGTTGAAAACTTCTATTGAACGATCATCTTGTGCATACTTAGATAAGGAATGGAGTACATGTTCAGGGGAGTGATCGAGATGTACGTCACTGGGTTGTTTATTAAAAGCATAAAAACTTGCGATCTGTCAGAGACTGTACAGGATGTCCAGCTGTGGATTTTCTGGGTTTTGGGGATATCGATTCAAACGGTTCGTGGTCTGTTTTGTATATATATATATATATATATATATATATATATATATATATATATCAAGGTAGTCAAATGTCATGCCCAAGTGCGTGATGCTGATCTAGTGTAGCTGTGGGAAGGTCAGATTACGATACGGACTGACCAGAGTGTTTACAAAGCTCCACATTATTCGCTTTAGTGACGGGTTTAGAGCTCTTGCAGGTGCCATGGACACTGGGAGAGGATACACTATTATAGATTGCTCGGACATCATTTGAAGAAATGTAAATTTAAGTGCGAATTGTATTAACTTAAAGGCTAATGCCAGAACTTATATAGATGATAAATGTTCGATGGTAGGATTGAATCCAACATTTTTTACAAGGTAAATTACAAATGTTAATGGACGAAAAAATATGCACAGTGTGAAACTTAACGGACTGTGATGAAGTTGAGTTCCGATATGAAGTGTCTAATTAATGAAAGCTCCAAAAAATATCGTATATTCCGCTTATAAGCATGGTTAAATTCGAGTGAAGAACTGAATAGGGAAAAAATTTCAACGTGAAAAACGGTTAACGATTTCAAACGATTTCAAAAGTGCAATAATACACAGGTTTCAATAATGTTAGCATTATACTTGCCATATTAAAAAATAGAGTAGTAATAGTAGAATATTAATAATAATAAATCGGGTCTGTGTAATTGAAAAGAATGTTGAATTGAGTTTAAAGAAGGAAATGGAGAAAATAGGGGAATAGAAATAAAGGTAACGTGAAATACGCAAACAGTTTAATAGGCGTGTTTATGAACACAGAACAAGAATAAACGACCATGTAT